TCTGTAGTTCTTTAACCTACTGTAAACAAAAAATTGAACCATAGTAAAGAAACCATTAAAACATAGTATAGAAAACACAAATTTTCTGTATTTTCACTAACTTTTTCAAAATCAAAATATAAAATTCAAAACCTAGTTTACGAAAACAGACATAGTAGAAACGTCAGAAATCAGTTAGACTTTTGATCGTCTGAAAAAACAATTGAATTGACTTAAAACAGTCGAAGTTCACCTCAATTAAACTGTTTTCGGTATTCTGTTACAAAAGAAAAACAAATTATGAAGAAAGTTTTGTCTTAAAAAGTAAAAATTTTTTCATAGTTAGGCAATTACATCTTTTATAAGGCTTTTCTGTAGAGATTTTGAACGTTTTGTTCTGTTTGGGAGTTATATAAGGTTTGAATTTAAAATTTTAAAAATTTTATTTTTTGAGGTTATACCTACTTGATATTATTTATAATTTAGCTTTGAGGTATGATACTTTACATTGTGCTGTAGTTTTAAAGTATGATACTGCATAATATACTGTAGTTTTTTTATATATGATACTGTAACTTATACTGTACTTTTTAGGTATAATACTGTATGTTATACTATAGACTAGAGACATAATGATGTAACTTATGCTGTAGTTTTGATACTTTTAAGTTATACTGTAACTTTGAGTATTCATGATACTGTATATCATACTGTAGTTTTTTACATATTGTATTGTAAGTTATATTGTGGTTTTGGGATATGATATTGTATGTTATACTTTAGTTTTGAGGTATGATAATGAAACGTTTTTACTTACACAAACATATATAAACCTGGATTGTAATATGCTCTCTAACCGTCTACTCAACCATTCAATTACAAACTTTTTTATGATGGTAAATCAAATGTTATCTAAACATTCTTACGTATTTTCGCTGACTTTTAAATGTTTAAGTAACACTGTTAATTCTACGGTCACTGATGCTTGTTAACCTTCGTTTACCTTACAGTAACTGATGCTTGTTAATGTCACTTTGCCTAATGTATTGTTGTTACCATTGTCGATTGATTGTATTCTGAACTCAGTTTGATTCTTACTTTCGGGAAAATAAAACATGTTGTAAGGTTTACAACATGGTTGAAACTGAGTTGATAACCATCAAACCGTTTTCCGACAGACAACCATCCCTTCGCTTCTTTTGTCTCAACATTCTTCTTCCACAAACTTTAAGGATACTCGTGGATGGGGTGGGCGATGGGATGGGTGGGGGAGACAGAAAGGCGACTGACTTCGAAGGGGGGTCTACTAGGCTCGGCATGACTTAGAAGGAGGCCTACTAGGCTCGGCTCAGCCTTTTTCGGGTCTGGACTTACATTTTTTTTAAATTTTAAATATGAGAAGCCAAGAAAATTTAAATTTCTTTGAAATTAGGAATTCAGGCAGTGCCAGAGGAGGGAAGAGAGGGGGGGGGGGGGGTATTTTTAAGCTGAAGCAAAAAAGGAAGGATATATGTTTTATTTTTCTTTAGAGTGAGAAACGAGCCAAGCCAACTCTTCAGGCCCTAAGGGCTCAACTTCTAGGTTCCTAAGGGCCCATATTGAGCTCAAGTCTGAACTGGCACCGTCTGGCTCGATCTTTAGGCTAGGCTAAGCCGGGATGGGTATAAACGGTCTATTTTTACCTTTTTTTAAAATTTTTTTTGATTGAGACATTATTAAATATAATATCACTGCCTTTTTTTATGAAGATACGACAGTAACTTCCATCAGGTTTTGCTCAATTCCTTCGTAAATTGTAACAATTACTATACTTTCTTTACGCGCTCGAAACTCGCTATAAATTTTCCAAAATGTATACACTATCAATCATATAGTTTTACTACGTTATTTTGAAAAAAATAAAATTTTGCGAAATTTTAAAACCGTTTTTCTTTTTGAAAAGGTGACTTTGGAGGGTTGATTTGTTTCTTTTGATTTTTTTTGGTGTATTGAGGGGTGATTTTTGCGGGCGGGGTAAAAAAATTTTGATTTTTGTTAGCTTAGACTTAAAAAGGTGGGTTTAGGCCCGGCCCGGTCTAAAACAATTTTTTAGACGGGCCCGGCCGGAGTGTGTTGGTCTACGAGCCGGGACTTAATAAAAGTCATTTGGGCTCACTTTAGGTCCCGCAACGAATGATTAGACTTATAAAAAACTAAGCCAAAACGCGGTACCTTTGCAGGCTTAAAAGCTGTTAATATTTTATGTAAGCCTAAGCTCTTTAGTTTAAAATTTAAGCCTAAGCTCCTTAAAAGTGTAAGAATTTTAAGCCTACTTCCTCAATCTAATCCTCCTCCCCCCCCCCTAATCTAAGGTCCTATTAAACACCACTGTACCATTTTACACCGCCTCACCAGCGTTCTTCGGCAGACTCCACCAACGTTCTTCTTGGAACGGTGTTCAGATTAATTGCTTTAATCAGTTTTTGTTGATACGACGGTTTTGGCGATTGTAAAATGACCTTTACTTTGTTTTTCCAAACCCTTTACAAATTTTACAATTCTCTGATTTTACTGATTTTCGTTCGGCGAAAAGTCGCTAGAAAATGCTTTAGGGGTTCAAGTTGAAAGGCATTTCGGTTTTGTAAGTTTTTGGGGTTGAAAATGGTTTTTTGGTATAATACAGCTGCATACATTGCTAGTGGTAGGTATGGGAAACTTGGGTATATTTCAAAGTGTGGAATGGGGTGGTAGGGAGAATTGGAAGCGGCAGTGGTTAGTTTGGCTAATTTTTTATGCAAATTAAAATTTTAATATTTTTTTTCAAATATTGTCATTTTTTTACTTTTTTCTTAAAGAAATTTTTGATTTTTTGTAAATTTTTGTTTTTTTTAATTTTTCTTACAGTATCTTAATAAAATCACTTTAGTATGGCCCTCAAGCATTTTTAACCGCCCTTCATAATATAACACTTATGAAAAATAATCTGGGTAGTGTGACTCCCTAGTTGTAAGGACAGCATTGAAGCAGCCCCCTTAGTGTCAAACTTGCTGTCTTTTTATTCTTTTTGCTGTTTTTTCACTCTATGCCGTTCCTATATCCATGGGAATCCGAGTACCCTCTGGCATTTATTTTTGTCTTGTTTTATTTGTTTCAACGTGCCAGTAGTCCAGTGGTTAGGCCGCTGCCCTCCCAAGGCAGAGGCCCGAGTTCGAATCCAGGTTGGCGCAAACTTTTTCTTTTGACGGAAATTTGCATAAAGTAAAACTTATTTCTATTTTTTTCTTCTTCTATCACTTATTTTTCTATTTCCTATTCATCTTTCACTTCTTTTTCTATTACCTAACCATCTATCACTTCTTTTCCAACTTGATATTGTTCATAAAAAGTGAATTAAAAAAACATTTTTCGGAATTCGAAAACAAACCTTCAGAGGGACGTTTTTACACCGGAAACGTTAACAGTTACTGTCCTTGCTCTTCCATTTTGTATAGTTTTCGTTTCTCGAGTTAAACATATTTCGAGGAATGTTTAGGGTTATATTGGTGGTAATTTAAACGGTATTTACTTTACATTATTTATGATTTTAGGGGTTATTTAAGTCTATATAGTTTTTGTTTTGAGAGGGGTTAATTATGTCTTACCGTAAGGTTCTTATGGTAATAAGAGATAGGTTTGAATATTTTTTTTGATTAATTTAAGTTTAAAAAATTAAAAAAAGTATTTAAAAATTTTTTTTATAAAAATATGTAACTTTGCACGTTATTTACAGTGTAAATCACTGTTTTGGTTACTAACTCGTGCAGTTTGCAATGATTCTCTGGGTTTTTGTTGTTCTTCTTTCACATCTTTGATCATTTTTCTATTACACTTTTGGAAAAAATGTGTTTTTGATACGCTTATCAAGGTTCTTAGACCGGTTTTCAGATAGATTAGGTAGAAATTTAAAAATTCTGCTTTATAATGAACTAGTACTGTTTATATTGGTTGTTCAAATAATTCTGTGCCTTCTAACGCCGAAAGTTTGCATTGACTGAAAGGGGGCACAGAATTATTTGAGCAACAATATTTATAAAGCATTATATTATTTTTTTACTTTTTTAACGTTATATTATGGTTTTGGGATTTTTATTAATTTTACTGAATTTTGCAGACTTTCGTGTCGAGACCCCAGCATTTTATTTCAAATATTGATTTTATGCTTATTTTTTAATTTTTATATATTTTTTTTATTATTATGTTAGTAACGTAAGTTTCTCTGCTAGTTTAGTTATTTTACAATGTCAATTTTAATCTCAGCAGTTTTCAAAACGCCAAACCTTAGTTTTCGTGTCGAGACGCAAAGTATTCCACTAATTACACAAATCATTCATAATATTCAAATTTTCAGTAAACCGGCCCTCCCTTCTATACTGCGAATTTGGGCCGTGTTTCGCCGATTGGCCGTTGTTCGACTGATCTCATTTTAATAACGACAAACAGGAACGGCGTGCGCGCCGTGATCGGCCTATGCTGTCTCGAAAGCGCTCAACGAGTGATCGGACGCTTAACATACGATTGGACAAGATTGTGAGGTTGTGTCAGAAGTACTGCAACTACTACACTACGCCTACAGTATTGTACTGCTGATTTTTACGGTAAGTTTTGGTAAGAGTTACTGTAGCGCAGCGTTGAGGCCCTTTGCTATATATACATAGTAGTATTTGCTTGTTTTTTTTTTGTTTTACTGTATATTCTGCTTTATACTGTAAGTCACTATAAAGATAAATGTCTTTAGGGCTTTTTAGGTGAAACTACAGTATCTTAAGTATCTTTTTGTAAATTCGCAGTATCTAGCTTAGCTTCAAACAAAAGTTACAGTTGATTCAAAAAGATATATATTACATCCAAAACACCATTACTAACTTTAACGCCACATTACAGTACTACCAACATACCCAACTCCCACTTAATAACTCTACAGTACACCCCACACATCTCTTAATAACTTTGTACACCACCCGCCCTTTAACGCGCTTAAAGGGACCTACTGTAGCATATTATTCATGACCATCGGTTGGTTCGACGCCTTCAGGGAGAATGGCGCCCCCACCTGGTACGGTGAGAACAGAACGCCGGTGGTGGTGGATTTGCAGATTGCCGCCTTGTTATCACTGTTCATAACACCCACCTTGGCCTACGTGCTGATCTCGCCCGGGATTCGAAGGTATCGTATCTCGTCGACGTTTACGTTTCTCTTCTCAATGGCGGTTGGAGCTATTATCTTAGGTTGGTTCGGGGTTTTTGTGGTTTTTTGGGGTTATATATATTGTATAAGGGTAGTAAATGTTTGTATCTGAATCATAGAGCTATAAAACAGTTAAAGTTTAACGTGTATTAGCTATATTTTGATATTATAGTACCTAGACTAGCTGTATTTCATTATTACAGTACTTGAAATTCCTATATTTTGATGTTACAGTACCTAAAAACAGTATTTTTCAAAATTTTTCAAGTTTTGGGTTTATATTGGCTTCTCTTTTAGTATCGATACATTACCCATGTTGGCAACAAGGCGATGCACGAGTACTCACAGCATACAAAGCCTTCTCCACCGACCGGTTGAATGCCGTTTTGGGTGTTAAGATTGGTCTCTACAATGTAAATATTACCTTAACGACTAAAACATCGCCCAAACTGGACTTTAACGAACGGATGAGTTTTGTGGATGGTAAGGAATGTACATTTACATTTAGTTTTGGGCTATGTTAAGAAGTATATGTCTTTGTAGGGGGGGGGGGGGGGGGTTAAGATATGTGTACTAAGCATATAATGATTTTAGTGACAGCATCAGAAACAGAACGAGCTCTACTGAAAGGCACACCTTATCCTATGCTCAAAGTAGTCGAGTACCTAAGTCTGGATAGGTCAGGCTTCAATCATGGAAGACAATATCGAATGGCTGGATATTACACTGGAGTACTGTTATGGTGAGATATCTTCTACTCTACCCTAACTTGTTTCACACTGTCTTGTCTTACTTTACTTTGGCATACTGTAGCTTCTCCTACTTTACTATGTTTACTCTCATTTGTCTTATCTTATCCTACTCTACTCTAACTTTTCCTACTCTACCTTGTTATACTGCACCTTGTCTTACTCTACCTTGATCTACTTTATCTTACCCTATCCTACCTTACTCTAGTTATAAAACAGTATACTGTAACTCACTGTATATGAATAAATTTTCTAATTTTAAAATCTATCCCAAGCCAATATTTTAGGTGCGCATTTGCCTGCTGGATATTACAAATGATTCTTTTGTGTGTTCTACCCCAAAAGTTTGGCCATTTATGTATGACAGTGGGAACGTTCACAGTCACGGCCAACCTTGTCTATGCGCTGAACGTGCCTCGACTCCTATTCATACCGTTCCCAGCACCCCGAGATGGACTGTCACTTTTGGAATTTCGGTTTTCTCATTGCTTCTATGCCACCCTGGCTGCAGGTAAGTTAATATTATATTTTTAATTGTAATTCTTTGGTCAGCACAGTAGGTAGTTTATATGGTTTATATAAGAAAAGTCGATAGTTTCTTAAATGACTTTAATATACTTTTAATTTAAACTTAATTGCCGTTGGCTAGCTTTTTTAAGAAGGAAAGTGCCCGATGCGCCCAACTCTGACTGACTTCAAACGTTTAAAGATCATGTAAATATAAGATCTTCAGCAAAGTACTCAATTACCCGTTCAAAGAAAACCCAAGAAAATTGAGATCAAAAAATAACGTTTTGAATTTCGCGCCAAATTGGCAATGTGTTTCGCTTATAACTTTGTCATTTTTTGATTTTTAATAATTTTTCTTTGATATACTAGAAGAAAATCTTTAACTGGACCTACATTTTTTAATTTGTAAGCGTGGTTTGTCTGAAAAGCCGAAAAAAGTGTTTGAAACACAATGCCAAATTTGACGAGTTGGCGGGGAAACTCAAATATTTAAAGCTTAAAACTCAAAAACACGGGATAAAATTTTTTATGGGTACGGTGGTACAAAGAGTTTATATACAAAATTTTGAGCTGATTCTGAGCGAGGCAGGTTGGGTGCTTTCCTTTTATTATGTAGGTTGTTCAAAATAATTCTGCTCTTCATAACCTCGGAAAGTTGCTTTGAGAGAGGGTGCAGAATTATTTGAACAGTTTAATAAATGTCTTTTTTTAATTTTTCAAAAAGAAAAAATACATTTTTTTATTTAAAACAAGTTCAAAGGATCAATTATTCTGGTTTTACAAAATCTTGTCATCAATTTATATTAGTTTCCTTGCTAAAAACGTAAAACAACACTACTTCCAAAGTCGGTAGTGCATAAAAACTTGTAAAGTTGCATTGGGTTCCACCATTACCTAGATTGATTTATGTCTTCCTGCCACACCCGACTACCTTTCTGACTGATATTACTCGACTACCTTTCTGACTGATTTATAACTTTAACGTCATTAACGGTTCAGTTCTTTGGCTTTTATCAGTAAACTTAATTGTAAAAGGACGAATTCTGATAAGTTGTCTTTATATTCTCTCGATTTTGACGAAAGGAAATGAAAGTTAATATACAACTCATTCTTGCTAACCTTGATCATTTAGTGATGACAGTTTAAGAAATTGAAACATCTTTCAACGGAGGACGTATTTTACTTTTATACATCAAGTTCCACAGTGCTATTATATTAACATAATTTAAAAAGATGATTAGGTTACAAATAAAAATCATACATATATTACTATAAAGTTGTTCATATAATTCTGAGCTACTTGTCAAAGTAAATTTTTGGGGTGAGGAGGCACATAATTTTTTGAACAATTTAATAATTATAAATTTGAAAATAGAGTTTTATAGAGAACTAATACTGTTAATATTAAGCTGTTTAAGTGATTCTGAACCGTCTCTTAAAGCAAATTGGCGGGGCTAGGAGGCACAGAATTTTTTGAACAATTTAATACTTTATGTTAACATAGTAAATTACATCCTTTTATCTTATAAACACAACTTATGTAATACTACTTGGCCAAAAGCAACAAAATATTATATATCAGTTTAAATTAAACGTAGTTAAAGCTCAACTTACTCAATACAACACCATACATCTTAATTCATAACACTAAGCATATTACATTACTTTAGGCCTTGGAAGCATCGTATTCGGAGCCATCTTGATTCTACTACAACTCAACAAGAACTTCCGATTCAAAACTATATTCTCCTGTAAAAACTATCGTCATATACCGTGTCATTGTCAAGAATTGACCAAACGACCAGCATCAAACATCAGTACTGGCTCTTCATGCTCATCTACCATCAACTCGAGCAGAGACTCCGAACTTAGTACGGATGCCTTCAACTCTGGAGCTTCGACTACCAGTGCTGATAGGTATCATGCTTACGAAAATGGATATAACAATGGAAATGGCAGTTCATATCATAATGGTAATGGCACGTCTTATGAAAACAGGAGTTCGTATGACAATGAAAATGGCATTGCTTATCAAAATGAACATGAGCAAAAGCCAATGTATACGGTATCTTACAGTAAGCCGGACTTGGCTAAATGTAGATCAGTGTCTCAGGTCAGGAAGCTGGACCAGGAACCTTATAATTGGATTGTGCAATAGAGTTGACATGAAAGTTTGAACAAGTGTTATTTTAGGTATAAAACTATTAAAAATTTTTTGGTTATAAATAGTTAAAGAAAAAATTAAATTTCAATGTTCTTTTTAACTCTAAAGCTATAATTTGTTACCTAAACATCATATTAAATCTAAAATATCAAGAATCTTCAACCTAAATCCACTGCCAATTGTAATATTAGGTTGTTCACATAATTCGGTGCTTCTTAACTTCGTATATTTTCTTTGAGCGGGGCACAGGATTATATGGACAACCTAATATCTTTAATCATTTTACATTGTAATATACGATGTGATCTCTTATCGGAAATATAAAAAATCGTGGTATGTTGAGTGTATAACACATGATTTTTGAAAATATTTTCGATATTTTTAGGGATTTTTTATTTTTAAAACATTATTATCATTATTTGTACTATCCTTTTTACTATGATTTATAAATTTTTACACGATATTCTGTATGCTACTACTATATATCATTATATGGTAGTAGAGTGTACTATATATCATTATATTGTAGTAGAAACGTGTCTTTCAGCTTTAGATTTTTGACAAAAATCCTATTAAAACGGTTTTTTTACATAATACGCTTATATTATTCTTGTGTTTTTTGACATTTTACGATCAATACTATGGGTATACTGTTGTAATTTCTTAGTATTTTATTAATTTTTTAATTTTTTTTTGATTTTAAAGATTTAATTGAAATATCATTGCAATGTTGTTATCAGTTGTTGTTGTTTTAACATTTTATTAACAAATTTTTAAAACAATTTGAAATTTTTAAAAATAATTTTATTTTAACTGTATATTACTTCACAGTTTAGTTTGAGAGATCTCTGGAGTATTTTATATTTGGAGTAAACAACAACTTTTGATGACAAACTGTTTGTTAACTGCCTGTTACTTTTGTAGCCTTTAACTCGTCCAAATGTTCTTTCGTTTTGCGGATACTCAAAATTGTTTTACCCTGTGGTGAATAAATAATTCAAAATGACTTGGCTTTGTTAGTATGAAAAAGAATTGGTTCAGTGAAACTCCTGTATAACGGATCGCTAGGGGAATTGAAATTTGTTCGTTATAAAGGTGTTTCGTTATATAGGAGTTTTAAATGTGCTGTACAGTAATAGAGAGGAATTCAAGATTTATTCGTTATACAAGAGTTCCACTGTATTACATGATAATAAGGACAATATCATTAAAAAATTATTACAGTAAAGCATTGTTATAATTGAGTCAGTAAAAGAAAACACATTGTTGTTAACCTGTAAGGGGTCAACACAGGTCCATCTTTTTGAGCCGACACCAGGCTTGGACACAGGGCAGGGTGCCCTGTGCCCTGCCCTGTTACAGGGCAGGGCAGGGCATAGCTTGGAACAGAGCAGGGCATGCCCTATGCCCTGCATTACCCTGCAAATGCCCTGTTTGTGCCTTGGTAAGTTTTGGCGGACGCCTCCGCCGAGCGGTCGATAATCGGCGGACGCCATAACTTGGTTAGTTTAGCAGCTAGAAACATGTAGTTCAATTCAGAAGTTATTATATGTCATACGCTACAAGTAAAAGCATAATTTTAAGATTTTAAAAGTAGTATTGTTATCGACCGGTTGATAATTTTTAGTATATTTTAATTGCAAATTTTATATATATTCTTATCGCTCTGTTGTTTGAAATTGTATAGAAATTACATTAGATACAATTCTAAGCAAAAAACTTTGTTTTTTGTAAAAATTAAACATTTGTAAATTATCGACCGGTCGATAACAATATTGTTTTTAAAAACATAAATTTCTGGCTTAATGTGTAGGTTATGACAGATAACAACTTCTGCACTTAATTACATTTTTCTAGCTGCTAAACTAACCAAGTTATGACGTCCGCTGATTATCGACCGCTCGGCGGAAGCGTCCGCCAAAATATACCCAAATGCCCTGTAAATACCCTGTAAATGCCCTGATGCCCTGCAGGGCAAAGGCAGGGCAGGGCAGGGCATAAAACCCCAATGCCCTGTACAGGGCAGGGCATTGCAGGGCACAGGGCAGGGCATGGAAATTTGCCAATGCCCTGCCCTGTGTCCAAGCCTGGCCGACACTCAAAAAATACCCTGCCCAACCTTGCCATACAAAATATAATGCCTCATAGCTCTCCCGCCACCATCAATATACCTTTTTCCACTGTATAATTTGGCAATAAGTGAATAGGTCCTATGACTTTGGTTTAGACCCTGGATTTCGAGCCTACATCTTTCAGTGGGCTGACCGACCTATTCTCGGGAAACGCAACTGATGCTCCTACTGAGCCTCTTTTCATGAGCTGTTCTAAAATTTTAAACCTTTGATTTGTTATAGAGCTTGGTTTGATAACCATGTTCTGTAAAACAAATAGATGATCTCCATGGCGTATTTTACACATAACTACCAAAAGAAGTAAATTTACTTGAAAGAAACTCTACTTTTTACAATTATACTATGTTGTTCAAATAATTTCGTGCTCCACTCAAAGAAAATTTTTGAGATTAGAGGGTTCAGAATTATTTGAACCGCCTAATACTTTTTGCTAACATAGTAAATTCAATATCATTTTCTTATAAACACGACTTACTTTACATAAGCTACTTAAAAGTATGTATACAATTACAAATACCCTTTAAGCAACAATTATTTTAAGTTAATACATGATTTTGATCTTCTCTATTAAAGTTATGTTATACTTCTCTATATTTTCTTTACTATAATACTTTATATTTCCTTTCATATATACTCTGCTTTTTAAAAATCATATGCAAGTTAACCGCAGCTAGACACAACACATTGTGTTTGATATGATAGCCTTTGACGTCTCCAAGATGACTTTTTAAAACTCAAAACAAACTGTTTTAATAAGTTGCGCAATCTGTCGTTGAATTTGGTTGCCATCTCCAAGGGTCGATAGCTATCGCTAAAAAGATCTTTCGCTGTAAAAACAAACTGTTGTGATACGATCTAACACTGATTCCATCGATAATTCTTTTGTGGTTTTTATGCGTTTAGATGGTAGTGTTGACTATATGGGGTGTTTTATATATTAAATTGAACTAAAAGTAGCGGGGCAATTCGTAGTTGAAAAAAAAGTGTTCTTGTTGTCGCTTCAATTTTAAAAGCTTAGAAGTTTGTCATTTTTTATGTCAGACAGGTCAAGTATGGACTTTTTTCATTTTAAAATACAGTTGAACCTCTTTAGTACGATACTCAAGAAACTAGTCCAAACCTGCTCTTATAACCAAGCTGTAACACTACCCGGGTATCTTTTGATAAGAATTCTACATAATAGAATTTCTATTACAAAGGGAATTCAAAAAACTGTTGTTATAAAAATAGTGTCATACTACTGAGGTCCATACTAACAAGCTTTCACTTTATGCAAATTTGTGGCAAAACAAAAAGTTTGCGCCAACCGGGATTCGAACTCGGGCCTCTGCCTTGGGAGGGCAGCGTCCTAACCACTGGACTACTGGCACGTTGAGACAAATAAAACCCGGCAAAAATAAATGCCAGAGGGTACCCGGATTCCCATGGGTATGGGAACGGCACAAAAGGCTGAAAAGGCAGTGAAATTTGACAAAAGAATTGCAAAAAAAGGTTTTTGTTGTAACTTTATCACTAAAAAACTATATTTTTATAACTTTAAGTTGAATGGCTGATAAGGAATTTAAAAAAAACTTAACTTTGTACTTTTGACCAAACCCCCACCCCCTTCCTCCCTTACTTTTTGTACAATAACCTTTTTTTGTCGCTTCGAAATCTTAAAGTTTAATCAACTGACAATTAATCATGAACTGATAATTAATGATAACATTGCAAACCGTCTGGAAGTGATTGAAACACTTTTGTTGCCTTTATTTTTGTTTTGCACTCAAGTTGGATTACTATGTTAATCTGATATTGTTGTTGATGCAGAAACAACCGCCTCATGTGGTATTAGCTGTGGGTTTTGGAAATGATGTTTTCTTGTTTTGGGTATCAAATATGGCTTCATTTTTGAAGTTTGGAATGGAAATTGATTTTTTTTGGTATTTTTAACATAGAATCATCAAAAAATTTTTTATTGTTAGCTTGTTCAAATAGTTCTGTGCCTCACCCCAAAGCAAATTTTTGGAGTTATAGGCACAGAATTATTTTAACTGTTTCATAAACTCGCTCTGTAAAAAATTTTCTCAATTTTTTTAATAACTTTTAGCTTGTCTCGTCATGCTGTATTTTACATTACCTTAACCACTTACTCCCTCCCTTTCCTTCCCCTAAAACTTCCAACTTTTTCAGAATGACAACGTGCATTCGTTTGTATTCAAAAAGCGATTCAGAAGGCGATTTTCATTTGGAAGCGATTCAAAAACGTCTTCAGGACCAGTTGAAATGCCCTGAAATCAGAATCCAAGAAGAGTCCGGCTTCTACGTGGTGGTTGAGAATGTGCATTTGGACTTGTTGATTGAGAGGTCAGATGACTTGAAGAGACTACTGTCACACAATGTATTTCATCAAGATGTTAAGCCAGAAACATCGTTTGATAAGGATGATGGGGAAGTTATTGAGGTTGGGCCAAGGTGAGTTGAGGTTTTTAGGTATAAGTTTTAAGTTTATGTTAGTTTCGTAAAATTAAAAATGATTATTTTGTTTTATTTTTTTTAATTTTTTAGGCGTAAAATGCATTTTTTTTGGCTAAAAAGTTCAGTTTTGTTTTTTTAGGCCTAAATCCCTAAATTTTTGGTACTTTCATATATTGTTTGTCGAATATACTTGTTTTGCTTATGGTTGTATTAATTAAAAATCTTTTCCAGGCTAACCTTCACTTCCCCCTTCTCAACCAACGCCGTATCAGCATGTTTGGCAGCCGGCTTCCAAGGAATAATTCGTCTCGAAAAGTCACGCCGATACCAAATCACTGGCGCTACCTCAGAAACCCTAGAAGTAATTGATTTTCTGGAAGAATTTGGTGACAAAATGACAGAACAATTATATTATACCACACCGTCCTTTGTCATCGATTCTCCCCAACGTGAAGACTTCTTCTTTGTTGATGTTCTAGGCAAGGATGGAGAAGATAACCTAGAGAAGGTGAACCAAGAATTAGGATTGGCATTCGATGACAATGACAAAGAGTACTATCTGAGTATGTACAGAAAGTTGGGGCGGAATCCGACTGATGTGGAGTTGTTTGACTTGGCACAAAGTAACAGTGAACATAGCAGACATTGGTTCTTCAAGGGGAATCTGATTGTAGATGGAAAGCAGAGAGAGAAACATCTTTTTAAGACGATTCAGGAGACTCAGGATCACAGTAATCCTAATAATGTCATCGCTTTTTGTGATAACAGCAGGTAAAGGGATCAAACAAAAATTTGTTTTGTGAAAAATAAATTACTTTTGATCGTATAACATGTCACTTTATAAAAGAAATTAATTTTGCAAAACATTTTGCCGTAAAAATATTTTTTTTAATTTTTATTTTCAGTGCCATAAAAGGCTTCGAATCCCCATCAATTCTCCCTTCAAACACCACAGAATCCAGTAGCCTCAAGGTCGAGAACCGTACCAAACATATCATCTACACAGCTGAAACCCACAACTTCCCCACAGGAGTCTGCCCATTTCCAGGCGCAGCTACAGGAACAGGAGGCCGGCTTCGCGACGTTCAAGCCACAGGTCAAGGAGCTCACGAGGTGGCTGGAGTTGTTGGTTATTCATTCGGCAATCTTCACCTTGAAGACTTTGAACAACCTTGGGAAGAAGATATCCATTCCTATCCGGTCAACTTTGCTCATCCTCGAAAGATCCTGTTGGACGCTTCAAATGGAGCTTCAGACTATGGCAACAAGTTTGGAGAACCTGTAATCTCTGGTTTCTCGCGAGCTTTCGGCCAATTTGTGGAGTTGGCCAATGGAGAGAAGGAGAGGATCGAGTACATCAAGCCGATCATGTTCTCCGGAGGCATTGGGCTCATGGATTCGGTTCATTCGAAGAAGGCCGAGTGCCAGAAGGGTCAATTGATCGCCAAAGTTGGAGGTCCGGTCTATAGGATTGGACTAGGAGGTGGGGCGGCTAGTTCAGTTGTTGTTCAAGGTGATCGAGTAGCTGAACTTGATTATGGAGCAGTTCAGAGAGGAGATCCGGAGATGGAGCAGAAAGTTCACAGAGTTATCAGAGCTTGTGTTGAAATGAACGAAAATAATCCGATTTTGAGTATTCATGATCAAGGAGCTGGAGGCAATGGTGAGTTTTGTGATGTTAGTAAACTACTTTATGCTGTTTTAGGTATTAAAATAAGACATTGGTTTAGTTTTTGTAATTAAAATAATACTTTTTTAAAAATATTATTTAAATTGATAAATTCAAGGTTATCGCATAAAATTTTTTGTCTTTACCTCTAAAACAATGTTTTGTTACCTAAAAAACAATTTTTCTTCAGGAAACGTACTGAAAGAGATAGTGGAAGGAAAAGAAGGTGGTGCCATAATTTACAGCGACAAATTCCAAATTGGAGACCCAACAATAAGTGTTAGAGAGCTGTGGGGAGCTGAGTATCAAGAGAACGATGCTATTTTATTGGATCAAAGCCGAAGAGAAGAGTTGGAGAAGATCGGCGAAAGAGAAAGATGTCCCATTCAGATAGTTGGAGAAGTTACTGGAGACAACAGAGTGATTTTGAAGGATTTTGAAGAGAATGAAAAGAATCCGGTCGATATTAACTTGGAGGAATTGGCTGAGCGAGAAGCTAAGGTAAGATTTTGGCTTGAGATTTTAGGTTTGATTTTGTTTTTGTTTGATTTTTAGTGTTATAAGGGTTTTTTTATTATGTTTGTAGCTTGAACACTAAGTTCATAAGCATATAAGACTTAAATACAAAGGCTTTGTTCAAAATCAATTTAATTTATATGAGTTAACCCTTCTTTTGGCATCAATATCTATGTTATAAACCTAAATTCCTCCCTTTCAGACCTTCAACTTGGACTCCAAGCCATTTGTCCCCAAGACTTTAGATATTCCAGCCGATTTATCAGTGACAAAAGCTCTAGAGCTTGTCTTAAGATTACCACCAGTTGGATCCAAGCGATTTCTGACGAACAAGGTGGATCGGTCGGTAACTGGCTTGATCGCTCAACAACAATGTGTTGGTCCTCTACATTTACCGCTGGCGGACTGTGGAGTAACTGCTCACAGCTACTTTGATACAGTTGGAAGTGTTGTTGGTTTGGGGGAGCAACCTATTAGGGGTAGGATAATTTGATACCTAAAATTTTGTTTTTTTTAACTATAGTTCATTGTTTATATGTGAATAATTCATTTTAGACTTAAACGACAAGAATAGTAAAATTTCTTTGCAGGCCTAGTTAACCCGGAATCCGGAGCTCGTTCCTCAGTAGCCGAGTCTCTAACTAACCTTGTATTTACCCCCATTACCTGCCTTGAAGACGTCAAATGTTCTGGCAATTGGATGTGGCCAGCTATGTTGGAAGGAGAAGGTCAACGTCTTGTCGCTGCTTGTGATGCCATGTGTGATTTCATGAAGCAAATAGGTATTGCCATCGATGGAGGCAAAGATTCTTTGAGTATGGCAGCTAAAGTTGGTCATGATGTTGTCAAATCACCTGGTACTTTAGTCATCAGTTCTTATGCACCTGTCTCTGATATCACTAAGGTGGTGGGACCGGACTTGAAGACTGGTCTTGATGGTACACATCTGTTTGTGGTGCATATGGGAGGAAAGGAAGGTAAAACAAGGTTAGGAGGAAGTGCTTTGGCTCAGACCTTGAAGCAGATTGGCACAGAATCTCCAGACGTTGATGACGCGAAGTACTTTAAACAAGCTTTCAATGTGATTCAGAAGCTTGTGAACGACAGAATGATCTTATCTGGTCATGACATTAGTGATGGTGGTCTTCTAACTACAGTAATCGAAATGGCGTTTGCTGGAAATTGTGGTATCGATCTAGACTTTACGTTCAGCTGCAAAGACTTAGTTTCCAACCTGTTTAACGAAGAAATTGGAGTTGTTTTTGAAGTTTCAAACGACAATTTGGGTACGGTAACTAAGGCGTTTGATGAAGCTGGAGTTGTTTGTAAAAAGATTGGCAAAACAGTACCAGTTTATGGTAAAGAGGCCAATGTTACTATCGCTGTGAAAGGAGAGAAGATACTAAAAGAGAAGCTGCAAAGGTTGTATGAGGTATTTGAGGAGATTACTGATAACATGGAGTTACTGCAGACGAATAAGAAGTGTGTTCAGGAGCAAAAAGACTGGAGAAAGAGGATTCAGAAGCCTGAATATCAACTTACGTTTGAGTATGGCAAAGGTGGAGCTGATAAGACAAAAGAAAAGCCTCGTGTAGCCATAATTCGTGAAGAAGGCAGTAATGGAGATCGTGAAATGGCCGCCGCCTTCATCCTAGCCGGCTTCGAGGCCGTCGATGTCACGATGACAGATTTATTAGACAATCACGTATCTTTGTCACAATTCAAAGGTATCGCCTTTGTTGGTGGATTCTCATACGCTGATGTACTTGGCTCAGCTAAAGGATGGGCTGCGACGATTCAGATGCACGAGAGTCTGGCTGTGGAGTTTGAAAACTTCAGAAGACGAAAGGATACCTTCTCGTTTGGAGTTTGTAATGGATGTCAGTTAATGGGGCTATTGGGGTGGATTGGAGATGTTGATGAGAAGTGTGGTAAGGATAAGATAAAGTTAGATAACAACTTTGAAGCCTACAAAATCATCAAAAAACATGTTTTAAATTACTTTATCTAAGGCATACTACAATATAAATTTTTATAACAACAACTATCTTCAGCTGACACCCAAGTATTTCTCGACCGAAACGAGTGTGGTCGATTCCAATCCTCGTTCTCTCGAGTACGAATCGAAAACTCGAAAGCGATTATGCTAAAAGGTATGGAAGGTTCGATTCTCGGCGTCTGGAGCTCTCACGGTGAAGGTAAATTCACCTACAGAACGCCAGAAACCCTTAAAAAGCTCGAATCTCAACAATTGATTGGCCTGCGATATGTTGATGAAGCAGACAAACCTACAACACTATACCCAGCCAATCCGAATGGCAGTGAAGGTGGTGTGGCTGGGGTATCTTCGGCCGATGGACGACATTTTTGTTTAATGCCTCATCCTGACCGTGCCTTCCTCAGCTGGCAATGGCCAAATTATCCGGAAGAATGGGGTCGAAAGGAGGGATGCGTGTCGCCGTGGATAAGGATCTTTGAAAACGCCTATCAGTGGGTACAACAACAATGAGTAATGATGTTTGTTAATAAAAAAATTAATTTTTAGTTTTGTTTTGGGTTATAAAAGTTGATATTAAAGTATGTAGTTGATGTTATAGTATCTGTGATTGAACTAAAAGTAACGGGACCCTTTTCATCTATTTCCAGCTAGAAATTGTCCCACTACTTTTGGTTCAGTAAGATATTAGTTGATGTTGTAGTATCTAGTTGATGTTATAGTAACCTATTACAGTATATGCGTTTATAAACGTTAATATGGTCTTAAAAGACTTGTCGCTTTTTAGCAGGTAGAGAAATAGAAACTGGCGACAAGACTTGATCTTTTTTACAATAGTACAAAATACAGTAATCTTTTCAGATTAAGATAGTTTGTAACATTTACAAACCGGAAAGGCTTAATCTTTGCTTTTTTTATAAATACTATGACTTAAGCTTTTCTCAAAATATTTTAAAATGATCACAAAACCTTAACCTAACTTAACTTACCTTAACCAACTTAAAAAAATTCAATTACCCAAAAATGGCGGTACTCACTTACCGCGCAGTCTTTTGTATGATATTATTAATGTTTGCTTAAGGCCGTTCTTTTTATTCCGCGGCTTTTGACACATTTCCGGGCTCAAAATGCCTTCTCATACTGGGCTCGACATTCGCAGTATATTCTCTCGTGCTGCATGTTTTTTCCGCGGGATTTGAGCTAAATTAACATAGTTTAGGCTTCTTTATGTTATCATGCATTTCTGCTTTTTTTGAGTTCTATTTTGTTGTATTATCTAATAGCTTGTAGTTTACAGAACGTATTTTACCGTTTTTGTTCATATTTTACTTTTTTCAATCGACATACTATAACTTTCTTTTTTATTGTTGTTTCCTTGTTCATTACCAAACCTTAATTCTCATTATTGCTTGTTAAATCTTGTTTAATCAATTTTTGTTTTAATATTTAGTACTTTGACCTTTTTGAATTCGAAAAACCGGATTTTAGAGTACTGATAGTTTACACATTTTTTAATTTTTAAAACGAAACGTGCTTAATGGCAAATCCTTAATGAGTTTTATGTTGTTTCTATGGTTTAGGTGCTGTTAAGCGGCTTTATTACTCTTTTATTGGGTTTGTTTTTGATAACAGTAATATAAGTTGACAAATAATTTTTAAGTACTAGGTTGTTCAATTAATTATGTGATCCTTCTCAAAGCAATTTTTTGGGGTTAGGGGCACAGAATTATTTGAAAAACCTAATGCTATTATATTATTCAAACTAATATTAGGTTGTTCGAAATGTAATGAGCCACTAAATAGCTACGATAAAACCTTAACTTGTTTTTTACATATCGGGTCAAAAAGTTGGTAGAAAAACTAAAAAAATACTAATTATAAAAGCTTTAGAAATTGAGGTTACTAAGGTTTTTATTTTTATAGAATCCAAAATTTAAAAAAATTTTGATTTTATTTTTTAAAATTTTCATTACACTACCTTAATGCCGTACAACTAGACATGGCAAACGGGCCGGGCCGAGGCCCGCGTCGGGATGTGTTTATAATGACAGTTTTTGATCGCCATTTTTTCGTTTTTTGCCAAGTTTTGCCGCCTTTTCATTCGTTTTGCCGTTCCCATATCTATGGGAATCCGGGTACCCTCTGGCATTTATTTTTCCCGGGTTTTATTTGTTTCAACGTGCCAGTAGTCCAGTGGTTAGGACGCTGCCCTCCCAAGGCAGAGGCCCGAGTTCGAATCCCGGTTGGCGCAAACTTTTTGTTTTGCCAGAAATTAGCAGAAAGTGAAATCTTTTTAGTATGACCTTCGATAGTATGACATCCTGTTTTTAGTGACAGCTTTTTGACCGCCCTTTGTAATAGAACACCTATCAAAAAGTACCTGGATAAAGCAACACCCAGGGTTTCCAAGGCCCTGGTTATTTTGCATAAAGTGAAACTTTTTTAGTATGGACCTTGATAGTTGGACACTCTTTTTATAATAACAGGTTTTTGCCCGCCTTTTTTTAATAGAATTCCCATTTAAAACTAACTGGGTCGGTAGGATGACAACCGGGTTATAAGGACAGGTTTAAACCAGTTACTTGAGGATCATCTATATGATAAAGAGGTTTGTTTGACTAACTATTGTTTCTTATACAGAACGTTCTTTGTCTTGTAGTTATTATACTTCTGTGTACTATGTACAACCAAAAACAATTAGATACAGAAGTGACTACAAGTCATACACGTTATCAGCATAAGTCATACCGTTAACTAGAGAAAGCCACATCTTTTATCAACACAAACCATACCCTCCACTTCTCACTTCTTCCATTCTCCCCCCCCTCTATTCTTGTCAGCTACCAAAAATAACGTTCAAAATAGATTACCGCACGAAAAACGTCAGATGGACACTTTCCCCTTATCTATAGCCATAGTGCCTCTTCTTGTTTTCAACGCTAATGTCAGTTCATCCATGGGTAATTATTTTTGGGATGGGAGAAAACGTTGTGGCCAATTTATCGAATGTTTTTTTGAATTTTTCGCAAAAATTGGCATTGTTTTTTATGTTTATAACTTTGTCAAATTTTAAATTTGTAAGCATGACTTATCTGGGAAATCAAAAAAGAGCTTGAAACACAATGCCAAGTTTTTCAGATTGTCGGGAACTTCAAATATTTTTATTTTAAAAACCAAAAGTGCGAGATAAAATTTTTTATAGGTACTATTGGTGGTACAAAGAACTCGTATAAAAATCTTGAGCCGATTCTGGGCGGGGCAGGCTGGGTAAAAGATAGAGAGATGTAAGTAGTACTAACTAAATTTTGATACTATTTAGTACGGTTTTTAGACAGTGCATTTTAAATTTTTCACAATAAAATTTTTAATATTTCTTTATTTTTTTGTAAAATTTTTAAAAAAAATGTCAAGAACGTGCGTTTCAAAACTCTCTAGCCTATGACAATATCCACTATCAATGTATTATGGAACCTATAAAAATATCCAGTATCACTATAAATCCCCTTGTAATCCCCACAGTGTTAAAAAGCAAAGAATTAGCAAAAGATAATCTCGTTCCCAAGATAGTATACGATGCTCTTTTCTAATATATTTATAAACATTCCTTTCTGAACGTCAATATAATACTAAAATGTTCCATTTTAAAAATGAATGTTTCTTTTATAAACATGAATGTTCTTTTGCCTTGCCACTTTTAAACCCCTTGTTTTGGCCGCGTTATCAGTTGACTTTCGAACGCGAATCGCTTTCCGATTCGAAGTTTACATAGCGTGTCATCTGCGTATTTTATTAATTTCCAACGATCAGCAAGGGCTTTCGTTGAAATTCGCTCACTTCTGATGATTATCTTCGCTTTTCGTTGAATCTTTTTAACTTTATCACTTGCGATGAGTTTGAAAACAAACCTCAACGAATGTTTGCCGATTACTTTTAAAGCTCAATATCAAAGAATACAATAATATGATGGGAGTAAAAATCATTCATTTCGGGTTTTAATGGTATGATTAGTGTAGTGTTGAGGTCATTTTAGCTTTGGGTTAAAAATAGTAGTATGATTGGGAAGTTAAAGGGTAGGTTGATTCAAGGTCTAGCTGAGTTTAATTCAAAGATCTAGTCTGTTTTTCTGATTCTAAATTCTAATGGCGATCCAAAAAGATGCTATTTCAGGCCAGGCTATACCTGTAAAGGCGCTAAAGTGCGCCCAATTTGTCGGCCCGGCTCCTTTACAGGATTTTTAAAGTTGTTCCACAAAGCCTCTGGGCCATCTGTTGCCGGGCATCGGTACAAGACTCTTTTTCAAGGCCCGGCCAGTAGACTTTTGGCTCCAAATTTTAAAAAACTTCTACATTTTTTTAAATTCAAAACACAAATTTTGCAAAGCTCTAACACATGTTTACCCTTCTTAACCGTAGTAAATAGTATTTTTTGTTATCTACAATTTACAATGGCCTTGAAAATTGTAGTCATGATAACATGTATAATGGCTATATTCATGCAGAAGTAGAGGCTTGTTTATTGTGATATTGTTCAAAAACATAACTTTTTGTAAAATAATATTTACAATAACTAATAAAATAATATTTACAATAACTAATAATTTTCATTTGCACTTTTACAAAAATTTTAATGTTGCACTGTGCACTTTTATTATATTTACCGCCAAAAGTTTTGAAAATTGACAAAACGATTAATAAAAACGTGACAAGCATTTTTCATTGATAAAAAATCATAAAAATGATGATTACTTTTTGATCACAAATCTTGACATTTTTTGATTTTAACCTTTAAATTAACATTTAAATTGATTTTTTCGTAAAATTAAAAAAGACTGTTTTTTTTTTGTTGTTTTAGGTCATTTTTGACGATTTTCTGGCTTCAAAAGTTACTTTTGATGGCATGTTCGTCTTCAAGCTTGATAAATAAGTGGTTTTAGCTCTTTTTAACCTTTAACTCGACTTTTAATGCTTTTTTAACCTTAAAAATTACTTTGATTACCAAAAAAATTTTGTAAAATGTTGTAAAACTCAATTTTCCCTCTAAATTACCATGTTTAGCTCATTTCAACCTCAAATCTGTCTTTTAACGCCATTTTAACCTCGAAACAAACTTTTAATGCCATTCTAATCTTACTCAACCCATTCCTCATGAGAATATCATATTGTGTTTACACGTCAAACATAATAAAACGGCTTCTGACTGGCCTAGACTCGGATTAAACGTGTAAACAATTACTTTGTCACAACATTTTGTTTTGTTTTTGACCCAAAAATCAACCCCCCCCCCTTTGCAAAGAGTGTTCGGACGCTGTAAAGTAATGTATTAGATTAAACTGCTCGTAGACAAGTTGGTGTTTTAGATCAAACTTGGTTTTAAAACAGTGTTTTGGATATTCGAACACATTTTAGGTAATATTTTTGTGGAAAAGTGTTGTTTTCCTTGTTGGGCGGGTCATTTTGTACTAGCGGGGTGATTTTTGTTTGCGGGCGATGTAAGTTTTTTTTTTAAATATTGGTTTACCCTAATGCTAGTAGTAGTATGAGGTTCCAAGCCTCTCTTTGCTTCCAACTTGTTCAATTTTCAAATGTTTATCACTTGTTATCAATCAGCTTTGAATGTACTACAAGTTGGAAGTGGTTTTGAATTGAAAATTAAGTTAAATTTTCCTGTTTTCGATCATAACAAAGTACTCTGTACCGGTTTACTGCTTAAATCATGATAATCTTGGCTAGAATTTTGTATACAGCTTATTTTGACCATATACATGATCAAGCTTTAATAACAATACACAATGTATTACTCGAAATATTATATATGCAGTTATTTGGCTAAATATGCACTTTTGAACCTTTTTGTGAGATTATAAGTACTACTACCGTAATAATATATTTAAAGTTTATTTTTTAGCCAAAAAAGTTTTAAAATTTAATTTTTTTCGAAATCTATTTACTTCAAAACTTTATATTTACTTCAGAATTCGTAAACATCTATATTATCTTTAATAAAAATAAACACTTCTACGTCTTATCAAGTCACTTTACTATAATAACATTACTACTATCAAATCAAAAACAATATGAAATCATACTTTTTGTAAACTTCCTATTGATCTTGCACCCATCTTACAGTGGCTCTAGTACTGGTTTTTTTTTTCGTTTTTTTATGTCCAAACTTGCAGGCTATGGTCAAAAATTTCGTAAAGTAGCCCTTTTTAGTACTAGTTGTTGCAATTTAGTACTACATAGTCTTTAAACTTTTTTGGCATTTTTTGACCAAAATGACACAAAACAAAGACCAATATTCAAACTTTTCATATTTTCAAAATTTCAAATTTCGCTGCTTCAATACCTCAAAACAGCCTCTTTGATACCTCATTCATACACCCCAAATATACAGTTTTAAACAAATATTATCGGGAAGCTCAAATTTATGATCAAAAGCGCAGTCCAGCCAGGGAAACCCGGTCATTGCAATGGGAAAACAATATTGTCGGTCTTTGCTCGTATTTTTCTCAAGTTAGAGATACGAGCGGGGGGAATACCTCGATGGGTCTTTCTCTCCGCGTCGCACATGTCAATATGAAAATATAAGACATAAACAGGAGAAATGGTTTATAATCGACCCGCATTTCTTAAATTAATTTGGGCGATCTCATCTTATTGTGATCTCTTTTGCTTTATATTGATGTAGATGATCTTTAATATCATTTTTTGGTCTTTTTAGGTAATCCCATAATCTAGTCTCTTTCACGATATATCAATGTTCTGCCGAACTTTGTCGATGAAACTTGCAAAAAGGTTTCAGTTTGTTGATGAATTGGATTTTCGGAAAGTGGGTACGGTACAAGTACTGTAACTTTTAAACGATTGTGAATTTTCGAACAATTCTTTTAAAAACAGCTGAACAGATAAAGTATCTATCTTCACAAAAAATTTTACGTCTCTACCTGTCTTCCACACAAGGTTATGAGCAAAACAAACTTGCAAACCTCTCTCTGACGCCTACTGTATAATATCAATCGTATATCGCATCGCAAAGGCATAATCAATCGCGTATATCATCGTAAAGTGATAATCAAGGTCAAAAACAACTTTTAAGTTTACAAATAAAGCGAAAAACAACGTGGTTTACTGCTATCAATGTTATCATAGGCGTATCTTCCGTGATTGAACGTTTGTTTGCTTATACGGCAATTTTCTAGTCAATAAAAGCCCATTATCATTACTAAAATAAGGTAAATACAATCTTAAATATGTGTTGTCTTGGAATATAACATTTATTTTACCAAATTCGACAAAAATTCAATGAAATTTCGAAGTTTTCTTTAGAAATCAAGCAAAATCTTGTCAAGTCTTCCTCTAATTTCTCGAAAAACCGGGCCATGTCTTGCACTTTATCGGATAAATTGATAAAACTGTAAATTTTACAGTTGCTCCACAGGTCTTTCTCTACCTAAACCATTGAGTGCCATTTTTCTCTGCACAAACAGGTTTTTGTTTATCTAAATCTAACCATAATGTCAACATCCTATATTACTTTACACTTTCATTCGTGAACTTTTGACGTTGGTGCACTTATATTATTGTTTCGTGCAAGAATGTTCTATCGCCTGTTTAAGAACCTTACCAAACATCAGATGGGGTACACACAAAAGGGCGATCATCATGTAAATCGCGTTGATTCACCGCCGCCGCGGATCTCCTTCTTGTAAGTTGTGTTATTGTTGTGTTGAACATGATCGTGTGTTTGGTGAACAACGTTTTTGGGGCCATTTTTTGGTAAGAACGGTAGTTTAGGTATTTTTCTATGTTTTTGAAGATGTTTGAGGGCTTGCGTTACTGAAAAGCTTATTTTGATTGATTTAATGTAGACCGGCATGGATAAAATAGAGTTTATCTTTATTTCAATGTTAAAGTTTTAGTTTTTGATGGATTTTCTTGAAATTTTGTGTAATTTGAGATATTTTAGTGAAGAATGGAAGTATCTGTTCAGAAATGCGGAATTAAATGCAGAAACTCTCAGGAATCACTGTTTTGCGGGCCATCTCAGAGATTCGAATCTCAGATCTGTTGTTTGGAGAGTAAGTTTGGTTTCTTTGTACTTTAAGTAGTATTTGGGTTTATACACGATAAAAAGGATGTATTTTTGATTATTTTATGCGAAAATTAATTTAAAATTTATTTTTTTATTCTAAATGATGTTATCTTTGTAGGTATTGTTAAAAGTGTTGCCATACGAACGTTTGGAATGGAGGAGGATTCTCAATGACAGAAGAGCTGACTACACTGAATTAAAGAGGAGATTGAACACAAATCCAAGAGCTGAAGTCTTCATGGACGACCCAAATTTAAACAATCCATTATCACAGAAGGATGAGGTATGTTATTATCAGTAAAATCTGATTGGTAATAATAAGCTTTGCTCTTAAATTATGTTGATATACTTTGATGTTTGATGCTTATTTTGAATTTATTGTTTTGGTATGAATGCTGCAAAGATAATCTTGTTGATGTTGCTGTTTTTAGAATCCATGGAACCAATTTTTTATCGACGAAGGCTTGAGGGATTCTATTCAGAAAGATGTCGACCGAACGTAAGTCGAAATTTATATTATTTTATGTTTTTAAAACCACATTATGACATTAAATATGAAATTTTACGTCTGTATATGTAAAATAATTAATGTAAAACATTGTTTATCATGATTAATATAGCTCTTTCTAAATTATTCACGTTATCATGGCAATTTTAATAAATTTTTGTAAATTAAGTATAATTTAGTTGTTAACGTGGTAAAAGCACAAGTTGTTTAACTAGTAAAATACGGTGTCTTTATTGATTGTTGGTTTCAGATTCCCAGAACTGCAATTCTTCCAAAGTCACACCACGAAACGAATTATGTCGGATATATTGTTCGTGTACTCTAAACAAAACTCACATGTTTCTTATCGACAGGTAAGTGAAAACATCGCTAGGTCTTGCTATGAAAAGCCCGATAGGCTTTGACTTGTAAGCTTGCTAGGCCTTCCTAAGAAAAGCTCGCATGCTTTGGATAAAAATTGTAATTTTAAAAATTTGCAACAGTAAACTGCGTCGTATTTTAAACAGAACGTGTAATAAATATTCTATTTTAGGGCATGCATGAGATTTTGGCACCTATTTTGTTTGTTATTTACTTTGATCATAGATCATTTGAGCACCTCAGCGAGCAAAACGCCTTAACGTAAGTTAATATTGTTTATTATTTTATCTTACAGTTTTTTGAAGTTATAATTTTGTTATTTAATTTTTAAATATCTTTAAAATTTTTGAAAAATTTTAAAAAATCAAGTCTATTTTTTACCTTTTTACCACTATTTTGCTAAAATACGAAATCTACGAAAAATGTCGAACTTCTGACAGAAATACACGACTTATGACAATCTTGTTTTAGTGGATTCACGGATTTCGAACTCGAAACACTAAAGGCATTGAACGACCCAGCTTACCTTGAACATGATGCTTACACGTTGTTCCAGCAACTTATGTTTCTATTAGAAGGTTTCTACGCCAATCACGATATGGATGATGTTACTTCGAGGAAGGAGAATCAGCGGCCGTTTCAGTAGTAAGTTGGGCTTTTTTGTCTGGTTATAACGCTCTTCTATATTGTTATAAGGAGGGCTATATGCAAAATTTTGATACGCTTTTTGTAGTGTTCTTGAGTAATTTTTGACCGACTATGATCACATTTATATATGTACGTATATGGCTTGTACCGTATTTTACAAAGCTCATTTTTAGTCCAAGCTCACCAGGCGACTTTCAAACAGAACTACTGAACAGACTAACCTATATTCATGAAAGGTTATTACCAGAAGTCGATTCTCTGCTCTATAGACATTTACATTCTCTCAACATACCACCACAGTTATATGGAATGTAAGTGTTTTTGGAAATTTTAAAGGATTGTCGCCTAAAATTTGAATTTTTGAGGAAAATGTTACCTAAGTTTGAAATTTAAAGAATTTTTACCTAAATTATGAATTTTGAAGGAAGTGTTACCTAAAATTTCAAGGTTTTTTATATGAATTTTAAAGTTTGTTGCTTAAAGGTATGATTTAATATTGTAGTTTAAAATTATTTTAGCCGCTGGCTCCGTCTACTATTCGGCCGGGAATTTCCTCTGCATGACCTGCTATACCTATGGGACGTGCTCTTTGCTGATTCACCTGTTTTGGGACTATGTGAAGAAGTATTTCTGGCACTGTTGGTACAAATACGGCATTTGTGTAGGTTTTTCTAACGCTATTTAGGTACTATAAAGTTATATTATAGTAGGTATAGCTTTATGTTATGATAGGCTCTAGGGATTCTTTTTAAACGTTATTTTTTAGCAGGTATACCGTTATATTATAGTAGGTGTAACCGTATGTTATTGTAGGCTTAAGGGCTTCTATTCAAAAATTATAATATAGTAGGTATAACATTATATTATAGTAGGTGTAAATCCTATTTTGAAAATATTTTTCGTTGTTAACACCTTTATATGGCCTTCATAACAACAATGTAAAGATTGAATTTCAATGTAAACGATAAAAGTGTAACACAACCACAAGTTCATATATTATTCATGGTGTTAATGCCATTTCTTTTTAGTGTTATGTGGGGATTATTCCTCTACCTTGCAATATTTGATGAGATATCCTCCAACCGCTGACATTCACGTCTTTGTCCAGCTTGTTTTGCATTTGAAAGAGCCAAAAGTAGGTTTATATTGTTGGTATCTTTGTAGGTATTGCCTTATTTTAGCCGTTTTTTGGTTTATGTGGGATAAAATGGCATTTTTTGGGCGGTACTGTAGTTTTTTGGGTGGATACTGTATTTAAAATTTGAAAACAATGTTTATAGTGTTAGTTGAGGTATGACATGATGACATTTGATATGGTAAATTTAGTTTTAAAATTTTTTTATTTTTGCACCGTGCAAGATAAAAAACTCTTTAAAAGTGCTCAAAAGAGTATTACAATGTTTATTTTACGCTGTTAATGCTTATATTTGTATTTCAGAAGTACCCAAAACCAAAGAACCTAGCTCTATATTCGCATCTTACACTCGCCGGCAAAACCCACCCCAATCAAGACCGGTCGGTGAGCCGATTTGCCAATGGAGTTTCGAATGGCAAACCCAAGTCCAATGTGCTTAGCAAAATAGGTATGTTTTTGCGTTTTTTCTTGCTGAATTTGATTTAAATATGGCAATAAAAGTCAAAAAAAGTAAAAAAAAGTTTTTAAAGAATTTTTCAAAATTATTTCTACGAACTTTTTGACTGAAAACCATGTTTATTTTTCAGCACGACCCGCCCTATCAGCCAACTCCACGCCCTTGATGAAACGCCCCGAGAACGGGATGAATGGCGCAGCCGAAATGGTGCCGTTGAAGCTAGCGGTACCAATGGACACGGTGAGAGTCGCTTCACATTGTGTGTAGTGTCGTGATCCACTATGTTATTACCTATTGTTATCATATAACAGCATCCTTTCATAGCCTCAGTTTTTCAATTTCGTCACGGTTTCTTTCATTTTGTAGCTGATTACTGTAGTTTTTTTATGTTTTAGCTGGTATACGGTACTTTTTTTTTTTGTTTTTAACATATATACGGTACTTTTTTATTTTTTATTCAGGTATACTGTAACGTGGTGCTACTTTACATAGGCATACTTTATCTTTTTATTTTGTGGTAACTTTGACATGTTTTTTCTTTACTAGTCCGGTCAAAAAGTATTATAACCATCTTTTTTTACTTTTATAGCCGCTATTTACTTTCTGACCGGGCTATAGTGTTGGTGCAGGTTTTCTCAAGAAGTAGTGAGTAGATTTGTAGACTTTTGCTTTCTTATAGAGCAGTAGGTAATTACAGAAATAGATGACATTTTAACTGTTATACAGTAATTTTTGTTTGTTAAGTTTGACTTTATCCTTTGATCCCCTTCCCGTTCTGGTGCTTTGTTTTGCTTTGTGTTACTCCTATCATTGAGTGTTGTTTACGTTTTTAAAAGTATTAAATATTCTATTTAATTCTGAGTTTTATACGATTTTTGGGGGTTTGTTTGGGGTTGATAATCGTTTTGTAGGTATGCAAACCGAAGGTATAAAAGAAAAATGTTGTAGTATAGGTAAAAGAGGTACTTTTAAACCAAGTTTTTCTTGACATATAGTACTATAAAGATGTTATAGTATACGTAAAAGGAGGCAAAAGATATACTCTTTAAGTCAAAGCTAGCCCTGTTACTTAGTGATATATAATTTACTATAAAATGTAGTTTTTTCCTAGTTAATTAACACTAGACAGCTTTGTTTTTAAAAGTTTAAATTAAATCTTTTGGTTCCCATTTGATTAGCAAAGGTTTCGTTAATTGTAAACAGTTTGTAGGAAAGAAATTAAACAATTCCATGCGTGATTTAAACGCCTTTAAGCAATGGGTTCAAAAATTGAATTGCTTTTTTGTAAAATTTTACATTTCTAATGAATTTACTTGTTTAGAAGGTATAAAGAAATAAAGATAGCCTAATAATATATATACAATGGAGGTATGCTCAAAAATAGCAAAATCGGTTTTAAGTTTAAAGGTTTTTTGGAAACATCTGTGCTTATTTTGTTCATATTTTAAAGAAAACTGTCATTTATAAAAAGCAAAAGCACCATTTTACTTATTATATTAAGAGTTACACTGTGTTTTTGTGACGTGATACGACGAAATCTTCTAAAAATACATTATTTTTGCATAATACTTCAAAATCTATGTTTGTATCATGAAGCTGACAAAGCCCTTCATAAATGTAGTGCTAATACTTTATAAAATAAATATTGTAGTAGGCATATAGGTAAAACTTCAGTGTCAAGAGGATGGTACAAACTTACAAATTGTGGTAGTAAATTTAAATTTGTAGTACAGAGAAACCTCTTCAATATGACCCTCGATAGTATGACATCCTGTTTATGATTACAGCTTGTTGACCTTATCAAAAAGTACCCGGGTAGTTTGATACCCTGGCTGTATAAGAAGGACATGTTTGGAGCAACCCCTTTAGTGTCATACTTGCTGTCTTTTCATTCTTTTTGCCGTTCCCATATCCATGGGAATCCGGGTACCCTCTGGCATTTATTTTTCCCGGGTTTTATTTGTTTCAACGTGCCAGTAGTCCAGTGGTTAGGACGCTGCTCTCCCAAGGCAGAGGCCCGAGTTCGAATCCCGGTTGGCGCAAACCTTTTGTTTTGCCAGAAATTAGCAGAAAGTGAAATCTTTTTAGTATGACCTTCGATAGTATGACATCCTGTTTTTAGTGACAGCTTTTTGACCGCCCTTTGTAATAGAACACCTATCAAAAAGTACCTGGATAAAGCAACACCCAGGGTTTCCAAGGACCTGGTTATAAGGAAAGGCTTGGCCCAGTGCCTTGAGTGTCATACAGAAGAGGTTTGACCGTAATATAATTAATTATATGTTTGTACTTTTAAAAACTCAAAAATTTTGTTGATATTATCATTACTTTTAAAAAAACTTAAAATTGTAGTAATATTACCATCAATTTTTGAAAACTCAAGATCCCCATTAGTAACATTGAAGAAAACACTTTTCAAAGATGTTTATGAGTATGTTGTCATCCCTATTCAAGCGGATTGACGCACGTCTCTGACGTTCAAAACACCATTATCCCCTCCCGAAAATCCGCGATTCTAATTTGGTTAATGTTGGTATTCCACGGTGGTCACGCCACTTGTTGGGCGTGGCAGTTTTTAATCAAATTAAAGACTTTCACCTTACTTTAATTAAGATTTCAGTAAATCTGGAATTAGATGTAAACATGTCGTTAACGTCCTTTTCTGCTCAGATTAGAAGGGTTTGGATTAGGGTGGATGAAAATGGGTGTTTAAAAGTGGCAATGGAAGAATAATACATCTAATCTGGCGTATTTTTAGTTTTCTTTTCATATCTTTTGGTTTTAGTTTTAAAATTTTTTTGTTTTAGTATCTTGTGCCTTTAGCCGTTAAGCACAAATTACTAAAGCAGTGGTACGCTGGGGTGGTAAGTTTTAAAAAACCTCTACCTGCCTTGTAAACTCAAAATTTTTACTTCCTCTTGGCCAAAATTGACTGCTGTTTAAGATATATGACTAAAATCGACCGTTGCTTGAGATATAACATTTTACTGTATCCCTGGTGACTAAAACTGACGTTTTTTCATATTGTAGCAGCTAAAAAAACTGAAAGACACCTGTAACGTTATTGATGCCTAGGTAAACCTTTAAAATTCTATACAGTTTTAACACATAACATTTAAAAAGGCATTTAAGACCCAAAAATAAATTGACCAAACATTACTTTTCAAGAAACAAAGTACTTTAATTTTTACACGGAACTTATTACTATGTCAGTAAAAGCTTGTAAATATTAGGTTGCTCACATAATTCTGCGCCTCTAACTCCGCGAATTTACTTTGAGAAAGGGCACAAAATTATGTGAACAACGTATTAGTAAAAAATTGTAAATAGTCAAATTGTAAGGTTTAGAAGTCCTTTTATTTACTTACTGTCTATATTATTAAAGGTTAGCTCTACTTACCTCTATATGATTAAAAATGGAAGTAAGTTGAGCATAAACAAGGTTTGGAATACATAATAGTTGCCACACAATGGTCTTATAATCGAATTATTTTCCGAAACCTTTTTTGGGAATATTTTTTTTGGTGTACTTTTACTTTAGATTTGTATACTTTAACAAACATGCGTGTATATTGTTGTACTTGGGTACTGTGTTTGAGTTTTAATGTAATTGAGTATTGTTTTTAAGTTTTCCCTTATTTTTTCTTTCTCTTTGTGTTAGTACTTAAGATACTATTCATCATTTACATTGTCCTTTGTCGTAAGACCCTAGTACTGCAAATGTCATAGCACCATAGTACTCACAATAGCAAAAGTACAGATTTTTTTGTCGCTTATTTACTTCGGACAACTCAATTGTGCTAAAAATTATAACAAATTGTTCAAATAATTCTGTGCCCCTAACCTCTATAATTTGTTTTCAAAGAGGACACAGAATTATTTGAACAACCTAACAATACCCTTCGTACATTACTCATTTGTCACAGTGCTATACCCCAAAGCTTACTTTACGTCAACCCCAATGCAATTACAGTACCCCAAACCCCCAAAAATTAATGTAACTCAACCCCCAAAAAATTACAGTACCACCCCCGGAATAAAATTACAGTACCCTAATTTCAGAACAATGCGGAGCCGGACCTGGAGTTGATGAAAGAGCAGATCTGCATATTGCAATCTCGTCTCAATGATGCTGATTTGAAGGCCAGAAAAGCGGCCAAAGATCTGCTGGAAACAGCTGAATATCTAGAACAAAAAGAAGAGATTGGGAACCAAGAACTGTGCACAATAGCTGATGAGTTGAGAGAAATGGCATTAGTTTTGAGGAATGACATGTTGATGGAGATGGAACGGCGAAGGGCTGACAGTATTGTAGGTTTTTGATGCCTGTTTGTTTGGAAGTTTGGAAGATTATAACAATTGTTTTAGAATCGCCGCCCAATGACAGCTGAACACTTTCAACTGATCCAAATGAATCAAGACCCTGTAGCAAACGTTCAGCCAGCTAAAGCAACTCCCAGGTCCGGTGAAATGGTGGAATTACACTTTGCAAGAAAAAAGAATTTCTAACTTTGTATATACAACTATAGTAACATTAATTAGTCATCTATTCTAATCATAATCCCTTTCCATTCACATATTACCTTAGGTTTATATTCTTAACATCTCGAATTTTGAATTTAGAGCGATTGTTTTATATTAGAGCCTTTCTGTAAGCTAGTTACTGAAGACTGTTTTACCATACTCACTATCTTCGTTACGCTAATTAACCTAGTCTATCGTACTCTTTCTTATTTTAGTTTCCAGCATTATTACTCCAAGATTCTCATATCAAGTACCAATTCAGTTTTTGCCGCCGAAAAACGCTTGTAATTACAATTGGTCTTACTGTAGAAATAATTACAATTGGTCTTACTGTAGCTTCGTTTTCTCACCGCCATTCACAAGGATGCTTACAATTATATGTGCTCTCAGCTTTCCAATATCTACTGTAACTTCATCTGACAGTATATCGGGTTACTTCATACTGTAACTTCATCCTTCCTACAATGTACATCGAAGAGCATCATATAATACCCTTCATATCCACTCGGTATATTTCTAGTGTATGAACACAGTTTTAAGGTTCAATTCCATATATTTATATCGTTCTTGTAGTATAATATTTGTGTTGTTTCTACACTGCATTGTAGTATATATACACAACTATAACACTATATGGCTAATACACTTTTACTGTACTAGTATTATCTATGAAGGTAATCTTACAGTATTACAGTAGTTATTGTTGAGTAATCTTATAGTATTATCATAGTTATTGTTTTAATCTCAACGGATTTTCAGGTCATGCACTTTTTTCAGTTAATATTATTCTTCTGCACTATTGATAGTCAAAGTATTTTTTACCGTAGTCTAACAAATATTTTACTATTAGATAGCCAAAAATTTAGTCACAGTAGGTTATTGTGATGTCTTCGCAGCTTTATGGTGTTGTTACTACGCATTTCTCGAATATATCTTGATATTTGTGTCTTTTACAGTCGGTTGTCGTTAGTTATTGTTGTGTATATACCATAAAAACACCAGCCATGTAAAATAAGCTTACATAGACGGTGATTTGATGTTACTATCTTTTTCACATCATATGGTAATATATTTGGTTGTTCAAGTAATTCTGAGCCCCTTTCAAAGAATTTTTAAGAATTTTATAGTTTGAAGCACAGAATTACTTGAACAACATAATAATTTTAAATTATATGATTACATATACAACAAAGTGGCAACAACCGCAAATCGTTTGGTATCTCGCCCCAATTGTCAATTTACCGCAACCAGGACATCGACGAGTTTCGGCTCGCCGTATCATCGTATCTTTAGCAATTTGTTATCTTTTATTTGTACTAATTTTTCCCTATCAGATATTATCATTGGCTATTTGGGCCCAAACGAAATAAAGAACTGATCAAGAAAGCAAAACACATAGTCGTATCTTTGAGTATTCACAATATAATCGTAGATAAACGTATATTAGCCCTTCATTAATTTATATACTACTTGACAAGAGGCTAAGACCAATTGGAAGTTAAAATACTATAAAAAGGACCAATACTACAGCAAAAACTACTAATATCAATATATTACCCAAATAGCTAACATAGCATTTAAAATTTTATTAAAAACTAAATAATTTGAATAAATTACACAATATCACAATATAAAGGCAAGACCATATCAAACTACTTTTTAAACTGTATTCTCTGTACTTTTACTTCGTCTTTGACAAGTCGATAAAGGTATGCTACTACTACATTTGGTTGTATGTCCAACAGCACAAAAGATGGCACTACCTCCCTACAAATTTTTATTGTATTTCAAACTCTCATTGTAGTTTTTGAATAACTTTAAAGTGTTTTGATGGCTTACTTCTTCGAAAGCTTAACCAACATCGAAAATTTAAACCTTTATCCTCTAAACCTTAAAATACGAAAAAATATTAACTTACTCTTCGGAAATCGGCGTATAAGCACCAGTGGCTGATCCTGGGTTCACATAAAACACTCCATCCTTCTCCTTAACATCACAGACATGTGTGTGTCCAGTGATCAAGATATCTACATTCATTTGTCTGGCCAAGAGCTCCGTTGCCTATAACAATATAAAATTAAGCATTGACAAATTGTAAACAGAGCTAAATAGTTTAAAACTTGATCAAAAAGTGCTTAAAAGCCTCGAGCAGCTTGCCAAAACTTTACAAAAGTTTTTGACACGTAGTTTACTAGTAGAAAATGTTTCCCAGCGAATTTTCTACAATAACAACTGATATTTGCCTAAATTAAAAAAAAAACTAACAAAAACACTCACCACATCATCTCCCCACGGCACAATCTGATGTCCATGTACAATGCCAATCCTAAACTGTCCCAATGTAACTATTTTCTCTCCTGGAAACACCAGACAATCGTCAAAATCTCCACGAACAACATGTACATCTCCAGCCAGCGATTTCAGATAATCCATTGTCGCTTTTGTGCACAAATTACCAGTTGCCAACACATGTTGCATTTTATTTGGTACTAGTAACTTTCTAAACTTGGCTGGAAGCTGTGCCACTCGATGGGGAATGTGAAAATCCCCAATAACTAAGACTAGCTAAAAAAAAGGGAATTATAAACGTTAAATTTGTGAAAAATAATGTCTAAAATAATATAAAACTTAATGTGATAAAACTTACCATTATAAACAACAATAATCAAGCCAGATCAAACAAAATTCGAAGAGAAATTCAATCCGAAAAAAAAAGTAAAATTATTTTCTATGTGTCAACTCTTTTTTTCTGTTATAAATGTGTCAAGTCATACGCTACTGTGAAAAGGATGTTGTTATAGGGATAATCAGGGCCGGGCGGGGACTTTTAGTCTGGGGGCAGGGGTCCAAAAAATTTTTTTTCAAAAATCCACTGGGGGGACCACGTTCAAATTTTTTCGAAAATTTTTTTTCTGTGGGTACCCCCCGTCCCCCCCCCCACCCTCGCGCCCGGCCCTGGGGATAATATAGAAAAATTTAAAAAGTCGAGCAAGAATTTAAGATTTAAAATACGTTACTGTCATGATAAGCCTTGTTATAGTTATTTTTTTTATTGTATAACGTCCCATTTCAAAACATTCCTTTTATAACTGGCTAATAAGGCAAAAATCTTGAGTAAAAACAACTTTTAACGTTGTGAAGCTTACGCAAATTTATCGAAACTTTATGTTCACACTATATCAACATTGTTGACATCACTTTTGACACTTTTTTTTAATTTGTTGACAAGATTTGCGACATTGTAATCCTCACCAATTAGAAAGTTATTTCCGCCGAAACCTTTTTATCAGCGGCTTAAGAACTGCGCTGAGAAAGTTGTGAACGATGAACGGAAATGCCCATCGAAACCAGTCCCAAGAGGCGTCAGAAAGTCGCGATTTTGACGACATTCCCTTCGGATGTTGTGATAAGAAAAAGTTTGGATTAATAATAGGGAGCGATCGCCGTGGGGGGTTAATAAAGACTATTGGACTTGGTGGTTTATTGACTGTCACATTATCACTTTCATCTTCATTTTCTTACCTATACAGGTATTTTACAATGTTTTAGTGTCGATATCTTTATTTTAAACGGTTTTTCCTAAAGGTTTACTTATTATTAGGTTGTTCAAATAATTTTGCGCCCTTTTAAAAGCAAATATTCGGGGTTAGCAACAAACGTTTTAAAACCATTATTTCAATGATAATATAAAACATTGAAATTGAAGAAAAAGGTAAAGTAATAGTCATCGTATTTTAGGTATCAATGAGGAAAAGAACATTATTGACGTTATTCGTGTTTGCCTTATGTCATTGTGTATCAGCATCTATTGCCAATGGGTTAAAACAGAAAAGCGATAAATTCGTGAACATTTTAATGCCAAAGTACCAAGGTAAGAACATGATGGGCAGGACTAAAAAGGACAGTAGCAGAATTGGGTACCGGTAAAATAGGCGAGGGTAGACTTAAGTTGGATGAAAAAAGATAGGGCCAGACTTGAGTAAAGCTAAAATGGGCAAAGTAGGGCTAAAATAAGTGGGAGTAGGATTGGGTAGAATTATAATAAAATGGGCAGAGGTAGGCTTGGGTAAGGCTGAAATGACAGGGGTAGGCTTCAATAGGACTATAATAAGCAGCAAATGCTTGGATGGGTCTGCGAGAGGGTAAATTATGCTTGGGTGCGACAAAAATGTATAAAATTTTAATTTAGAAAAACTCCGTGAAATCCACAGAAACAAGCGAATGTATAAGAATATAGATCTCGATTCGAATGACCTGGATGAATTCAAAAAGCCGAAGACAAGAAAAGATTACTTGGCTTTGAATACAGAGACCTTTACACAGCTAAAACTTTCAAAAAACATGTCACAGTTTTTAGTATCGGTAAGAATTTAATAAAATCTATTTCCAAAGATACACAGTTTAAAATACGTCTGATTCACCACTTCGTTTTACCAAAAGTTTCGCAGAATGATAAAATACGATTCTTTTATCTAAAATTTCATAGCATAACAATGAAAATATGCATTTTACTGAAAAAAAGCGTTATACCAGAAAACCTTTTAAAAAGTATGTTGACTTTTAGTTATTACGAGCATCAGTGCAAAAACCATCACGAAGAGATATCAACAATGTGTTAGATGAATACAAAAGGCTAAGTCCGAATGAGAAGAAGCTTTTGGGAAGGGCGGCGCCTTCTGAATTTAAGAAGATTGACGGTAAGGATTGATAGACATTAGAAACGGGCTGGTCTACCTTTCGGGATCGGCCCGTTTTTCATCTTGCTCAGGCCCGGCCTTTCCCGATCAGAAATTCTTTGGCTTGGCTCGGTGTTTGTGTGGGAGAGTTGATTTAACAAAAACCTACATAACGCAGTTTTTCGATTAATAATAAAATGTCATTTGCTTTGTTTTTAAGTTGCAGGACTTTAAATAACCTATTTTACTGTATACATATATGAAACATGTTGATATTATATTTTTCAGACATATTAAAAAAGCAACCTCTGAAGATTTAACGCCATAAACAGTCTTTGTACTACATTAGTACACAAACACGTTTTCAATGGTGGCGCTGCAAAATACACAAACAACATTCAATTCAGTACATTCCACACTACAACTCTTACTGTACATAATAAACGCCCTTTTAAATTTATGTTTAACTTTAATATGATATTGTATTTTACTATCAGTTATATGAATTCACATATTGTAAAATTATATGCTTGATTTGTAAATAAACATGGTATCAGCGACTATAACGTTTGTAGTTTCGATCGTTTTGTTTGAGTAAATTTAATTTAAACGTTTTCAATTAACAAAATGGCAACAAGTATTTACCAACATTCAGCTGTTGATACGACTGGTCAAAGTGTTGAGTTTACCAAGTATACGTAAGTTGTTGATGTTGACAGAGTAATGAACGTATACTGTTAATACTATCTATTTAATAACCGCTCTAGTCTCTGTTGTTTATCTTTTTAAATATATTTTTTTAATTTTTTTAAATATTCAGCAAAAGTGTATAACTTCCGTAACTTACAAAAAATTTAAAAATTTCAGTGGAAAAGTGTTGATTGTAGTTAACGTAGCATCTGAATGTGGATTGACCAAGCCGAATTATAAACAGTTATCAGAATTGTACAAGAAGTACAGAAACAGAGGGCTAGATATTGCTGCGTTTCCTTGTAATCAATTTAAAAATCAAGTAAGTCATAAATACTAAAAAACCTATTTAGTCTTATATTACGTGTAACACTCTCTTTATAATAACAGCTTTCTGAGCGTTCGTTGTAATGGAACTATTATCAAAAACTATATGGGTAGTGGGATACCCTGGTTATAAGAACAGGTTTAGACTAGTTTCTTGAGTGTTATATTAAAGAGGATATACTGTCGTACTATTGTAGCTTAAGTAGGCTTATGATAAAAATAAAAGACAAGATAGGGCATATTATAAAACACGTTTTGCTTTTTTTTTAAAGTAAAATACGCATATTTGAATTAATGGTTGTTTTAAAAAATTAATGATTTTCAATTAAAAATTTCAATAACAATCTTTTAAAATCCAAATTCAGGAACCGTTACCAGCCTTAAAAGTGAAAAACAACGTCAGCTACAAGTACCACTTTAAGCCAGACTTCTACGAGAAGATCGATGTGAATGGTGACAATGCCCACCCAATATTCAAATACTTGAAAGAAAAAACAAATTTGAGAAATGTGAAATGGAACTTTACAAAGTTTCTGATCAACAGACAAGGTGACATAATCGACGTTTTTGGGCCCACATTTCAGCCAAAAAACATGGAAGATGACATTGTTAAAGCGTTAGAAACTACTGATTATGTTAAAGATAAGAAGGCTAAATTGTAGTTTGTGACCCTGCGATTAGAGTCGCAACAGTTGGAAACAGTAAAGTAAAAATAGTTTTGTCATGTCAATATATGTATCATGTAGTTGGTTATAAACTTAGTCATTGTCATCTGCGTCATATTTTTGAAAATTTTGTATTAATTTTTTAAAATCTAAAAGTTTGCAAATAAGTCAAAAAAAATAAAGTTGAAATGTACCAAACAGTACTCTCAACCCATGCTGACGTTGAATTGTCAAAATGTCAGAAGTTCCGTCAGATGCAACTAGAACAACAGGTGTTCCAACAAAGCTACATGTATGTTTAACTGCCTCTGGCAAGTTTTGTAATTGTTTGAACATCACTAAGTCAGTCATGAATGATGTTAAGATCGAGTATAAATAGGTAATAACTGAAGATTGTATCATTATTCTGTTGCAAAATGGCCTTATCTCGCTCCGTCTTCTTTGCTTTGGCTTTGGCTGTGGCTGTTAGTGCCAGTCCAGTAGTACAAAAGAGCAACTCTACTACTTCTGCTAGCACTCCTTCTAATGCTTTGGAATTGTTGGCTCAGAGTGTTCAAGGTAAGAAATAATTTTAATTTTGAAGTCAAAACTGATTTTTAAAAAGTGTTAGATAATATAATAGATGTTTTAAATTGCAAAATTACTTAAAATGACTTAAAAGCCTTAAAAAATGTGATAATACATCTCAAAACCTTTAGAAGCCCTCCCAACTCCATTGAAGAGCCTGTTGAAGGAACTAGAGCTCAAAGAACTCGAAGGCCTTAAAGAAGTTGTTGAACAACTTCCACAGCTTACTGAGATCAAGAAGGTCGAGGAATTGTTGAAGGAAAAGAGCCCTAAGATTGTCAAGCTTCTCCAACAACTGGTCAAGAAATTTTTAGAACTTTTGAAAGAAAAGAAGGCCAAGCTGACTCCAGAAACCCTCAAATTCTTCGGTCAGGTAAGGAAGGGCAAAACCTTTAGTATCTTTTCAAGAAAAGTTATTTCACGACTAAAACCTAACATTCTATTACTAACTAAACTGTAACCTATGATTCCCCAAGCTAAAGTTTCAAATTTCAAACTTAAAAACCCTTTATAGGTTGCTGATGTAAGCAAGGATGCCTTGAAGAAATTCCAAAAGGTGCTCCAAGAGCTGAAGCCAGAAGTCACTCAAAACTTGAAGATTGTGTTCCCAGAAATCGCTAGCCTTCTCGACACTCCAGCCGGAAAGAAGATTTTGCCTATTGCTCTTAACGGAACTATCGCTTAAATCTTGATCGTATTTTAAAAGTTTAAAGCTTTTTAATAAATTTTGATCGCATAATGGTAGAAAGTAAAAAAGTATGGTTATCTTAATATTAATCTGAATCAAAGTTTAAAACTACTGTCAGTAAAAGTTTATGTTAAATTTAGTTTTTAATTAAAAACGTTAGTCCTATCCTAATCTAAAAAAATACTTTTTTATAAAGGTTGTTTCCTTTTAGTGATATCGTTCATAAAAAGAGACGTTTAGAGACGAAAAGCTGTGTGTCTTTATCTGATTTTTTTATTCAAACGATTTTTTTGCTTTTACGGAGACTACTAAAAGAAATCACAAAACGCGAGGCGCCCCTGCCTAGTGCAGTGGCAAAAACCCAATCAACAAAAGCCCGCTCAGACGACAAACCGAAAGGTTCTATTCTCATCAGACTTCAACGTCATTCAGACTTCAATGTCTATTCTTACAAGACTCAACGTCTTCTCAGACTTCAACGTCTAACAGACTTTAATGTCTACTCAGACTCCTACGTCTACCATGCAAGACTTCAACGTCTACTAAGACTTCAACGTCTACTCTACAAGACTCAACGTCTACCGGACTTCAATGTCTGTCTATCAGACTTTAATGTCTACTCAGACTCCTACGTCTACCAGACTTCAACGTCTACATGACTCAACGTCTACAAGACACAACGTCTACTCAGACTTCAACGTCTATCAGACTTTAATGTCTACTCTACAAGACTCAACGTCTACCAGACTTCAACGTCTACTCTACAAGACTCAACGTCTACCGGACTTCAATGTCTGTCTATCAGACTTTAATGTCTACTCAGACTCCTACGTCTACCAGACTTCAACGTCTACATGACTCAACGTCTACAAGACACAACGTCTACTCAGACTTCAACGTCTATCAGACTTCAATGTCTACCTTGCAAGACTTCAACGTCTACTTGGTACCTACCCACAGATGATAAAAATACAATATCCTACGTTACAGAATCCAAAATCCACTACAAAACAAACCGACAATGTAAAATAAGAAAATTGTATCATAACCGTCTAACAGCTAACCTAAAGCCCCCCCCGGGTTTCGGGGACAACTTTGGTTTCAGCCTGAGAAAGTTGCAAACTGAAGTTGCCCCAAGGTTGGGAAAAACCGTAAGGTTCTATAGTCTAACATCATCCCTATAGTTTTTGCATTTTTTGTTACACAATGGTATGTCTTTCGTCAAAGAATTTAAATAACAAGACTTTTAAACCTAGTAAATGCAACATTACAGACGCGGTACCTTGTGTAAAGTAATATTGTTTGTTGGTTTTTAATTATAACCTAAATTTAACTTAATATACTATTTATTATGTATTTGTATTATGTATTTTTATATAAAACCTTTTAAACCCGTAAACATAGAATGTAATATCTTGAAGATAGACAGTGTTATCGAGTCCACTGTGCTTCAAGTTGTGAGAAGTAATCATTGGCAGTATTCTCCATAACCAATTTATGGCCAAGTGCATTGGTTGTCTCTATTACATGATTTCCTTTGTTACTTCTGGAAATTACTCAGTTATTAATGTTGCGATAATTGAATTTTATAGCAAATGTAGAGTCGAATATGTACTTGTCATTATTTCAAAAGTTATATTTTTAACTACTAGATTGTTCAAACAGTTCTGTGCCCATCTTAAAAAGATTTTTAAAGTTAAAAGGGGCACTGAATTAGTTGAACAACTTGATATATTTAACTAGTTTAGTCATACCTTAAAACATCGCGTAGCGTCTTTTCTGTACAAAACAGGTACACAGGTATGATAAATTCGAAAAGTTCAAAGGTAATGTCATGAAGCTGGGCGACAACTAATGCTTCTTTGTATAAACACTTAAATTAATAATAAAAATAGTTATTAAAACGTAAAAAGATATTCATTTTCATCAAAAAAGTTATATTGTAGTAGGCAAAACTCATAAAACAAAAATTTAACGTACCAATTGGGTATGTAGAAGACAATACTCAAAGCAGCAATAGCTATGCACAGTCGTATCGAAGTGAAAACTGTAATTTTCGACAAAAGTTTTAGGCTTCGGATGTTGACGCTAATCTGAAACTAAAACTCAACTTTCAAATGATTGTTTTTTATACCATAAACTAAGACAAATAGTGTTATATAGCAGTCTAAAACTCCAAAAGTGTAGTAAGCATCTATATTATTGTTCTAATATGTGTTACCTTTGACTTATTTGTCACGTCGCCAGTTATATTAGTTCGGTAATCTACTGAATTTGCATGCAAGTTTTTTCGAAGGACAATGACACTAAAGATAATAGAAGCCTCGTAAGCAACCAAGCTATCTGAAAATATTAATCTTATGTACTATTGTTAAATTATTTTTAAATTTTCTTTATTTTAAAAAGCAGAACAAAGAAAGTACTCAAGTTGCCCCGTTCAGAATCAACTCAAAATTTTTTTTGCGTTTTTTGTAACATTAATAGTACCTATAAAAAATTTAGTCCGCGCTTTTGAATTTTAAAATTTAAATATTTGAGTTTCCTGCCGATTAGGAAAAGGTCAGTTACTAACAAATATACATAACATATAAATAACTACAAAAATAAAAACTCAATTTTTTTACTCACATGAAAGTATCGCGTGAAGTCCCAATGGTATGCACCAAGTAAGAAGAATAATAAATCCAAGAAACAGCCACGACCTGAATCCTTCTCCTAGAGTATACCATCTTGAATACAATGTTATGGCCAATGCAGTTGTAAAAACACTAGCGTAATGCGACTCTAAGGCCAAATCGTGTAGATTACTGACAAACAAAAGACTTGACAGCTTTAGCATTTCTTGGTTGTGTACTCGGAAGTACAGTAATACGAGTCTGAAAGAGTACTTATAGTTCATTAATGTTAATCAATAGATATACTAGTACCTGTTCAAATAGTTTTTAAAGCTTGCTTTTAAAGTTTTACTGTACAAAACCAAATTACTGTACTTTTTTTTTAAAAATGTATTTAAATCGCATCATCTGACAACAAAAATACAATTTCAGATAATGTCATATCTCTGTAAGATAATTGTATTACTTGTAATTTGATAAAGATATTGTGCGTAGGTTTGTAAAGCAATAGAAAAGATATTATAACTTTATGTATTGTGTTACAAACAATTTTAAAAGTATATAAAGAATAAATAATTGATACACGACAGGTGAAGACATGTAAACCATTCGGTTTGTAACTTAAAAAATGGTTTTAAAATAGAAAAACTAACAAGAGGGAAAATACCCAACTTGTCTCACCAAGAATCAGCTCAAAGTTTTTAAATAAAATTTTTAGTACTATTACTAATACTAGTACCTATAAAAAACTTTATCTCGCGCTTTCGAGTTTTAAACTTGAAATATTTGAGTTTTCCGCTAATTTTAAAAACTTGGCATTGTGTTTCAAGCACTTTTATTGACTTTTCAAGCAAGTTAAGGTTACAAATTTAAAAATGTAGGTTCATTTAAAGGTTTTTTACTAGTATATCAAAGAATAATAATTAAATTTCAAAAAATAACAAAGTTAGACAAAGCTTGAAACATAGTGCCAATTTGGCGAAAAATTCAAAACTTAATTTTTTAGTTTTCATTTTTCCGAGATTGACTGAAAAGAGCGGTTCAGTACTTTGCTGAAGATCTAATATTTACATGGTCTTGCTATGTAAAAAGTTTAAAGTTAATAAGAGCAGAGTAGATCGGGCACTTTCCTCTTAAATTCTCAAATGTTTTTTAAACCCTAAACTACACTATATTAAGTTGACAAATAATCTTACCTAGTAGGTGTATACAACATCATGCCAATCCATTGATGTAGCGTCAAAACCTTGGTAACCCGATTCAAAAGTTGTGTCTTTCGAATAGCTACAGAGAATATACAATGTGCCACAATAGCCATCACAATAACCACGATTTCAATGTAAACAAAAATGACATTATGTAACTCCCACTTCTGTGTGTCTTGGAACTCTTGAACCGAACATACCATGACAGTTCTATATCTCTATGTTCTATATCTACCACGGATAATTGGAAATTAACTAAAGCCAAGCTACAGCCAATTTACAACTAAAATACAACCAATCGTATGTTGTCTAACACTAGAATAAATATTTTGAATTCACACGTTCAAAGAGCTTAATTTACCTTAAAAATTAGAAAGCAAAGTAACTTTAAGGGCGGGCACAATCTAATTGTAAGTTCCAGTTCAAAGAAAGCGTGCACTAGGAAGTAATTACAGAGCATGGTAACGGTTCAGTTCAGTACGTATACATTGCCATACAGGAATAAATGGAGAACTTGTTACGTGTGTTTTTTGTAAGTGTAAGTTACTATATAAAACATAATTAGTAGTTTAGATAATTTTAAACTTTTAGCTATATTACTTATAGGAGAAAGTGTCAATGGCATACACCGAGTTACGCACATGCTGGTAATTATATGGTAAATATTATACATAGTTTGTGCTGAATGGCGAATAAAACCTGTTCATAAACAATGATCTTATGAGGTATATTTGGCAATATATATGTATGTTGTGTCAAGTTAAACAATAGAAAAAAGTTTGTCACTATTTTTTTAAATTTAAAAGTTATAAATTAAAAATTTAAAAATTTAAACTCTTTTGGGTTTTAACATTTAAATATTAGAGTTTCTCGCCAGTCCGGCAAGTTTGACATTATGTTTTAAGCATTTTTCGACTTTTCAGACAAACTACGCTTACAAATTTAAAAATGTAGGATCATTTAAAGGTTTTCTAATAGTTTATCAAAGAAAAATGCCTAAAAGTCCAAAAATAGCAAAGTTATAAGCTTGAAACACAATGCCAATTTGACGGGAAATTTAAACGTAATTTTATGATCTTGATTTTCTCGAGATTTCCTGGAAAACGCAATTTAATAATTTGTTGAAGATCTTATATTTACATGATATTTCTATATAAATTTGAAGGCACAATCAGTCAGACCGAAGCAGGTCGAGTACTTTCCTTGTTAATAAGTTTTTGCAATGTTAAAATTTAAAGATAAAACAGGCTTGAAATGAATGCAATTTGAATGCAGTATTTATTGAAAAGTCAAAGAATAATCATTTTAGGCAATAGTGCTGTTAAGAACGAGTGGGACAATCTTTTGACCTGCTGGAGTGTTGACAAGGTTGGCCAATTCGGGGAAGGTGGATTTCAAGTTTTGGATGACCTCAGGCTTCAATTGTTGGAGGACCTTCTGGGCCTTTTGAAGAGCTTCTTTGCCAATTTCTTTCAACTAAACATATATCAATGATTTGTAAAATATTAAAATTTTGAGGGAGCACAGAATTATTTGCACAACCTGATATATACTAATTGCTGTTTTCTATGTACTAGATTTTGGTTATTACATTAGTATTAGATTGTTCAAATAATTCTGCGCCACATCTCAAAACCAACTTTTGAGGTTTAGAGACACAGAATTATTTGAACAACCTAGCAGTTAAATGTTACTCAACTTACTTGATCAGCGACTTGCGAGGTTTCTGGAGACAACTTCTCGAGCTTTTGCTTCAAGACCTCCTCAAGCTTTTGTCCCAACTCCTTGGCCAATTCAACGACTTTCGGGGTCTTGGATTCCAAAAGTTGCTCAAGTTGTTTCGGGTCGGTGATCTGTGGGAGTTGTTGGGCGATTTCCTTCAATTGCTGGAGTTCATCGACGGTCAAGCTCTCCAGACTTTGCTTGGCTTTTGGTGGGAGGAGGGCTGAATTAAAGGAGTTTTAAAGTTTTTTTGGGTTTTAAAATTGAAAAAAATAAAAAAGTTTTAAATTAGAGTAAAAATTTACTTTTATAGTTCTATGTTGAACCAGAAGTAGAGGGACACTTCTATCTATTTTTTAACTAAAAAGTGTCCCGCTACTTTTGGTCCAACCTAATACTATCCACAACAAAACTAATTTGAACCTAGTATAAAATTTTTTTAAACTTAACGTTGACTTTTCGTCCTACCTTGAGCTGGAGGCGACAAAGCATCCAACAAGCTCTTGATTGGGCTTGGTGGGGATGGACCAGCCTGAACAGCTACAACCACGACGACAGCCAGAACAACGAAGCGAGCAGAAACCATATTGAGAACACTCAAAATGTTATGAATACGTTGGGTTAGCGTCGGCTTAAGTACAGTTACAGCTTTTACAATTCGGGATCAGAATGTCGCTGTTCAAACATGTTCTTGTTTGTTCTTGATGTTGGTATGCGAAGGTGACAGATGTTACAATAACAGTTACAACACAATTGTTGTGATAACAATACTAGCTACGACACAGTCGTTGCACAATGTACACTTTGGACATTGAGTTATGTTGATTGTTTGTTTACATTCAGAAGCTGTTTGATTCACAGTGGTTTGGTTCTTTGGGGAAGAGGTTACGGTAGGTAGTTCGTATGTTAAGTAACTTCTCTACACTGCTTGATTTGAAAGTTTTATATAACAATGTAAATGCCTTGTTAAATTATACAATATATGTATGTCAGTTGTTACAAATAGTTAAACATATATTTAATAAGACATTATTGTTGGGAACATAGCCTTACAATAAAAAGGAGAAGATAAATCAAGACTTAAAAAGGCCTATAAATTTATCTCTAGTTTACCATGACCTGTCGTCTGGCCTTTCTTAACGCCCTAACTTCAGTTTGAGGCGGTGTTTAAGATGCTCTACCCTACTCTATACTCTGCTTTACCTATACTATCATACTCTACCCTACCTTGTTGTACACTATTTTGTCCTACTCTACTTTGTCATACATACTGTAGCTTGTCCTACTTTACATTTTCTTACTCTAACTTGCCTTGCCCTACTCTACTCAACCTTGCGCTACCTAACTTGTTATACTGTAGCTTGTCCTACTTTATTTTGTCTTACTCTAACTTGCCCTACCCTGCTCTACCTTGTCAAAGTCTTAGTTTAAGTCTAGGTTGTAGGCTAAGGTTAAATAATTGTATGTTTTAACATAACACATAATTACCTCCAGCTTCTTTGTCGACTCGTGTAAGAATTGCCCATAACATGTTCTGTTGTTTTTCTTCGCCAACTAAAGTTCTTAAAATACCTTACGGTATCATACTGTAGAGTATTTTTTTCGTTTTACTTTCTGTATTATATACATTTCTACTCTATTTATTACAAAAAATATAAACAAAATAAATACGCACATTTGCCAAATAATAAAAGTTCATGTTTGCTATGAAACAAGTTCCGAGAATACTGTAGCCAACTACAGTACTATCGTAGCGAAAACACAATAATACAGTACTCTGTTAGTCCCACGAGAATGGCGCACAGTGGGGGAAGAAGTCGATCAGTTCGCAGCCGTTTTTACAACAAATATGCATAAACTCGTCGATCGTGGCCGGTCGATAATTCGGGTCCTTTTCGTTGTCTTTTTCATTCTGTAATAGGGCATTCTGGGGTATTGATCGCTTTCGTCGCATCGGGCAGGCTAGCTGGAACGCTTCCAGAAAACTGCGACCGCCTGAAAGTGGTTTAGTTTAGGTTGGGAGATGTCACAGTAAAAAGATGTATGTCACAGAAAAAAAATTTAAAAAAAAATTTTTATTTTTTTATGGTTCAATGCCTCGAATTCGTAAAAAAAGTTTTGTCGCCATTAAGAGTACAAAAAAAAGGTTAAAAAATGCCAATCAATTGTAGAGATACGAGCTTTTTGGGGGTTTCTAAAGCCATCTAAGTGAATTTACTTTCACCGTGAGAGCTCTAGACGCCGATAATCCAGACTTCCACGCTTTTTAAAATTGAAAATTTTTTGTCATCATAATATTGTAAACAGTTGGATGTACTTTTTTCAATTTTTAATCATCCAAAATCAACATTAACATAATTCATGCTTAATAAAACAGTGTGAGCTCGCATTAATTCCCATAAATCTTGTTTTACATTCCCTGACAAAAGCAACGTCATGCTTTGGCATTAAAACAAAATTAAAGTATTTGAAAAGCCATTAATTTCGAATGAATAACACTGTAAAGTTAATTTGTAAACAACGTTTTACTCCAATTTTTACCAAGCCAAAAGTACTATCGGTCAAGAATTATGTAGAAAAGTTTTCAAAATTAAATTTTTTTAAATTTCTTAATTTAAAAAAAAATTTTTCAAAATTTAACAAATTTTTTAAAGTTTTAATCTTGAAAAACAAAAATTAAACAACTTGCCTGGAGGGCATAACTTTAATTTTCCAAACTTAAATTCCTCTGGTTCTTCCTCGACTTCCGGCTCCAGTTTGAACGCCGGCCGAATGTCGAATTTGCTGGCTGAGAAGGGGATGGCAACAATTGTGGATATAACAGTTAACAGTAGTAACAGTGTCTGAAGGCTCAGTCCAGACGGAGAGAGCATGACCAGGCCAAGCCGCGACCAATTAGTCTAGAAATAGAGAGAATGTAATGTTATAGATGTTACAGTATCTTTATAATATATTATAGATAGTAAGGTTATTGCCTGTGACTGTAGCTCGAAGTAAGGCTTTATGAGGAAATTAGGACTGTTAATATTAGGTTGTTAAAATGATTCTGTGCCCCTTCACAAAGCAAATTTTTGAGGTTAGATGGCAGAGAATTATTTGGACTACCTAATACTATAAAATCACAATACAGTGGAACTCCTGTATAACGAACTCCTCTATAACGAAAATCCTGTATAACGAACAACTTTCAAATCCCCGGCCGAAGCTCAGTGCATTTGCACTGACAAAAAACTTCTGTATAACGAATTCGTTATACAGGAAACTCCTGTAAAACGAATTAATTTTCGCGGTCCCTACAGTGTAAATCGCAGGTCCTGTATAACGAATTGTGTTCAAAATATTTTTTATTTATTTTTTGACCGTGTTTTTTCAGTCAATCAATAGTATAGAAGTGTTTTTGGTTGTGATATTTTGTTATTCTATCAAAAAAATAATTTTTCCTATCAAGTTTGATCGAAAAATGGCGCAAAAACGACAGTTTCTGAGGATTGAAACTAAAATAAGGGTAATCAGCGAAAAGACATCAGGAAAGACAACAAAAGATTTGTCTGAAGAATTTGAATTACTCTATCCACAATATCGACTTTATGGACCAACAGAAACAACATCGAATATAATTTTAACAGCGGAATAATAAAAAAGAAACGCAACTCTGTTTTGGACAAGGACTTTGATGAAAAAGTGCTACGCAACGGAGTAGAAACCTTCCAGTGTATGGACCAATGTTACTTGTAAGTGTGATCTTGTGTGATTGTTTTACATAATTTTACAAGGAAAAGGGATAGAAAACGGTTTTAAAGAAAGTAATGGTTGGCTCATATCGTTCAAGCAACGCCATGATATAATGCTAAAGTCAATGCAAGGTGAATAAGGAAGTGTAGATTTGGGAGAGCTTTTTTAGAAGATTTAATACTCACAATATTCGCTGCTGCAGCTCAAAAGTCATTGAGAACTTTAGAACTGTAACTCAAACAAAATGGGACCATTGAAGACGCCAAGAATTATGAGAAGTTTGAAAAAACAGTAGAAGATGTCTTTAGAATGCAGTTAAAACAAGCGAAGATAACAGATTATTTCAAATCAAGGTTAATTCCATTGTTTTATATTAGGTTGTCCGGAAAGTTCTGCAATATTTATTCACTTTTGAACTAACAATAATAACAATATAATTAACAACTACAATCAATCAAAGTAATTACCGTCTGAATCAATACAGTCTTGCCAACGATTTACAAGCTTTTTATTCCACGATTGTAGAATTCCGGGTTTCTGGAGTTGATGAAGTTCTTGAAGGCATTCTTGGCATCGTCTGGAGTTTTGTAGATTCTTCCATTAAGAAACGAAGACAAGTGTTTAAAAAGGTGAAAGTCCGTTGGAGCCAAGTCTGGAGAATAAGGAGGGTGCTCCAAGACTTCGTATCCCAGTTCCCTGAATTTTGCCACGGTCTTCTTTGCAGCATGGGGCCGTGCGTTATCCTGCAGAATGACCGGACCCCTCCTTCTGACCATTGTTGGAAGATTGTGTCGCAGTTTGTCAATCTGGGCACAGTAGGTGTCGGCCGTAATACTTTGGCCAGGTTTCATGAAATCGTACTGGATCACTCCAGAGCTACACCACCAGACAGTCACCATAAGCTTCTTTTAATAGTAATAAAGTTGTTTTTATGTTAATAACTCGTATATAACGAATTTACTTTAATTTAAAGGGTCCAAGGACTCCTGGATAACGAAACTCCTGTTATACGAAACTCCTGTATAACGAACAAATTTTCAATCCCCTTGCGATTCGTTATACAGGAGTTCCACTGTAATTGTTTTCGCGTATAATTACAATGTATGTTACAAGAAACTTGTTCTCTAGCAAATACTATAAACGACAGTCAATCAGGTATAAACTGGACTATCGTTTTTATTTAGCAAAAACCTTGTTTTCAATATACAACTAGTCCAAAGGCTAAAGCTAACCTTAGTAAACAAAAAACCGCCCGTTTAATTTCATTTTGAAGACAGGTCCCCTATAAGCCCACAAGGTATCAGTCCGACCAATAAGAGAACCATCTATACCAATTGTAACATAATAACCACAAAACCCAAGTCCATAGTGTTGTTTCTAGTCAACTAACAAAAATATTTATTTCAAACGTAAATTTTAAAAAGTCAAAATAAATATCACGTCAAGCGGCTACTTTGTTTACTTTACGTTATTTTTATCAGTTGCAAGACAAGTGAACTATTTGAAAATTAAAATCCAAAAATATTTGATGAAAGAACTAAAATATTTTAAATTTTAAAAATCTACTTTGTTGAAATTTAGCTTTTTGCTCTTTTAATACTAAAACATATAGATTTATGACTATTTTATAACATAATTAGTATGTGCAAGTAATTATGAGTCCTCTTTCAAAGCAAATTTTTTTATATTACTTATTAGGTTGAACCAAAAGTAACGGGACACTTTTTAGTTGAAAAATAAATGGATAGTAGCCCGCCACTTTTGGTTCAATCTATTAATAGAGACAACAATACCAAAGCTTATATACTGTATATAACACTATACTTATTATTTTACTTTAAAAAGCATAATAAAAGCTTAGATAAACTACCATCTTAAAAAATTTTAAAACAAAATCATGAAGATACGATATGCACGAATATTTTTACCCTCTAAAACCTTACTACTTCAAAATGACAAAATGAATAAACGTTGAAAACCAGAATAAAATAACGAAGAAAGTGTCATTACACCCACAAGTCCAACGTAATTAAGTGTATCCGCTTAGCTCTAATTCTTGTTATTACATTGTAATGACACACAATAGTCGTAACTGTATTCATACCAAAAAAGCACTGTCATTGTAGCAAATTTACAAAAAAAGTCATAAAAAATGGCATCTTGATGTATATTACGTTGTTCAAATAATTCTGTGCCCCCGTACCTTAAAAATTTGCTTTGAAAGGAGGCTGAGGATTATTTGAACAATTATATGTCATGACAACATATAATTTTAAGTTTTTTAAATTCAAGTTTTCAAAAAACAAGTATACTGACAAAAGTAGCCTATACCTCAATTTGTATTTACTTCTTGACCAATCTACAAATAAAAATGATGACAAACTACAGAAAATGAACATTCGAGTATAATATTACCGAGTGTGAACGAAACGCCGCTTCGAACAAAGAAGAAGAGGCACGTTTGGCTATGGCTAATTGTGATATTTAAAAGCCGGGAGGATGTGCAAAGTCACCCCCGCCATTCAAAAAACTCCCAACAAAGTTGTTGATATGTTTGTGGGTTTTGAAAGTGACAAATAAAAAAAAAGTTTTACACAAAAAAATAAAGACAGTGAAAACTTAACTAACAAAGAAAGTACCCAAATTAAATCTTTATATTCTCACCTATAAACTTCTGCTCCGCTCAGAAACAGCTCCAAGCTTTTGTATGAATTGCTTGTACCACGAATAGTACCTATAAAAAGTTTTACACGGAAAGTACCCAACCTGGCCCGTTCAGAATCAGTTCAAAACTTTTATAAGAACCCTTTGTACTATACCAACAATACCTATAAAAAATTTTAGCTTGTGCTTTTAAGTTTTAACATTTAAATATTTGAATTCCCCGCCAATTCGTTAAATTTCGCATTCTGTTTCGAGCACTTTTTCGACGTTTCAGCCAAGCTACACTTACAAATTTAAAAATGTAGGTTCATTTAAAGGTATTCCACTAGTATATTAAAGAAAAATTCCTAAAAGTCAAAAAATGACAAACTTATAAACTTGAAACACAAAGCCAATTTGGCGGGAAATTCAAATTTTTTTTTTAATTTCCATTTTCTCGAAATTGACTGGAAAGCACGATTCAGTACCTAGCTGAAGACCTTATATTTACATGCTCAATCTATAGAAAGTCTTTTTACATAAACAGTTTAAAGTCAAACAGAGTGGGACAGGTTGGGTACTTTTTTTGTAAAAATGAAAAAAAATTGTAAAAAATAAAAAAAATCCAAAGTTTAAACTAAAAAAGGGCTATGTTACCAAAATTATAATTACAAAAAAAACAAAAATAAATCAATTGTTAAAAATAAAAATCATAAAAAATAAAAAAACTTATGTTTATTAGGATAGAGCTCAAAAAGCGATGACTTAGATTATGACATAGGTCACGCAACCATGTTCTACATATCTGTTTTATGGCCTAGCTAATTAGAAGCCTTCTGGGAATAACTTTTCATAATTTACGTATCAGCAGCCTACTTTCACAATAACCTGATCAAAAAAACAGTAAAAGTTGTGTTATCGGTTTTACAGTTTTAAACACTCACTCATCCTTTTTACACCGCCCAAAAAAAATTTTATACCGTTCAAAAATTTTTTTACCCGCCCAAAAAAAATTTTTACCCCGCCCAAAAAAATTGTCTCGCTAACCTTGCCTACACTACACTATTACCCAAAATAAAGCTGATATGACAAATAAATGTCATATCCACGTTCCAACAGTCAAAAAACTTTTCGAAATAGATGTAAGAATAACAAGTAGTTGCCTAATTTAGAGAGATTATCGTGTTATTAAGCCGTTATCCCACTTTATTTGCAAACAAAATTGCACGTTTTTAAAGCTTTAAAGGATTGCTTTTTGAATGGGCATTAATTTACATAGATGACATAGTTTTAAAAAGTTGTAACTTTACAGTATTTATTGAGCGACAAGTATATAAATGGCGATTTAAACAAGCAAATTACTAGTTTAGGCCTAAACTTCAAAAAAAAGTTGGTGTCCTTTTCCTTCCCCCCACTTTCTTGCCCCACAATTCTCCTGCCGTCTCCCTCCTTCTCTTCCCTCTCCTACCCTTTTATCTCCCCACACTGTTTTTCCTCCCCCAACCAAAAAAATCCATTTCCACCCCACCCTCATCACACACCTCCGAACCCCAACATAGTGATGTATAACATACGGAAGTGGACATTATAATAAACCAGCCATAATTGCCACTGTCTCTCGCTGATTCTAACAACTGTAACAGCGAAACTTTAATTACACGATTAGTAATGGGTGTTTTTGTCAGATTACTATTATTTTAGTCTATCCTGTCGCCATTTTCAGTAAGCCTTTAAACATGCGAGAGTACAAACGCCTCATTGTTATTATATGGAAATTGCCAAGGGCATGGCAATTAATCTATGGAACATAAATTGGGGTATAATTAGGAAAGAATGCTGCAAAGAAGGTGAAGAAGACAAGAATGTAGACCAGGGAATGTTAAGATGAATGGAGGAACACAATATAAATAATGGTGAAAGTGCAAAGTTTTTTAAAAAAATTGTAAGAGCTTTGAAATCTTTAGAAATCTTATGTTAGCATGTTCGTGTTGAACGCTTCTTCAAAGTGCATCATGCAAATTTAAAAATAAAAGTTCAAAAATAAAAATTCAAAACTAGAAACACATATTTAAAAATTCGTATTTTAAATATAACTGGTATTTCAAAATTAGAATTAAAACACAAATTTGGAAGCTTTAACATAAAAACAAAAAGCCAGTACGGACTAGCTTGCGTATAAGAAGAGACCGCAGGTTGCACCAAAATCCACTAATTTATTCGGCCGCAGCATTCGCAACAAAAACCTTTATTTCGAAGAATTTTTGTAAAAAAATTATCAGAATCGGATAAGAAGAAGATACCAAGATGTAAAACAATATTATTTCATCGGCAACATGATGAAAATGATGTAGATAATATTAAAAGTATTTGAAAATGATCAACTGTAAGTTATTTTGTTGTTCTTTGTGATTTTAGGTTTGGAATTAGTGATCACAAGTTTCTTAACTCATTAGAATTAGAAGAATAAGATGGATAAGATAGCGATAGAGATGTTGTAGGATAAATATTTGTCAATTGTAAGTTATTTTATAGTTTTTTGTGATTTTAGGCTTGGAATAAGTGCTCAAAAGTTCAGTAACCGATTGGAATTAGGAGAAAAAGATGGTTAAGATAGCGATATTGCTGTTGTTGGATAGATATTGCTTTAATCGCTATAATATAAGCTTAAGAACGGAAGATGAATAACATCCTATAAGTAAGTTGGTATTGTTTTGTCTTTCATCGCATTTTAGGTAACTCTGACTGTTTTTTTACTCGTTTTGGAATCAAAAGCATGGATAAGGCAAGTTTCGATGTATTTTTGCAATTACAGATTATGCTTGGCTATTTGGTATTATTTTAATGGATCAGCGAACTTGAGAACAACTTTTTATGATAAGATCTTGTTATGGAAATAACTATAATATTCGACCATTAATCTTTTTTAAAAGGAGACGATCGCTACGTTCTACTATAATATTTTAACTACACGATTCAGAAGCTGTTTTTGCTGCAAAATCTTTTTGCTTAATTTGCTTACACGGCGATGGCCGATCAAGTGGTTTGATCTGTTTTCGGATGATGTAATATCTTGGTGGTGTACAAAAAAGAAGCGCTGAAGGTCACCGAAGGCGCTTTTATTCGATTCCTTCTTTTGTAAAAGAAAATGCGGATTATCTTGTTTGCCTTCCTTAATTTAGTATTGTAAGTTTCTTTATTTTTTGACACATGTTTATGAGTTTAGATGTGATTGTCCAAGAAAGCAACAGAGTGATGACATTCAACCACCTGCTTATGAGCCTGAAGAGCATTTTATTCAGAGTAGTTTTATCTACAAAGACAACAATGGTAAGTAGTTTTAGAGATTGGAAAATTATAAACATTAAACTTGACCTTATGCTAGAAAATGTAACTTTGCATAATCTGCTTTATGTAATAGTTTTGAAGATGTCATTCTGTTTGTCGATAGTGACAGATAGTCTCTACAACGCAGTCACGTCTTTAGTCTCAACAGTAGTTAAAACTTTACTATTTTAGACGAAGACCGTCAGTACTCGATAATAGTGGCAGATACACTCAGAGACCTCCGAAAACATCTAATAACAGCAGCTAAAGTCACGATAGACAATGAGAACGTTGATTGCTCGAATGGTGGATATCAAAAGTGTAAAGACTACTCTCCTGACGACTCTTATCACTTTTTGGTAATTGAAGATGCGTAAGTTTAAGGCTATGGCACAAACTTTTCCTTGATTAGTCATAAAATTGAATAATCTATTATACTAATGAGGTTTGAACACTGATATTAATGTAGAGTGTTTTTATTTAAAAATATTGTTTTTTGATTTTTAATAGTCTTGAAAGTTAACAAAAATTGTATTTTTAGAACCACTGGAGCAGTAGTCTACAGTTTGGAAAGAGAACGCAATGGTTTGGACTCTCGACTGGTCGAAAATGCATTATTAGAGTATGTTTAACAAGATTTACGTCTTTATTAAAACAAAATGTTACAGTATAAGACCCCGGTCGCATTTTACACAATATTGATCTTCCATACAACTGTTAGGGGCACAGAATTTTAATATTTTATATCTTGGTCCAAAAGCACCTATAATCTTTATTTCAGTGCATTTTCACGGCATTCCAAACACCCTTTAACAGCTCATGTCAGTGAAAAAGCCGAAAAGTTTGTAGGTTTTGTACGAGAGGTCAGTATGGATGAACTACTACAATATGCGGAACAAAATCAGGCCATAATTGATGCTGAAAAGCCTACAATCTTCAGAAGATCTCCATTTGAGTTGAGTCTTTTGAATGAGAGAATAATCGAGTTGAGGAGGGCTGATCAATGTGAACGACCAGTGAAAGGATTGACTGTTTATAAGTAAGTATTAGATAAGTATGATGTTTGGACTTAGGATTATATTGGTTATTTTGAGCTGTTCTTGATGGTTATTTAGCTATAGAAAGTAAGGATAACGTGTTTTACAAAAAATGTCACTAGGATTATTGACAGCCTATAACAACATATCATTGACATCCGATAACAACATACGTCTAAACACTTTTTCATCAAGATTAGAATATTTTTCCAGATCAGGAGAACTGAGTCCCTTAATCGACCTCCATCACAATGAAATCATCTTCACTTTGTTCTGGGCTAATGTTGATACAGTTTCAACTCATGTTTATCAACTGTTCAAGAAGTTGGCTAAAGAAGTTGCTGGACAATATAAAGGCAAAGCTAGTTTTGCAGCGATTCCTTGCCATAAAGACCTGGATCTTTGTGCTGCTTTCGGAATTCAACATTCCGATCATAGGACAATATTCGCCATTAGAGGTTCGAGAAAGTTTGCTTCGAATTACGGCATTGGCGACTTGGAGTTTTACAAAAACTGGGTCAAAATGTAGGTTGTTTTAATATGAAGAGGGTTAGAGCAAGTTGTGGGAGGGTAAGGTAGGTTTACTGTGGTATATACCAAGGGTAAGGTAGACTATTACTTATGGAAAGGTTAGGTAGGGCAAGCAATGATAGGGTAAGGAAGGAATGATACTGTATTATTTAGTATAGTAAGGCAGGTTTGATACTGTTGTATATACATAGGGTAAAGTAGATTTGATATCGTAGTATATAATGAGAATAAGGGTAGGATATTGCCTACAATACTATTATTTTAAGGCTCAGATGACAAAGCATCATTTCAGGGTTCTATCAGGCACACTAACTCAAGTCCAAGACGATGATAAACTAAAACAAATCAGAAAAGGCTTTGTTGATGGCTTCGAAGCCGATGAACTCCCAAGACCCGCAGTAACTATCGGTATCTTCCCTGAAGAAGACTGTGACGAATTCAAAAGTTACAGAAGGGTTACTTCAATGCTAGCTGGACGGTATCACTTCTTTTACAAAACTGATGACAGGTAAGGTGTTTTAGTCATAAAGGTTGGAAAAAGAATCGTAGCGACCACCCTGTTTTAACCCTGAAGCCACAAAAAATTTAACCCCAAAATGTTACAGTATCCCCTCAGCGACTGTAACCACGTTTCGGCCGAACGAAAAAACGAAACGTGTGGACCACAAGGGCCTGATGGACGTGAAGTCCGTGACATCACACGTCACCAAAGAGTCGTTGCCTTCCTTAGTAAGTCTTGTAATCGTATCTTGTTTGCAGAGAAATACTTTTACTGCCGGAAGTCGACAATTTCGTTTTAGCTAAACATATCGCGCGGCTTCACTTCCGACGTCGTTTACCGTTCCGACCGTGCCGTGCTTCTGCTCTTGCATCGTGCTGATGAAGAGCGGTTGCACGAGCTTCAGGACATGGCATACCAGACGCAGTACAGTAAGACTTACTTGATGGCACATTTGAATGTGTAAGTTACAGTAAGATGGGCGTGTTAGGGGGATGTTACAGTACATTTTTAAATTTTGTTTTAAATTTGAAAAAAATAATAATTTGAAAGGTTCATTCTACAGTACTGTAAAATATCATAACATTAAAATTAAAAAAAGTATGTAAAAACTACAGTATGAAATTTTAAAATTATGTTATAATAATACTGTATTTGCAGTAAAAATTACTCTACTCTCAAGACTGATGACCTTATAAAATCTTAAAACAACTAAAATGTTAACAATTTACAGTAAGACAAAGTAATGTAAAACTCTTTCAACCCCAAAAACCTTTAAATTTAAATTACAGTAGCCGAAGATACTAAAATACTCTTTTTATAACCCTAAAACCCAAAAAGAAAAATTATGTTTTCCAAGTAAAATATACGAGCATGTTGATGTTCTCCAAGTAACATATACGGGCATATTGAAGTAACGTTGTAGTATAATAAAACAAACAGAATAATTAAAGTAACGGAAGTACGGCTGAGAATGATGTCGCATATAAATTATTATTCGAGGAGGACCAGTATAATGAGGACAAGGCACACACTCCAGCTCTTTAAATATAACTCTTATGGAACGTTAAGGGAACTGTAGACAGAGGATGTAGACGTTATAGTACAATGTAATTTCAAAGATTTATTTCAAAAACGATTTGAGTTTAGTCTAACGTTAAGTTAAGAATTGTTGAAGTCTGGGTACAACCTGCCCCACCCAGAGTCAGCTCAGATGTTTATATGAAACCTTTGTACTACTAATAGTATCAATAAATAAAAGATTGCTATTTTGAGTTTTAAAATTAAAATATTTGAAGTTCCCGCTAATTTCTATATAAGACGTGTGAAGTCAATCAGAGCGGGGGCAGGTCGGGAACCCTCCTTGTTAATTCGTCGTTTGTATAATAAGAGCGAGAAACCGGCCCAGTCCGGTTCTACGATCGGGCCAGGCCGGCGTGGAGCTAAAATTGAAACAGGTCGGGTCTAAGATTTTTTGACCAGGCCGGGCATGTTTGAAAAAAATAAAAACGGGCCGGACTTAAACCTTATGTCCCGAACCTGGGCTGGGCCCGTTTCAAATCTCACTGAAATTTTTTAAATATTAATTAAATAATGACAATTTATAAAGCATAAAAAATTTTAGGGCGGATTCCCTTCCAACAGCACGTTTGTTGAAGAATCTGAAGCTTGAAGAAGGTCAACTTCCAGCTTTGTGTCAATTCAATCGAGACAGTTTTGGATGTTTTACTCTTGATGAAACTATCGTTGATACTTTGGGACAATTTGAGAGTACTGAACGTAAGCATTTACTTTTGTTTGGTACTACTTTGCACTACGTTTAGTACTATTTACTTTATCAGGTTGTATAAAAAGTAATAAGCTAAGTCTCATACCTTTTCTGGACTTTAAATAGCTCATTACTTTTTATACAGTTTAATGTTTGGTTGAACCAAAAGTAGCGGGACACTTTTAAAGTTATACAGTTTTATTTAGTATTATGATTTAAGAAAGCTTTGATATTATACTCTATCTGGTATCAAATACTGTACAGAAACATAATGTTAAGCAAATAATTTTTTACATTACAGTAACCCCGATCGACCGTAGAAAGCCCCACCCACTGAAAGTGTACCAATTGGAGCATATAGACAGCGTCTTTGGTGAACAAGACGTCGAGTTGTTAGCCGAACCACTAATCGCTTCAGGGCATGGAGGCGGGTTCAATCATGACGCAGTGGATCCATCAGATGGTACTGGTGGATGCCCCATGATGAAGCATTTGAACTCGATTGGCAGAGACGAACTTTAACAATATTTTCGTATTTATTACAGAGTTTGGGTTTAATTTATATTATAATGAAGGAAAGACATTAAGATAATCGTGTTTTACTAAAAAAAATAGTACTGTATTTGGTACTGGGCGGGTTATTTTGATTTGGGGTGGAAAAGTTTTTTAGTAGGATGGATTTTTTTAAACTGCCATAATATTTTGATCTGGCATAATTTTTAAAATTTGTGTGAAGATTTTATAATTTCAAAATGAAAAAATCGAAAAATTCAGAATAAAATTTTTGAAAATTCAGAAAAATAGTAAAGAATTTTCAAAACTCATTACTATGTAGAATTTGCATAAGTCACAAATTCAAAAAATTTAATATAAAAGCCTCCTCCTCCACATTCTATTCATTTGTTTTAACGATGCCGGTCTACGTGTATTTCATCGACGATGGCAAGGTTCTGGAGCAATCTTTCGTGGTGGCGTTGCCTGACCGACCACTGAACCACGCTGAACTGGTGCAAGAGGTGCGGGGCCAATTGGACTTGTCGCCGCGACTTCACTTATTGACCACGCGCTATCGGATCGCTTTGAATTACTTCGAAAAGTTGAAAGTTCCACCCTCGAGCATCAATCGCAACGACGAGCTTCAGATGGCTTTTGGGCTGAAGTTGCACGATACGGTAGGTGTACGATTGAATTTATGGGGGGAGGGGGTTTTTAGGGGTATGGTAATATATGAAAGTATCGAACCCCCTTTACACTACCCTTGACCTTACCCATCATGTAATAATGTCATCCTTTTCAGTGCCCATCTTTGCCCATTCTCTGTACCCCAAACATAGCCTCACCCCAAGCTCCGGCTTCGTCCCTGGCGTCGCTGAAAAAGGAACGAACGGAACACGATGATATTGTAGTTGTCGATGACATACCTACCACATCTTCTCCTGCTTTAGTTAAGAATTCGCCACCGACATTGTCTAATGCAGCTCAAGCTGGAGACAACCGCTTCAACGTAACCAATCAGATCGTTCAGAGAGTTCATGCTAATGATAGCAATCAGGTAGGTGGGATGGTAATGTATAGGATAAGATACAAGTTTTATATTTAAAGAGACTGTTCAGCTTTGAGATGACAGTTATTTGCTTATAAGTTTTAGATTTTATAGTAGCTATGTTAAGGTTATCTTTGGAATTTCAGGTCAATGCTCTGTTAAATGCCTTTTTGCACCAACTAAACGAAAAGCCGGCTGAACGTGACTTTGTTGGCCGTGAGCGTATGAAAAAAGTAAGTTAAACTTATTTTCTTACCATAAAAATCAATTTTTGAGTATATATATTATTATATAAAATTTTTGTCAAAAAAATTAAATAAAGCTTGAACTTCAGTCAAAAAGACCATCTCGTAACTACACGGAAGAAGAAGTCGAAGCTCAAGAGATACTGAAGAACTACACGTTGTCAAATGTCATCAACGAATGCCAACAAGCTCAGTTTCTGAAGAACTGTCTGAGTGAGAATGTAATCGATGAGAACTTTTATGTCACTCTTTCCAATGCGTTGGCACTCTTTATTGTCACCAAAACGTGGGTTTATGATCTTATATGTAAAAGTAATGTTTAATAATGATTTTTCTTTGAATGTCATAATATAACGTTATAGCGTATTAAATATTAAGCATACCATTTCAGAGACAAGCTCTGGACCCCACGTACTTTAATGCCTGTGGTGGAGCACTACTTCCAGCCCTATCCTCAGCTCGATATTACCCATCTGTTTGGACCTCAATCCTTTCGCCTCCGCAACAAACTAAACCACATCAGAATGACTCGGAAAGGTCAAACCGACCGTGAAGCAGATGTCGTGTCACGCACCGTCAGCAGTCCATCGTCCAGTCCAGCCTCGGCGGAGTAGTCAGATCGAATTTTAATTAAAATTTCGGAATAAAACAAGGTTTAGAGGTTGGCATGGGCTTGAGTTTGGCATATGCTTCACTATTTGTTTTGTCATCACCTGCCACTTAAAGATATTGTATATAAGTGAAATAAATGGCCGTAAAATACAAAATAAAATACAGTACCTCCTAGCCCGAAAAATTTTATTACATATTAACCTTAATCTTGAAGTAATTATTGTACAAAAATAAATAAGAAGTAATGTAAATAGGAATGGCACTGAGATTTAGTCTTTCTTTTCCAACTTCTTTGGTCGATCGTCTTTGCATGCATCGACCAACCAGAATATCAGCACCACATGTACCAGTATAACCGCGATAATAGCCGAATATGTCATGGATGTGTCATTCGAATAACCGAGGGCAGCTTTAAAAAAAAGATAAGAGTCTTTGATAAGATTTTTCGATTTAAAAAATTTTTCAAATTTTCAAAAATTGCCATAAAATTAACGTTTTTAATCAAATATGCCTTAAAAATAAACTTGTTAGTTTAAAATTTCGAATAAAAACACCATACCCACCTTCAAATAAAAACTTTTTCAAGAAAAACATGGATCCCAATGGGACTGCCAAGATGGTTAAGCTGTAGATCATCAGGTTCTTGACGGCTGACTGGACGTTGGGGTCCCGGAAGTGTTGTACCATGTCTCCCATCTTGTCTATGACAATATAAATTAACTTTTCAATTGAAAATCCATCAAAAACCGCCAAAAATCATAAAAATTAAATTTCTATGAGCTTTTCGACCAACTTTTCCTCTCTAACCTACATAAAGCTATCAAACATTTATAAAATACACAGTGGATACTAAACCACCTCCAAAAACCTTCGAACTTTGAACAGAATCAGTTTATTGACAAAATAAGTGAATAAAACTCTCGTGAGAATGAAGGTTAAAGTGAATATGTATAGCATTGTATGTACATAGTGGGATGCCTATTGAGATTTGATCTTTTTGATTCTCTGCTCGATTCCCTTCTCTTCGTGATAGGCAATGTAGATGAAGATTGCGATGATAACATAGACTGAAAAGATGCCAACAATTCCACCGTAGAGAGCGGCCTTGTCTGGTGGAAGATGGTAGTGTTCTAAAAGGAGATATTTCTTAGCTATATGTCATAAACTTGTACAACTTTGTCTTTATATTAACCAAGCACAAATTAAAAACGTTATTTTTTAAAAGGCTGCCCCGTATTTTATACCTAAACTTTAGAAAAACAACTGAAAATGTAAAAAAACCTACCAAGGAAGAGATACTTGTACGAAGCATACATAAGGCCGCATGGGATGGTAAACATCAGGAAAGTCGCAACAATAAAGTTCTGATAAACGGATGCACGGTCTTCTGATGAGAAGACTTCATCTTGTTGTTCTTCTGACACTGAAAAATCCCCTTTCATTAGTTTACAGATACAACAATCTATAACTACTCAAATATTCAAGTTTTTAGCTGTCTTACTGAACACGTTAAGAAAAAAGTAAGATGTTATCTACTGATCAATTAAAAAAACAAATTTTTAAAAAATTTGTACTTACGTCCTTGAAAGATGCCATTTTGTTCTTGTAAAAGTTTTTCCTTTTCTTCATTGTCTTCAGCCTCTTCTCCTTCTTCCTGCTCTTCATCTTCTGCGTTCCTTTCTTCAGCTTCCTCATTGTCAGCTTCTTGTTCTTCACTCTTTTCATCTCTATCCCCAAATTGATCCAACTTCTTCTTCACATCTTCATCACTCAGTTCGTCCAAGTCCTAAATACCAAATATAAAGTTAATGAACTTACACATTTTTTATATCATATCATTTTGTTCTACTGACCAGATAGAACAATATGATAGTATTTACAGCAATATAAACCTACAATTACTTCAATTTCATTGTCCGTGTTGTCAGTGGTAACAGCAGATCCTGGTTCAGAGATCTCGGACTCACGCCTTTGTTCAGTTTCCATTCTAAAATGCTTTAAAGTCAGTTGAAAGGGAGAAGAACTCAACCGCACGAATAAAAAGAAAATATTCAAGTTCAAAAGACCTCAAATTGTTCAATTTCACGAGAAAACAAGTTAAAAATACAAAAATAACGGTTAACACAACTTTATCATCAAAAAACTACCTAAAAAAAGTATTATTTGTAACAGAAAAAGTATTGTTTGATCGCGCACAAGACTAAAAATATGTTTTTGGTATTTGTTTGGGTCACAAAAAAAGAAATATTGATCAGCCATCGGCTTTAGAGACAGATTTTGGTAAGTCTAAAACAGTAAGTTTATATATTTTGATAGATAAAGGCTCAAAAGCAGTAAAGTATACCATAATTCGAGAGTTTCACGATAAAAAGTACAAGATTAAAAGGTTATTTTTTGATTTGCGAAAGAATAGAGAAAACAAACCAATGCGCCCGGTGTATGCAGGCTGCGAGCGAAGCTCCTAACATAATTATACGACGTAATATGTCCACTTACCAATTAAAACAAATGAGTATCTTAATAATGCAAAACCTATTTTTCAAAACAAAAAGAAATCTTTGCAATATGTTTTCTTTTCAATGTTCAAAAAATTAGCAAAACATGTCCATTCGCACATTAGGATATTAAGTGGCTAATAGTCACGCGCGACAACACCGCGTGACCCCAAAAACAAGACTAAATATTTTAATAAATTCCCTCAAGGTCAAATATGTGTCATGCAGTTTACAAATCATGAAAATCCGAGCATTATAATATTACATTTATTTTTTATTTTAGGTCCGATGGATTTGATCTGACGAAAACCAAAAATTAGAGAGAGAGACTTGACACAACAAAAAACGAATCATCTTTCACTCTCATGTGCTCGGTAGTATGTTTGGTTTTTTGGTTGATGAGGTTGAGGGCTTAAGCTGATCGTCGGCGGGCTGAAAATTTGAATATTAAAATTTAAAAAATTTTTTTAAATTTCAAAATTTTGGGTTTAAAATTGGTTAACCATGGCTGTTGATAGCATGGTAATAGACAGGGACGTCGCTACGGATTTTCTCTGGGGGAGGGGGAGGTCGAAAAAATTTTTTTTGTCCACCTGTGGAATTTTTTTTCGGATTGGCTCTGGGGGAGGGGGTACCTCCCCCCCTCCCCCCCCTACCCCCTCCCCCAAACGACGTCCCTGGTAATAGATATTGTTGGTAAAACTAAAATTTACCTTTGGCTGAGCTGTCCCTTCCTTTGGCGCGATTTTCCTTCGTTTTTCGCTCTCCATTGGCTGTAGCTCGACCTGTAGCGACGATGGATCTTCCAGCCGTCTTTTAAGTGTCGGCCGCTCTGGTCTGGGGATTTGTGCCCTCTGACCTTGTGCCTTTGGATAGAAACTAGGTCGCTGACCAGGAGGAGCTGGTCCTGCCCTTGCTGCGCCTTTATTCATCGTCAACCGTTGTAAGGTTTCTCGTACGGTGAGTTCGCGGCCTTCCGTCCCGACTGAATCGTTCCTGCCGATTCGGCGGCCGATCTGCGGATTCCCGGGTCGTGCCGGCTTCGGTCGACTCTTTTGGATGGTCATCGGTCGGTATGATATTGAGGATGGTTGGGGGAACTTGTTATGGTCGTTGTTCGACTGGCTATATACATAATGTTGGTTGTGGGTTGAGGTACTGGGAGCGGGCTGGTGGATGGATACGGGTTGGCCGGCTGAAGTGAAATCTAGAAAAATAAAAATCGATTTTTTTGATAATGAAAAATGATTCAAATTTTAAAAATAATATTACGTAGATCTAATAGATCATTTCGCCAAAATTATTTTAAAAAATACTAAAACAGCTTATAACTATCATATAAACCCAAAATTCAAACATATCTTACGTTGTTGGGGAGGTGGATTCATTTGTGAATGAACGACATACGTCCTGACCTGACCCCCGGCAGTGTTGGTATGAACTGGTCGAGAGTAAACTGGTGGTGTTGCTCCTGATCTAAACATGACCACCCTTTGGCTATTACTGGGTTCATTTCCATATGTGTAGACACGTTGTGGAGCTAGGGAATCAGCGGAAGGTAGCTGAGACTCTTCCTCTTCTTTGGGCTTGTCTTCAGGTACCGCGACCTTGTATTCGGCCGCTTCCTTCTCTAACCTCTCTCTGATTCTCTCGTGTTTCTTCTGGATTCTGGGTGGGACTTGAGCCGCCCTCATCTTGAGGATCTTGGACGGACCCATGGTGGGGAGACTGATCACATCTAGAGGGTTTTCAATGTCTTCTTGATAAGAAGTCTTTCCGATTGGTGTTGGGCCTGATAAGACGTCTTTTATCCCGTTGTCGGCAACAAAAAGATCCTGAAAAAATGGTATCAGTTGTTTAATGTCGTTATCAATTTTATTTTCCTTAATCAAGCTATTTTTTAAAATAAATAACATTTTTTTCTAATTTTCAAAAAAAAATTAAAAAAATCCCTGTTCAGCCCTTTAATTAAAAAATATTATTATAAGCACAACTCACATCGCTCTGCCGATCAAATCGAAAAGCACACAAATCCTTATCATTCTTCACCTCAACCATACTTTCAGGTATCTCTGAGTCCTCCACAAATACAGGTTTATAGAGGTCTGAATCCTGATCTAAAGTTTTCAGTTTCGTCGCCAATAGTAGTTCAGAGACCGTGTTGAATAGTTCTGGTTGAGGGGACTTTTCGACCGGTGTGTTTAAATGCTGATCCGACTCATCGTGATGAGTAGGTAATCGAGATCTCATTGGGGTGGATACTCCAGAGTTGGGTAGGGATGAGGCCAGTTCGTTGGCTAGTTTTACCTATAATAGCACCGTTGATTTTAGGTAACAATTTTTTTGGGAACTAGACAAAAATTATTACCTCGGATCAAATTACCATTAACAAAATACCAAGAAAATGTCGTATTTAGAAAAACTTACGGGACTTTTAGCCTCATGCTCATTATCTCCCTTCTTATTCCTCATCGATGCCAATCTTTTCCTTATCGCCAACTTCCTAAACTCTGTCGACTGTTTCCCTGCCTCATCTCTGTCGTTGGCTTCTGACGTGATGTTCTTCGATGTGGAAGGTCGTTTGTCACAGACCACTCTTACAGTAGATCTTACAGTTTTGTTCAATCTCATCGTCTTCCTCCTCAAGAACCTGTATTTCAACACATTCAACCATCTCCTCCTTCTCTTCTCCGACCATTTACTCAGTCGCTTCACAATCGTACTCTTTATGTGAGGTCGAGCTAGTACCGGTAGTACTGAATTGTCAGTTTCGTACTTTGTTATCAACGTTTCTGATGGTTTTTCGTTCAAATCCTCGAAAGGATCTTCCCTGACAGCGATCGAGAAGTTGACTTGGCCATTGACAATGTCTTGTTTCATGTTGATGACCTTTTTGTTCTTCTGGCAGCTAAATATTATTCTCGGCTCGTCTTCGTCCTCATCGAACGATGCTTTGATCCTCATATTGGACAAGTCGATGACAGGGAGATTGGCGACAACAGAATCGAATTCAAGTAGGACGACAGCTTTTAGATCGTCGTCTTTGGACTGTTCCTTGATGGCGCCGTCTTTCTGGCGATATTCATCGAAATAACCAATGACTTTTTGAATGTTTTCGTTGATGATTTGGTCGAGTTGAGGGAATCTGAAAAGAAGTTAATTTAAAATCCAAAAAAGTAAAATTTTATCCACTATTATCATTACAAAACATCATTATTATGCTCAAACGGTGAGATATAATGCCCTAAAAGCTTACAATTTATCCCTGTCCTCAACTCTTCTTAACATCAACTTCTTATCACCATCCGAAGCAGCATCGTCTACACTGAGTTTGATCTCAGTAACACCTTCTTCATCTTGATCACCATCTCTGTCTATTAACCAGAACTCATTTTTGGTGCCATTCTCAACTGGTACCAATCTGAACCTCTGTGCCTTGTCGAGCTTATTCTCCATCATCTTCTTCCAATCCAGATTCTGAAGCAGATTCCGTTGTTTTACGATACTTGGCTTTACTGTAACTACATTTGAACACGAAGGGACAGTATCAAGATTTTCTCCAGCAGTTACTGTATCCAACTTTTCTCCATTAATTACTGTATCCAGGGTTTCTGCAGAAGCTACAGCATCTAACTTAATGCCGGGCTTCACAGTATCCAACTTAATACAGTAATCAAACTGTTTTTCGTTGTACTTCACCCCCTTTCGTCTTGCCTGTAGCACAGCTTCTAATCGACCATTTAGAGTAATTGACAATGTTTTTCGGTCATCTGAATCCAAGTAATCTTGTTGAATGTCATAAAGCGAGTTGTTAATGTAGAGAGATTCGTATGTTGGTATCGCGTCGTCTTCCATGGCTTCTGAATCCGCATAAGACTTTTCAAAGCATTTCATTTTGCGTTCGATCGGAATTCTGGAGTAATCTGATAGAGTAGATACATTTGGAAGTTGATGTAGCTCTGTGATGTTGTTGTCTTTCAATCTGATCACGTAATTTGATGGGATTTTTGTTGATTTTGATGGTATGTACGACAACTGAAAAGTGACAGCGTTATATGAAGGAATGGATTTAAAAATAGATAATTTGGTCCTTTTGAGCCCTATCATACACACATTTTAAAACTTTTTCAAAAAAAAAGTTCAAAATTTCTTTTTTTATATTAACCCACCTTAAGCACAACCTCACTCTCCTCCTCTCCGCCATCCAACTCCTTCACCGTGCCTCCTTTTTCCTTAAATACTCTACCGATTCCAGGCCAAACCAAGTTGTGTCGTTCATCTTGCATTCGTTTCATTTCATTCGCAAACTTTTTCACAAACTCTTCTGATGCCTTCAGTCCACAAAAACCTAATCCACACTTCTCTAACAGTTCGGCTGTTTTGATTGAAGATGGGTATGGATGTACGATAGGATCTTCTCTGATTGGGTATGTTTTCGTTGATATTCTGTCTAATGGTAATATTGGAATGCCATTTGGAAGAAGAAGATAGGGTTTTTTGTTCTTTGCTCGACGTTGTTTTATCGCATTTATCGTTTCTGTCTTCACCTCTTCTTCTAGGACCAGCTGAAACGTGGGTAATATAGTTAGGTAATCCTTTTTTAATTAATCTTTTTAAATTTTTTAAAGTTTTAAAACATCCAAAACTATAAGCCAAACCATAGCTAAACTAACCTTAACATTATTGGCATCTACTTCACCATGTCTTGGTCCAATCCTCGACAAAGAAATGTCATTCCTTCTCGCAGGTTTACTGTAACTCGAAGCCAACTTCAGAGCATCCGTCATGTTTTGTTGAGACGGGTAAGTAGTAGCTCTGACATCAATTGAATGTTGAGATTGTGCTCTGATTCTGATAATCTCTTCTTGAGTAAACTTGGAGACATCTCTTTCCTTCGGATCCTTCCTTAATATACACCTTCTTTCTAAAACATTCTCGATCATTGGCAAGTTGCGACGTTGTGCCAAGAGCTTTTGGTATAAAGATTCTGTCCAGCCGTCTCGCTTCATCGATATCACTATTCCGTCCTGAAAAAAATTAGTTGAAAATCATTGTTAAGATCAGAAAAGCTTTAAAATTGATGTTTTGAGACATGTGTAATATCAAAAAAAAGCAAAATTTTTACTTTTTTAATTATTTTTTTCAAAAAATTTAAAAAAAACTCTTTCTCAAAATTTTTCAGAATTGCCCCCTACCTGAAGTGTCAAACTGCCATAAAACGGTTGAATCGGCAAATAAAGCGTAGGATCTTTAAAATGCCTATTGATGAACCCATGAGCCGTGTTCAATACTCTCAAAATCCTCATCTTCTTCGTGTAATGCTGATACACAACGTTTGGTTCTGTTGGATTACCGTTTCGCACAGCCTTCAGAATACTGTAACTCGGTAGAATTTGCGAAATCTTTCGTTGAGTTACATATTTCCGCATTCCTTCGTTCATTTGTATCGCTGAAGGTTGAGGTCGTTCGAGAATCTGTTTGGTAAGATTGTAGCGTTTGGCTTCGTCAGTATCGTGTAGAAGATCCATTCGCTTCTGCCAGATTAGACGAGTTTTACGGAGTTCGGCGTGTTTTCGAAGGAGGATGGTTATTGTGCGCATAAAACACCCAAAATTCAAAAATTAAAAGAAAAATTTAATTTGAAAATTCAAAAAAATTGAAAAATCTTTAAAAACATTAATACTCAAAAAGCAAAAATTCATTTTCCACCAATCCTCACCTTGTAATAGGCATAGTGCTGCCCTTAACCCTTTCATCAAACACTTCTGGCAGCTCCAATCCATCAAAGGTGACACTCGGTAGATCAGCATTATCAGTCGGTGCCAATTTCTTTTGTGCTCCAATCAGTTCCCTGAATCTTAAGCAGCATCTGAATTGGGTACGATGAAAGAATGACACCTTTCGAACCGCCCTCGTTATCAACTCCCAATTCACACAAAAAGACCTAGCCACATAAGCAGGTAACGGGAGGGCTTTTAGTTGTGATACCATAGTCCTTAACAGACAAACATCTTCGATTATTGTCCATGGTGGAACGTCCGCTTCTACCCATTCCGCTGGATAAGGTGTTGGAGTGTAGCCGGGTTTGCCATCAGGTTTGACTAATGGGTTGGGGTCTGCTAGGACCAAAACTCTAAAAAAAGACTATAACGCTAGGAAATGTATACAAAACGGCTTTTACTTAAGAAAAGTTGTAATATTACCTAAAATATCAAACTTAACACAATTTTTTTTAAAATATTAGCCTCATCATATTGCAAAAGCCATAAAAACCTCAAAAGCGCCAACAAAACCATGAATAACTTACTGATTTCCATACAATCTCTTAGATGGATCTTCATGCTTCTTCTTCTGTCCTGTGCCCTTCTTCAGCGGTGGCTCCACAACCTCAAGCCTTTGTTGAGGTGGTGGAGTTCGCTCCACCATGAACCCATCCAAAGTCGGTTCAATCTGCTCGACTGTAGAGGTTACTGTCCTTGAATCGTCTCCACTGATATCTTCCGAACTCTTAGGTGAATATCCCATAGAATCGGCAAAGTAAGCCGCATCTGGAGCTTCGCTGTTGTCGTGCAAAGGCTGAGTATCATCCATGAATTCCATCGGCGACAAATCATCAGTATAAGCAAATGGATCCGGCTCAATGATTTGGCCATGATACCAAGGATTGTTCAGAGAGTCCACAAACTGTTGTTCTTCAGCGTGCTCAAAGCTGGAAACTTGTTCATTCCAGTTGTTCTCCAACAAAGTTGAGATGACTTTGTTTTCCAGATCAAAATACTTTAAGCGTTTCTTCTTTGATTCGACTGGAGGTTCGTTTTGCATATTCTCCTTCTGCTTGGCTTTCACAACATCTGCGGCTTCTTCTGCTAACTAAAAATATAAAATTTAGGTATGAGTTCATCTTATTATAGTTTTTTAAAGCTAGAAAAAATAATTAAAAAAAAACTGCGTAAAAATTATAAAATAAATACAAAAATGCCATTTTAGAAAATATTTTTGTTAATTTAATAAATTTTAACGAAAAAAATCCACTTTGAATAAAAACTCTTAATTTTCGTACCTAAAACCAAAAACAAATAATAAAAATGCTTACCATTTTAGCCAACTTCTTCTTGAGATCCCTTTCTTGCCTAAAATCCACTGCCATCATCTGAATCTCCTCCAAAAAGTAGTCGTGATGCACTTTCTGTCGCGGAGCCTCCAAACATAAAGGTAACCTGGTCAAACTCCATTTTCCCTGAGATCTGAGTTTACAAATCCTGCTTACAACTGCTTGTTCATTCATTTCTGGAAGATCAATGAAGGACAGATCATTTGGCTCTGTCTGACTCGATGACGGTTGAGCTGACATCGCCGCGGATGACAAAGATGGCTAAAATATTAAAATTTTATTAAAGAAAATAAAAAAATAGGAAAAACTAAAATTTTAAAATTATATTGTAAAAAAAGCTGGTTTAGTAAGTAAGATCTGAATAAGATCATTATGTCTATGTGAGTTACAACAAAAACTCTGAGGCTAAATATTAATTTAAACTTCATTTTATCAAATTGAAACGTAAAAGAAGCTCAATTACTTTAAGACAGTAAGTATAATTATAGGTATGACTTCCTACGCCATCCTCTAAACCTAACGTATAATTAAGTAAAGAGCACGTTGGCTTCATGCCTAAAGAAACTTTTACGTAGAATAACGTATTATCACATACTTTTAAAGTATATTAAAATATGTTAACAATATTTTAGCATTCCAGCAATATTATGAAAAACTTACAGGATCTATAAAGACCTGAATGGGACTGTAAGTTCCAACTTCTTTAGGTACCCATGTCTGTTTTTCAAGCTCTTGAACACTGTAAAATAATTAAATTATAATCTACAGACTTTGTTATATACGTTTAAACACATATTTATGCTTGAAATTAAGTTTACTCTAAGCTTCGTTGTTTTTAGACATCAACATACATAATTAATACCTAAAGCAATATTTAAAACAAAACCATTATTTTTAAAACACTTTACAACATCCTAACTACTAAAAACTATAACAAAGTACCTTTTCTAATTCAAAAAATATAAATACCCAAGTCTACAATAAATACAAAAAACATTGATATAAACATACGCAGCAGAGGTAGCACTGATAATATCCAATTTACTAGTTGAAGCACCATTGTTAATGCCATTATTGCTTGGAATCAATGGTTTCAAAGGTGCCACACGTTCTGGAGAACTTGGCACTTCATTCTTATGTGATATTATCTTCTCTTTTTCTGTTATCACTTGTAATGGTTCATATCTTGGCGTATGTTTAGGTAATGAAGAAAAACTGCAAAGAAATCATTGTAAAAATTTATATTTCTATATTTAAAATGCAAAATAATATTAAACGGTTATTTGGTACACAAAACAAGTCATTTTTAACATAAATCCAATCTCTTCTCCATCTTGAATCAACTCTTGATACCTAAAACAAGCAAAAAATAAAATAAGTAGCATACCTTTTAAATAAACGTTCCAAATCTTCTTCTTTGACACCCTCAGCAGCAATCTGTTGGCATAAAAGTAATTGTACCACATCATTTAAGCTTTTTGTAGTATCCATATCCGTCTTTATGAACTTTTCCCTAACATGTCAATACTAACACAACTAAAATAATATTCCTGGAACTCCTACAATTTAAAAGTAGATTGTATTACCACAAAATGTCCGGTTAAATACGAATATATATTATTTTACTATAGTAAAATATTTACGCGCGAAAAAATAAAAAAAGAAAACCAAAATTCTTTTTCTTTCGACGAAGTGCCACAAACGGGAAGCCACTATTGACTCACTGCTAGTAAATAATTTTATAATACAAATTATTGTCGGACAAAACTTTGCCTTCAACTGTAAATACTACTTGTATTAACCTTTTTAACGGTCTTCTTTTCAGTCTTGAACTTTACTCGATGTCAAAATGACAATTTCATCGACAAAAAGTGTCAATGATCTGGTTCAACTGCTGTTATGTCAACAAGTTGCTCTCGATGATGTCAAGGAAAAAGATATTGATTTGTTATTGTCAAGGTAAGTATTAGATTTTGTTTCTAATGTTTAAATAGTAAGTTATAAGATTAATTTGTGAGTAACGGATGAATAAAGAATGAGGTTGCGCCACGTTGGGTGTTGTAACGGATCATTCTCAAAATTTTGATCATAACTTCTTTCAAAATATAGCTACGGACAAGAAAATTTTTAGTCATTTAATATATGTGTTTTTAACTGAAAATATATTGAAACTTTTAAATTTGCTTTTGCTTTTGAACTTAAAATGCTTTTAAGTTAACATGGAACATTTTATATAGGTACAGTATGGAACAAAGCCTGTAAATTATGAAAAAATGGGAATTTTATGACTATTTTAGTTTTATAAGTCGGCAAAGGGTATAAACTGTATTTGAAAAGGCAAGTGAGAATGTGAAATACATATTGAAAGCAGTTATGATTAAATCAATGTGATTTTTTACTTTTTCAAGAGTTTTTTTAATGTAAAAGATGTACTTTGTGGTCTAAAACGTAAAGGAATGATATTTTTAAGTTATGTAATAAGCTAATTAATTTTTAGTTTTTCAACATATCCTGATCATGCTTATGGGTACGATCCATTAAAAGTGATAGCTGGGACGGAGAGTTTGGAGGAAGTACCTTGTGAACGCGAAGAAGTAAATTCTGAAGATACAAAAATAGCTAGTAAAAAAGAAGAAGTAACGTTTGAAGATGCAACAGTAAATTCTGAACATGAATCAATGACAGTGGAACACAAAGGAGTAACTTCTGAACATCAAACAGCGATTTCTGAGCAAAAAGAAGTAACCTTGGAACATGAACCAGCATTTTCGGAATGTAAAAGTTCTCAATACGAAGCAGTAACGTTTGAAGATGAACCAGTAGCTTCTCAAAATGAAACAATGGTAATTGAGAAGGAAAAGGTGACTTCTGAACATCAAAAAGCGACTTCTGAACAAAAAGTAACTGTTGAACATGAACCAGCTGTTTCAAAGTGTGTAACTTCCCAGTATGAAGCACTAGCTTCTAAAGATGTTGCGGTGACTGGTAAACATGAAACAGCGGTTTTGGAAGATGAAGCACCATCTTCTGAACATAAAGAATTAAGTCCAGTACGACAATCATTTAGTTCCCCAAATTCATCACAGTTGTCGAGTTCATCAACTGAGATTCCAGTTCTGTCACGCCAAGTATCATCTTCACCAAGATCTTACACATCTATGGAAACGGCAATTCAGGATGATTCAATGATGGGTAATATCGAAAATGAACCTCCGTTTACACAAACGGATGAAGTCAGTTTATCGACTACGAAGTAGGTATATTTGGTAGATTTGTTGGGTATAGGTTCATATACTTACAGGGTGGTTTAATGGTTAAAAGGATGGCAATGATAGGAAGTAGGGTGGATATCTTGAAAGTTTTTGTAAATTTGGTAACTGTTTGTTTGGATTAATAAAAATGTTTTACAGTGCATCATCGACGTCGGAGATGGACGAAGAATCATGGTCGAAAGAGCCAAGCGACAGCTCTTATCAAGATTCTCTGAATTTGGTATGTTTTACTTGTAAATTTTTAATACATCACATTCTACGAAACAAAGTGAATTTTCGATACCTTAACTTCAACATAACCGAATTTTTGATATCTAAACGTAAAAATAATCACTATTTCTTAATTGTAATATGTTACATTTAGGACCGATCCCTCCAGCCATCCTTATCATCTTCTTTTGTGTCTACACGATCATCTTCAATCATGTACGACTCTGTTGACCTGGCTGATTTACAGGAATTGAAGCCTCAAGCAGTGATTGGCAGGATTTGCGAACTGAGAAAGCAAGGTAAATGGAGTTTGACGAGACTACCTTTATGTTTGGAAGCTCCTCGACGAAAAGTTCATTACGATTATCTTCTTGAGCATGTTCAGATGATGGGCTTGGACTTTCAACAAGAACGACAATTGAAGCCGAAGGTAGCTAAGATTGTAAGTTCAATGTTATTATAAAGCGGTCAAGAAGTTTATAGCGTTTTTTGTTATTGTTAGGTTGGTCAAGAGGTTTTTAGAGCGTTTTGAGATGTTGTTGTTGGGTATATAGTTGATAGGCTTCAGTTTTGTGTTGTTTTTGACCATTTTTTCAATATTTTTATTATTTTTAGATAGCAGAAGAAGCTGCAGATCTGGTAAGAAGGAAGAAGTACCAGGAGAATATGCTTTTATTCGAACCCGGAGCCAAGAGATACAGATATATTTAAGTGGAAACGGGATCTTCTGGAGTACAAGTCAAGAAGTGCTACTTTTCTTTGTCTTGATCATGGTCAAACTTGTTTTTGTTTTATGTCTTATTTTGTACAGTGGGCTTTTTGTCAATCTAGTCTCAAAGCATTGTCTATCTTGTTTTTGTACGTACAAACAATTGATAAAGGAAGTGTTGGCTATAGAAAATGTAAAATATACTTTCCTTTTGCTGTTGCGTATAAGGGGTCTAAAGTTGAATATAAAAAAAATTATTTGTTTAAATGGGTTTTCTTCTATCATTGTACACATAATATTGTTGTTTTATATTGTTGCAACAGCTCGTTGTGTTTCTTTATTTTGTAATAAATTGTGATTTTTATAGCTTTTTGGAGCTATATTGGTAGGTTATTGCCTAATTGAACCTTTATTTGTGATTTAGTTGAAATAATAGACATAAACTTGCCATTTCTATATATCATGTTACTATTTTACGGAATTTTGATTTATTATGTTACCTATTTTACGAAAATAAGTCACGACTTTTGGCTAGTCACCAAAGCTTGTTGTTATTGACCACAAAACACGATTAGTGGATTATGGAATGGTCGTTGGTTCAGTTTTATCAAGCACTAACACGAATTCTTTATCAAACTTTGGTCTGTGTTTTTATCAAAGTGTCGTCTTTTTTGTTATTAAGTTTATTTCCCCTACCTTAACATCATCGATTGATGTTGTTGAAACATGTCTGGTCAGTATGTCTTTTGTGCTGACCCTTTGTGGGTAAGTTGGTCAAAAAACTTTTTAGTAATTGCGATAAACGTCAAAAGAAATGGCTGATTCGCACAGTGCATCTAATAATATTCTAATGATTGCACCGTGCAGGGTTTTTTAAAGATGTTTTGTGTTGTTAAAATTAATTGTAAAGAAACATAAACTTACGTTTAGCTTTGTAGTGGAAAAATAACCGAAATACCTATTTTTTAAAGTTTTTGAACGAATCTGCACGGTGCAACAAAAACGTTTTTGCTCATTGCACCGTGCAGATATCCAATCAGCCCTTTTACTTCAAAACGTTAAAGTTAAGCTTCTAAAACTACACTTTCAGATATCAAATGAAGTAGCAGCAAACAATACGTTGCCAGTGTTGACTTTTTGCTTTGAACATGCCGTTCTCGCCAACGTTCCAGTGGTCTTCTTCTTTATTATGTGGCCAATCTTGATGTTTCAGCTGTATCTCAGTGAATATCCGCCTCTTCCTGATGATTATCTGTTTGATATGAAAGCTGTAAGGTATTTTAGATTACGTATTGTTATTTAGGTATTAAATACTGTGGCATACGTTTGATTTTTGGGCTTACAAGAGCTAAAGCATTGAAATAATTGAAGTTTTTTTCGAATTTAAAAAAGTTTTTATAAAAATAATATTGTTGTTGGCAGTTTAAGCTCCGAATTCACATTGTAACATGCTAATATAATATTGTTCAAGACAGTATTGTTTATCACATTTTCAGGGAGTTTCCTGCCTTCTTCTGGTCGATAAAACCTTTCTATTGGTACGATCTCTATGGGAAACGTACCTGATTGGCGATTCAGTACCGATCGTTGAGTATGTCTATCCAGTACTTCAAATAGCTACAATATTAGGTTTGATACATTCTAGTAAGAAGTGTTTGGACAAGGGAATCGCGTCTTCTGGAATCATTTTTGTAACTTGGTTTCTGTTTTTGATCTGTGGATTACCAGAGTTTTACACTTGGATATCGCTTGGGACGAATCCAAAGGTAAGGAATATTGTTGTAGAAAGAATTTTTAGAATCTGAGGCTATTATGTGCATAATTTTGAGGAATTTCAGGTTTTTTAAGCTCATTTTTTATTTTTTTTCAAATATTTTTTTTGTATTTTTTGTGATTTTGGCTTCTTTTCCAGGCAATTAGCCATAAAACCTTGTGAAATATATAAATAATTAAAACTTTTTGTCATAAATACTTGTAACTTTTTGTTTCAGACATTATCAGCCTTGAATTCGTACAGATATATCCCATACCTGATTTGGTATCCTCTTGTTTTGATTCAAGTTCTTTTACATTGTTTTACATTGCGACATGATTTTGGTATTGGAGTAGGTTTATAACTGTTTGTTTTTTTGAAATTTTAGGATATAAACAGTACCTTTTTAATTTTTATATGATGTAAGCAGTATTTTTTAAACAGTTTTCAAATTTTAAATTCAAAAAAAATTCCCATTATTTATTTTTGCAGCACGAATCCCCAGAACGTCAAGCACCGTTCCTGTCGAATCAATTCTTTTGTTGGTTTAGTGATATTGTTAAAATTGGAAAGAAAAGGCCAATTGTCTACTCGGATCTACATGAACTTGACCCCATAATGCAAGGAAGTCGATTGAATCTCAAGTGGAACAATCTGTGGACTAAAAGCTTTGGGGGTGCGGTTTTTACTATGGTATCTGTGGGTGGAATTTAATTTTTTTTGAATTTTACGGGATTTGATGAATATGACATTTATAAAAAGGATTATCAGTAATAATATTGGTAGAATGATCTTTACATCATGGGTATATAGCTTTTTTTGGGTCGACTTATTATAATATTTTTTGATCTTTTAGGTATTTTAAAATTGTTTTTAGACTATAAAAAGAAGCTAGAAGACTCGGTAGAATACGAAGAATACGAATCTCTTCATACTGTGGATGTGAACGACAGAACACCTTTGGTCAACCATAAACATGGCGCTTTATTGAGCTATGGATCACATGGAGGTAAGGGTTTTGCTTTGACAATAAAACATGGTAATTAAAATAACATAATTGGTTAATGTTGTAAAATTAGATGAATTTTGCCGTATTTTACAAAGTCTTTAATTTCAGAATGCCGAATCCCCAAAAACAAGAAAAAACCACCCCCACCGTCAATCCTAGCCATATTGTGGAAGTTCTTCAGACGGGAGTTCCTCGGAGCATCAGTTTTAAAGTTTTTAACTGACTTACTACAATTTGCCAATCCACTTTTACTAGGCCAAATGATAACGTACACCGAGAACAAACATGCCCCAGTATGGCAGGGTGTTGGACTAGCCTTATTGATGTTTACCGCGGCCGAAACACGATCTTTTTTGCTGAATAACTACTTTACTACCATGTTGAAGATTGGCTGCAAGGTTCAGAGTGTTCTTACCGTAGCTGTTTATAATAAGGTAAGGCTTGGTATGTTGTGGGAGAGGTTGTTTTTAGTGTGGGAGAGCAAGGTATAAGCAGGGTAAAGTATCATAGGAAACGTAAGGGTAAATTAGGTTAGAGTTGTATAGGGGATGATAAGTCAGGGTTACATACATTACGATAGGATACTTTTTACCTTAACATAGTGTTTTCTTTAACATGATGATCCTACTTTCATACTGCACTTTTCCAGGTCCTCCGTCTATCAAACTCAGCACGACAAAAGCGAACAGCCGGAGAGATTCAGAATCTGATGTCAATTGATGTGGAACGATTCCAAACCATCACTCCGAACCTTCAAGCTTATTGGAGTAGTCCATTGACTATTGTCTTGGCTCTGACTATTCTGTTCCAAACAGTCGGTGCTGCTGCGTTTGGAGGAGTTTTTATCATGTTATTGATCATTCCTCTCAACTTGGCTATCATGATGAAGACCAAAAAGTGGCAGGTAGGAAAAAATAAAATTTTTGTTAATAAATTGGTACTCTTTGTTTTTGGAATATAAAAGACGGACATTTTAGGTAATACTAATATATAATGTTATAATAAGTAGTGAAGCTAATTATAGATAATTCAAATGAAATTGAAAGACGAGAGATTAAAGTTAACGAATGAAGTACTGAATGGAATAAAGATTGTCAAGTTGTATGCGTGGGAGAAACCGATGATGGATCAGATTAATGAGTTAAGGAAGGCTGAAGTCAACTTGATTCGAAAAGCTTCTTTAACTCGATCTATTGGAGACGTACTCAATGTGGCATCACCTTTCTTAGTACGTATCATTTTTTACCCTTTTAGCTCAAATTTTGATCATAGATTTCTAAAAAATAGTGTTACAGCTGTTCATAGTTAAATTACAGTACAACAAGAGTTTTTTAAATTTTATGTTACAGTAATACTGAAAGGTTCAATTGCAACGTTTTGAAAAGCAAATACTACCTAAAATATCAGAAAACTCTTAGGTAGCCCTAGTAGCCTTCACCATCTTCGTACTGTCTTCAGAAGACAATGTTCTGACTGCTCAAGTCGCCTTCGTATCTCTGACAGTATTTGCTCAACTTCGAGTACCATTGTTTATCATCGCTGAGCTAATTGGAAGTACAGTACAGGTTGTAGTATCTAACAAAAGATTGAAGGACTTTTTGGCGGAGGAAGAAACTGATGACACTACTATTGATAGGGATTTTAGAAGCGATTGTAAGGTTTTTACGGTTTATTGTCAGCACCGTAGCTTTAACTACCTTGCCTTATTCTATCTTATCTACTTTTTTACCTATCTTTTTTACCTTAGCTACCTTTTTTTACTATGCCATCGCCATAACCCTATCTTACCCTATTGTATCCTATATTAACAAACCTTTTTAGACGAAAACTCAATCGAAGTAAAGCTAGCCACATTTACCTGGGACAAATCGTCTCCTAAAACATCGCTAAAAGATATTCAACTAGACATTGGCCAAGGCGCTCTAGTGGCCGTAGTTGGCCAAGTTGGATCAGGAAAGTCGAGTTTGTTAAGTGCTCTACTTGGAGAGATGGACAAGATTGGTGGATTCGCTGGAGTCCGAGGATCCATTGCTTATGCTCCACAACAAAGCTGGATCCAGAATCAGACAGTCAGGGATAATATTATTTTTGGCAAAGAGTGGGATGAACAGTTATACCACAAGGTTGTTGATGTAAGTTATAAGAGTTTATGAAGGTAGAAAGGTAAAATACGATATGTAGGGTCTAAACCGTTTTAGACTGCATCCGAAAGATTTCGTGAAACAAAAAAAGTAAAAAATGTTGTTATAGGCATGTGAACTTCAACGAGATTTCGAATTTCTACCATTTGGCGATCAAACAGAAATAGGAGAGAAAGGTGTAAACCTAAGTGGCGGCCAAAAAGCCAGAGTATCATTAGCACGAGCCCTGTATCAACAAACCGACATTCTCCTCATGGACGATCCCTTATCAGCCGTGGATGCGATTGTAGGAGCAGCCATCTTCGAAAAGGCTATTGGACCATCTTCATTATCCAAAGATACTACACGAGTACTAGTGACCCACTCCTTGGCTTGTCTACCAGAATGTGACTACATCATTGTGATGAAGGATGGCATGATCATACGAGTTGATGACTACGAGAGTCTACTGGCTGATCCAGAAATGTCAAAACTGATAAAGCAGATAGAGAAGGAGGAGGCCAAGGAAGCACAAGCGGAGACGCCAACCACAGGAGAATCCGGGAATCTGGAGGAGAGCGACACTGACTATTCATCGACCGAAAGTGATAACAAGTCCAAGAACGAGAAGTCCAGGATTGATAGCAAGCTCCTGAGGAAGAGGTCACGAGCATCGTCGAAACAGACCAAACAAGTGGTACCATCCAAACTGGTCCAAGAGGAGTTTGTAGAGACTGGCAGAGTCAGCCCATCCATCTACATGCACTACTTCAAGAGCATGAACTTCGCTTTCTTTCTGTGTTTTGTGTTTGGCATGGTGATGAATCAGGGCTTGTCGATTCTGAGGAGTTTTTGGCTCTCTGACTGGTCGGATAATACTGAACATGATAGGTACACGTTGGGTACTAGATTAACTGTTTTTGGAGCTTTTGGTCTACTGGAAGGTGGGTTTGTCATATATTAGTTTGCTCAAATAATGATGTGCTTCCTTACTCCGAAAATTAGCTTTGAGAGGGGCACAGAATTAAGTGAACATCATTTTTTGTTGTGATACTAAAATTTTCATATTTTAATGAATTTTAAAATTTAAAACCGATTCCGTATTTTACAACTTTCAGTGGTCAGTCTCTACTTCGCCTCGATCTTCCTCATCCTAGGTGGAGTCAACTCCAGTATCCGCCTTCATGGTCCTCTATTATACCGGATTCTCCGAGCACCGGTCGTTTTCTTCGATGTCACGCCTCTAGGTCGTATTTTGAATCGTTTTGGTAAAGAGATGGAAACGGTCGATTTGAGAATGCAAGGCATCTTCAGATTCCTGATGGTCTGCATTCTGAGTGTGGCATCCACCATCATTGTCATCTCAATATCGTCGCCTATATTCTTGTTGTTTATGATCCCATTGTCATTTGTTTATGTGTTGATTTTGGTAGGTTATTGAAGGTTATGGTGTAGTAGGTTTACTTTTGTGATATAGTAAGTTGATGTGGTAGTATGTTATATATGTACTGTAATAGATATTACATATGTGTTAGTATGCAAACACGTATATACTGTACAATATCCTCCTTTGCCAGAAATTTTTCATTCCGACCAGTCGCCAGCTCCAAAGATTATCCTCAATCAGTCGATCTCCACTATTCGCTGCCTTCGGCGAAACAATTATTGGCGTTACTTCGATCCGTGCCTACGGTGTAGCTCGTCGATTCTATCATCAGTTCATTGATGCTATTGACCTCCATGTTACATGTAAATACTCAGCTGGAATATCAGCAAGATGGCTGGGTATGAGGCTGGAAATAATGGGAAATTCCATCATATTGATCACGGCGTTGTTGAGTGTTTGGTCGAAAGAAACTGGATTTATGAGCCCTGGATCCATTGGAATGACATTGTCTTATGCACTGAATGTAAGTGGGGTATTCTGGCTCTAATTTGAGTAGATTAAAGTACGGTGTAGTATAATATAGTACTGTGTTTCCGGGAGGGTATCATAAGTTAAAATTTTACTAATTCATTTCCAGATCACCAACATGTTGTCCATGTTGATCCGCCAAATTAGTGAAACCGAATCAAACATCGTGTCGGTCGAGAGAATTAAGGAGTATTCAGAAGTCGAAGAAGAAGCACCGTGGGAAATGCCAGAAGCCTCCAAGATTCATTTACCTCGTGATTGGCCAATAGCCGGTGTTGTATCCTTCAAAAACGTGTCCACAAGATACCGCAAAGACCTGGAGCTATCACTCATGGACATTGACGTATCATTTCGACCAGGCGAAAAGATTGGTGTGGTTGGTCGAACTGGAGCCGGCAAGTCATCCTTAATATTGACACTGTTCCGACTGATCGAACCCACCAACGGTCGTATTTTGGTGGATGGAGTCAACTTATCAATGTTAGGTTTACATGACATTAGGTCAAGGTTCACAATTATACCTCAGGAGCCTACTTTGTTCTCAGGCACGTTGAGAATGAATCTGGATCCTCTGAAGGCGTATTCAGATGTGGAGTTATGGTTGGCGTTGGAAGATGCCAACCTGAAAGACTTTGTACAGGGATTAGACCGAAAGTTGGAGCACGACATTGCCGAAGGAGGTAGTAATATCAGCGTTGGGCAACGCCAACTGATCTGTCTCGCTCGCGCCATTCTTCGCAAAAGCAAGGTTGTTGTTTTGGATGAAGCTACAGCCTCGGTTGATATTCAAACTGACGAGATTATTCAACGTACGATCCGGGAGAAGTTTGTCAATTCTACTGTTATCACTATAGCTCACAGAATACGTACTATTCTGGATTCTGACCGCATTTTAGTGCTGAAGAATGGTAGAGTGGTGGAGTTCGATACTCCAGAGAAACTACTGGAGAACACGAAGAGTTTGTTCTATTCTTTGGCCAATTCGCACAAAAATTGAGTTGATATTGTTTTAGATAAAAATTAAATTGTTGTAGATTTTATTGGTTTTTGACGTTATTGATTGGTTTTGTATTACAAAAACGGCATTTATAGATAAAAAAATCGAAATTTTAGTGAAAAACGCACCCAAAATCGCCATTTTAAAATTGGCATTTAAAATTTCCTTTTTTGGTCAATATCAATATAAAAATTTGATTTCCTTGCTCCTGTTGAGTAGTAATGTTTTCGTATTTATTACATATGGCAACAAAATGTTAAAGCAATTCAAAGAATTAAAAAAAGAAGACCAGAACGTTTCGAATGAGCATTTCACTGATAAGATTTCAATTGTACAAACAATCAAAGATTAATTCAAAGTTAACTAACAAAGTAAAGTAAGAAATAATTAACTATTCATAAAAAAAGATGAAAAAAGATAACTATAAGAAATAAAAAAGGCGTTGATTTAAAGAAAGGCGCGTGGTTGTTAAAAAATCCGCGCCTTTCTTGAATATTCAGCTACCAAGGCAGTAAATGTTATAGACAAGACAGTAAAATCAAATAACTACAGGAAAATTGTAAAAATGCTAATTTTCTTTTGAAGATTTGTGAAAAAAAAACTAAACTGCGGAGATGGGACGGATCAAGTTGATAAGACACTAGAATTATGGCAGTAAAAATGCGGAACAACACCCGGTGTGGAATAAATAGAACGACAAACACTTGAGGAACGGCCTTGAAGAGCAGTGGCCATTACCAATAGAGGTCTTGATTAATAAGGCTTTTAATCCATAAAGACCCTATATTAACATCGGGCCTTTATCCTTAAAGATCCCATTTTAACATAAGCTCTATTACAGCCAATATTAATCAAGAACTTCATCAATACCTACATCAATCAAGGCCTTTATCAATACAGACCATGATCAAAAGACCCCTCGGTTAACAAAGGCCCTTATCGTTTAGCACGGTAGGTGGTGGTGTTCGGGGGGTTGGCGTTCCCGGTGTAGGTGGGGTTGTAGAAGGTGTCTGTCGCTTGTTTGAATATCGGGTTATCGGTCTGAAATTTCGGAGTATTTAATTTTGAACACAATGCTCTTGATTTTAAGGCATAGGGATATTGAGAATGGCTTAGATGGATGTTTTAAAGAGAGAAGTAGGAGGACATATAACATTGTTTTTGGAAAAGTAGAGAAAGAGACGGACATATTCACCAAGGAAACAGTTATAGGCTATAGATATTACTGTGATAAGTTCACTATAACAAGAATCCGCTGTATATACCGATAATCTTGCGGTTACCAGGTGGTATACACTATATTATACTATATACCACCTGATATACCATTATTTTCAAAAAAAATACGACATAACCGAAAACGAAAACAAGAAATACCGCGGCCGAAAGATACGAAAAGAAGAAGAAATACCTAAATTTACATTGCGATTCCGATATCAAATCTCGTACTCTAATTGAGTTTGGCACGGTCGCCAGAGTAGAGTGGGTTCTTGAAGGTTGTTGTCGCTTGTTTGAAGATGGGGTTGTCGTTCTGTAAAGTATACCGTAATATCATTGTTGATACCACAGGACAACTGATTTTTTGTTAGTCTTGTTAATACGTCGATGTTATTGCACTGTGACACAGTTTTTTATGTTAATGTTGATCATCCGAGGTAATATTGTGGTTAAAAGATATATGATACAAAGTATCAGTTAAGAAAAACGACAAAGATGTTAGATATTATACGAGATACGACAAAGATGTTATGGCTGTACTAGAAAACAGTGAATGCCACCTTTTATATGCCATATTGTACCACTTTATCACAACTAATGTGTAATAAAATCAAGATATAAGACAAAAACGTTAGATATTATTAACGTATACCATCTGACATTAAAATAAAACAACAAAAAGTAATTATAAGATGCATACCTTCACTACAATGTTATGAAACATCAAAACTTAGAACAAAAACCACCGTAACCATTCCACACCCACTTCCCTCCCCTATCACTCAAAGCCATAGTAAACACTTACCGAATCGTATTTTCCATTCAATCGTTCCTTCTCGAACCTAACGTACTCTCTTCTGTCGTACATGACAGCCAAGATCTTCCACAGACACAATAACAACAAACCCAGCAGTACGATACCAGCAATGACCATGAGTACGATGACAAGAACGGGCAATGGTGCTGGACAATCCTTTTCCTCCTTCACCCATACGGTAAGATTACTGTAGCCATCGTAGTAGTAGAGGAAGTAGAAGGTACAGTCATCAGCTGGGTCCACGAACTGACATTCGTTCCAGGTCTCGGAGTCTGAGGCGTTTAGAACTGAAAATGGCAGTATTAGGCAGTGTAAGATAATACTAGTGAACAAAAAATAAAGTTATCACCCCTTACCTGGCAACTCCTTGACCGGCACGACAGTAAATGGACATTCAGCACACTTGCTCTCGTTGTAAGGTCCAGTTCCCCATTGTTGACACATCACACATGGCTTGTACTCGACACACTTAGTGGGACAAGTAGGGCAGATGTCACAGAACGGTCCAGAGTATCGTTGACCGTCCTCATCCGTGTGACAATGACACTTCCCACAAATACAGTCGCCGTGACCGTTGCAGATCTTGCCGTTCTTCGAGAGACAAGTCTCGGTCGATAATGGACATTCACATGCAGGGCCGGTGTAGCCTTCTTCGCAGATGCACTGTCCACAGTTACAGGTACCGTGACCTCCGCATAGTTTGCGGTCGTGTCGTGGACAGTTGAAGTTGTCGCACTCACAGTATTGGCCGGAGATGATTTCTTCCGGATTCTGACGAGTGTTACAGACACAGACGCCGCATTCACATCGTCCACGGCCAGAGCAGATCAAGGAACTGTTGTCTTTGCGGCATTTGGCTTCCAAAGCGATGGCGGATTCACCGCCGGATTCACATTGACATTGGTCGCCGACAAAGCCTGGGGCACATTGACAGATGCCGCAAACCAGGTTACCGTGACCGCCGCATTCCGGAGCGTTTATGACAACCTCATCTTCACAGTCACAATCGCAGATGACGTGAACGTTGAGGAGGAGGGTTTCGTCGAGGCCTGAGGGACCAATGTGAAGTTCGAAATCTCTTTGTTTCACACAGTGAGTGGCTTCCAGGGTAACTTCGAAGGTGACTTCATCTCCGACCTTGATTCCTTCACATACGTTCGTGTCTTTGAGGTCTTTTCCACTGAAAATCAAAGGTAAGTTTAATTTTTCAAAAGCCTAGGTTCTCCTTTAATTATCTTAGAGTAATCTTCAAAAATTGTGCTAGGTCAATAGCACGTTAGATACGGTCAAACATGAAAAAAAAGTTTATGTTGACTTACTTCAAGCACTTTGACCTGTAGCTCAGCTTCAATCCCATGGAAGAGTTGGCGTTGTCTACCATGATAATCTTTTCGGCGATTTTACCGTACTCTTCTTCGATCAAGGTGACAATGTTGGAGGAGTCTGTGGCCAAGACGCCAACGGATGAACTGACATCAGGAAGAGCTTCACTCAACTAAAACGGGGAAGATATGATTAAAAACGGAAAAAATCATCAACAATATTATTTTAGAAAAGAAAATTTACTGTATTTCAATTTTTGAATACTGTATTTAAATTGTTAAGTACTGTATTTCAAAAACCTATTATAATTAGCATATTGTTCATAGTGGTGGATTTACCTGATCATAAAGCTTCTTGTTCTTCTTGGTGACAGCAAAGATCATGTTAACCTTGTTGTCCTTGATGATTTTGTGCAATTGAGCAACTGATGGGTAATCTTGTTCAGTAGATTGTGTGTAGTAGCCTTGAGCATCCAAATGGCATTCACCGTCATTTGGAGTCAAAATACCTCCGAGCTAAAATATTAAAAGTTTAATCATAAGCATTAGAAAATGCAAAAAAAAACTAAAATTGAAAAAAAATTGTGAAGACTTGCTTAAATTTTATAAAAATCAAGAGAGATGCTATCTACATTAAATGATAAAGCTAATCTTTGAATTTTTAAAACCTAAAAAAATCATTTATCGAAAAAACATCTACCTTTCCATCTCCAGCAAAGTGGAATCCAGCATCGGTGGAAAGGACGATCATTTTACGAGAACGTTCTCTCCATCCAATAGTACTCTGCAAAGATACTATAGTATACTAATGAATAAGAAAATAAATAATATTATTCTTTCACAAAAATTACTGTAACAAATTCATATTCAAAAGTGAAAAAATAAAACTTACGTTACAAACAATAGCTTGAACAACAGCGTCGAAACCGCCTTCTGGAGCGTCCAAATTACCAGAAATCTCAGCCTTTTCTACTTCTTTCTAAAAAATACATGTTGTTATTGAGTTGTTCATCTTTCCTTGGTTTCAGCTTATTTATCTTATATTATAGTACTGAAACAATATAAGTCAAATAATTTTTTGATCAACTAACAACCCTCGGGTTTATATTGTAGTAGGTCATGTATTTCTAAAATGATCAAATCTCAGCCTTAATTGTAATGGCTAACATAACTTCTATAAAAATACTGTGACGTGTTTCACACCCCTTACCGAGAACTTGTTAGTGTTGGTCGTCAAGCTCATTTGGTTTCTGAAGCCGTAAGTTGGAGCACAACCTTCTGAACATGGCGAGTCTTGTTTCTCTTTTCGTGGGTCGATAAATGGCATTACTTTCTTGTCGACAAAAGATCCGAATCCAAGACGGAAGTTCTTGGTGATCTCCTTCATTCTGGCGGCCAAAAGATCTCCCAACTGACTCAACTTCTCTTTGTCGTCCTTCATTGAGTAGGACAAGTCCATCAAGTAGTACAAATCGACCGGGTAATCGACAGCTTGGCGGAAGGTCACGTCGAAGCGGGCTTTTGAGTCTGAAAAGTGTTTTTGTAATATTAAAACTTGAAAAGATATATGAAATCTCAACTTTAAATCACCAAATCCTAAAATATTACTTTAAAAAAATTCAAAATTGAAACCTTACGTGGCCGAATCCTGATCTCGACTTCCTGTGGCCTCAGCTGAACATTATCATCCTCATCTCCACCATCTACAAATGGGTCAGAAGCGATGGTTCTCAAATGACTTTGAGGATTGACAACAGCGTTGGCAGCACAACCATGGTCAAGCAGGTTCTGTGCTGAATCACATCGTGAAAACGAGGTTTCTCTGTTGAATTCCTAAACTCAGAATAAGAATTTAAAATTTAAAAACCTACAAAATCCTCGCACCATGCACAAGAGTCATGGAACTGGATGCAGTCGCTACAGGTGTAGTTTTCTTTGGCCAAAGAATGGCAGGGGAAGCCGGCTTCTGCTGGGATGATCTCGCCGTCGCTGACTGAAAAGGAGATGATTGTTAGAGTAAAAATTGAAACATGTAGTAGTATTAAAAACTATATTTTGAATATATGTTTCCAAACCCCCAAAATTTTAATTTATGCACTATTACAGTCAAAAAGTTCATAGAATTCCCTATAAAATAACACTTTGCTTCTAATACCGTTTCCATAAAGTTTGTGACCAAAAAACAGTAAACTCGTTCAAAAAACGTATAAAAATGTTGAAAAATGCCAAAAACTTACCGCTGTCCTGTCCCCAGTTCTGTGCTGACACCGTGGCCAGTAAAATGGCTCCAAATAGAGCCAGATTCAGGCCCATTTTCCACCCAAATGGAGCTGTTCTATAAGAATTCATATAAGAAAATAGTTTAGTTTGATTTTAAAATAAAACATAAAAAGCTTTCGCAAAATTAAAATAAGTTTAAAATCAAATGTGAACGTGAACGTATCCACAAAAAACACTATATAAATCATAAATCTTGTCAAAATACAAGCAAAATAGTAAAAAACTTGTAAATCCCTAAACAAATTCCATAAAATCCAAATGTAAAAATAGAAATTCGAGCATGCTCCTTTGCAATCCGAACCCCTAAGGCCATAAAATGAGGATACATGAGCTTTTCAGCGCAAAACTACCTCTAACATAAAAAATAATAGTATATGAACAGTTACTATTATATATTGTAAAGTTATAACTGAATAACTACTGCTTATAAAAATAAAATCTTAATGCAAATATCAACCTTCAATTTCAATTTTATAAAATTAAAAAACAATTTTTAATCTGCACGGTGCGCTAAATTCAATAATAATGTATTAATTAACCCCTCTAACTCCCCCAAAAATAATTACATCGTAAAGTTCAAAACCCTGTCATTTTGTGTAACAGATCCATATTCAAATGTACAAAAAATATTATTAAAGGAAGGAAGCTTTAAAGAGAAGCAAAGCGAGCAGTGAGTCATGTTTTGGTAGTTTTCGGAAAAATACAATTGATGACTAATTGAACGGGTACCTTAATGTGATCAATGCCGTTTTTCTAAACCTGTTATGTGTTTTGTAATGCCAATATAAGTGTTTGATTACCTCAAATATTCAAAAAGCAAATTCTAAGTTACAGCCTTCAGAATGCCCTTACCTTTATTAATCCTCACCTGCTTCAAATAAAAAAAATTTACCCCGCCGAATTAATCCCACGCCCTTCTCAGCCAATTAATCTGATGAAAACGGTTCGACTGTCCATTTTGGCCTTAACCCCGATGGCATTCTTTCCCGTTTCTCTCGCGAAAAAGGTCGCTCCAGATTTTTTTGCGATGGACAGAGGAAGCTAAAAGACGAAAGGGGGGGGGAGAATGTGGTCAGAAGGGAACAGCCGCGTCCGAGAGGGCAAACGCGATGAGCCAACTGGTGGGTTATAATGGCTCTTACGCGAGACAATCTGTCTATGCAAATTTATGATCTCCAGGGAGTGGATTCGTCGAGAATTTGGGGTACCTCGTGATGTTTGTTATTCAAATAAAACTTCATGATGTTGGTGCCTAGTTTACAAAGCTGATTCTTCAATCACATTCTTTCCACAATGTTTTTTATGAAAAGAGATTTCAATTTCGTAGTCTTCTCAATAGAAACCAAAGAAAAATAGTAAAATCAAATCTCTGGTTCGTATTTTACCATAGTAAAACCTCCTTAGTATGACCCTAAATAGTAGAACACCCTCAAAAATTTATAATGACAGCTTTTTGGCCGCTCTCGATAATAGAACTCTTATCAAAGATTACCTGCATAGAGTGACATGTTGGTTATAATAGGCCCTTTAGTACAGTAACTTGAGTCTCATACTAAAGAGTTTTGATTGTAAGTATATCTTTTTATTTACCATAAAAACAGATTTTTTTAAAACTTTAACCGTTCAAAAATTGTCGTCTAATTTTAAAACATCTTACAAAACCGATTCTTATTTTACTCAGAGCTTGCATCTCAAAATGGCCATTTTATTATTAAATTTTAAAAGATAAAAATGCTTAATATCATTAAAAAATGATTAAAAACTAAAAGGCGTTTTTATATTTTTATGTTTACTCAATATCCAAACGGCTACTCAGAAAATTTTAATCAAAAAGTAAACAACTCGGATATTCATCACAAAATCCTAGCCATTATCATGATTTTAAGAACATCTAACTTTTTCTTTTAAAAAAATACTGAATATCAATATCTGCACTGTGCAGTGTCAAATTTATAAAATCATTTAAAAATATTATTGAAAACTGTACCACAAAAAGTACAACTGCAGTGAAAACTAAAATGTATGACACTCAAGAAACTCGTCCAAACCTATCCTTATATCCAAAGTGTCACCCTACCCAGGTACTTTTTGATAGAAATTCTATTACAAAAGGTGCTCAAAAAACTGTCATTATTAAGGGGTTGTCCCACTATTCAGTGTCATACTAAAGAGGTTTACTGTAAAGAAAGTTTAAACCAGGCCATATAATTAGGTATGAATCTCAAACCAATTAAAAAATTTTTAAAGGCTTGGTTTAGCCCCGTTTCAAAAATAATTGTTTTTCAAATTTAAAATGTAAAAAAAAAACAAAACAATATAGAAAGTTAAACTGCCAGCTATCTAATATAAATAAAACCACCAAAAACGTCCCCTAAACACCTCACACAAAAAACACCCCCCAAAACGTCAAAAAGTACAATAACAACCTAGTTCGATCCTGAATGTTACCGATATTTTAGGCCCTGTGTTTCACCTTATTCCTCCTGTTCGAAAGGCTTTTCGGATTCCGCCCACGCTGCTTTAAAAGTCCTAGGCCGAAAGTTTGGGGCCAGATCAGAGAAGGGCGGCTGTCCCTTTTGCACCTCCATATCCCTCTCTGTCCTCGGGCCTTTTTGAAACTTTTTCTTTGCATTTATGACATAAAATTTATAGCTGAAACATAAAAAACTACCTTATGAACGCTAGCTTTAAGTTTATGGCGTTTTAATTAAACCAATATCTTAAATATTAGCACAAATGTCATACTTTTTCAAAAATAATTAATTTTAAAAAATCAACTTTTGACAAGAATAAAAACTTTTACTACAAAAATAATCAAAACTCATTTAAATGCAACAAAAAAAAACTTTTAAGTTTCTTGAAGTATAAGTAACCAGGTGTGACATTAACAGTGATTAACCAAAGCGAAAGACCGACTAGTAAGTGAATATAAATCTCGACCCATATTAATAAGTAAAGTAAACCAACATTTTTAAGACCAATAAGGTTACAAAGTCCAAAAAATATGCTTTCACACTAATTCAGTAATTAAAAGAATTTTTCTACAAACTTTTAGACCAAATTAATACCCAAAAACATCAAAAATAAAGAGAATTTTAAGAAAATTACCTTAAAAAGACTTCTAAGACCCATCACTAGATCTTCGAGTAAAGCTCTTGAACATTGTCTTGATTGTAGGCTTAGCTTTGGCCTTTTCGGAACTTTTTGCGATTATCGAGAAGTCATCCATGAACATTTCGACCATCGAATTTTGAAGTTGCTGTGAAGCTTGCGTTCTCGCTTGGAGTGTCTATAAAGATCTTCTTAGCTTACCTTTACATTATTACTCATAAAAAACAGATATTTTAAAGAATTAATGATGAATACGGTTTATAACATTACAACAGTTAACAAAAAGTAACTTTAATACCTAAAACAACTTACATAATCATCACTTTCTTCAATACCTTGACAATAACCCACTAATGGCGGCTTACACAGCTTAGACAACGAAATGGATATAAAGTTGTGTAGGGTTGTCAGCAATATCTCGTGGAAGGTTTTACAAAAGTAGTTGCAAAATCGTTTATCACTGGCTGGATCCGGCAAATAAGGCACACCTAAACAGTAAAAATATTTAACGAAAAGTAGCTTACAAAACCAATCAGTCCACAAAGGATTGTTCGTTATAACGTGTCCCATTTTCTCAAAGAACTGAACAGACTTCTCGGTTTTCTTGTTTTGCGCACAGTTGGCCAAGTATAACTTGAAGATGTCGGCTTCTAGCTTGTTCAACGTCTTTGATTCCATCTAAAAAAGTTCGATTAGAATCTTTTCTAACCAATATTGCATGAAACTTTGCCATTAATTCAACGACGACATTATTTATCTCCAACCGAACAACTACATCAATATTTTCCTTACCTCTGTCAAATTGTTGAACAAATGAGTACTAAAATACTCCCATGACGCGTTCAAACTGTCAATATCATAAGTATCAATGTACTTGACGATTTCCGACACTATTCTTTCAACCTAAACATAAATAAAGTATCAAAAAATGTTGTTTTACCTGAAGTTTAGTGTCAACTTGAAGTTGTTGATCCTTTTGTTTAGCCGCCAGCTGTGAAAAGTATTTAACATTGTTAAAATATTGTTTTATTAGCTCTTTGGTCGATTCAACAGCATAAACACCACTCATATCATTTGATTTATAAGGTTTTGTCCGACGAAAAAAGATTTTACAAAAAAATAAATTATTGAGAGAAAGTTGACACCTGAGTCAAGTTTTTCTTTTTCATGGTGAAGATGTTTCGACAAGTAAAATAACTGTGTTCTGATGTTTGTTACGAGATACAAATTTGGGTAATACTTAATAATACTTTATTTTTTATTTTTTTAATTTTATTTTAACTTAATTTTTTAAAAATTACAAGTTTTTTATTTATAAAGTGATCTATTCATGTTTTTTCTTCAAAACACTAACCGTTTCCAATATAATCATTTATTTTACATACCCAATGTCATTTTGTCGACATAAAAGAGTCAGTTTGAACGAAAAACAATGCAAGCAATCATAAATTAATTAGTTGACGGATGATTGGTGTTACAAAATAGGACCAATGTTAATATCCGCACGGAACCCGCTACAGTTGTTTGGAGAAAGTGCAAAAAAATGGATTTGGAGAAGGAAAAAGCGGTAAGAACAGAAACATTTACTCGTTTTGGATGGTAATTTTCAGATGAAAACAGATCATTTGGAAGGATTTCTTCGAAGAATGACGAAATGGTACCAAAAGGTGGGACAGCTTGATACTAAGGAGTATGAAAAACTGGTACCAATGAATGATGACAAGCTGGAGCTACGTTTTCTTGAGTTTTTGGATGCAGCGCTTTTTAGACTATAATTCATGATAAAAAACGATCCAAAGACTTTCAGGATGGCCTAGTGATAACAATAGATAAAGAAGTACAACTACAATGTTGTTTTGTACATTACAATCCTCGTTTTACAAGTTTGTAACTACACTGTTCGTTTTTACAAAGTAAATTAAACCCGTTGTCATCAGATGTCACATGTATCGTACACGTTTGGTCTTGGGCGGCGCGGTAAGTTGGGCGATGGGCATGTGTTGTGTAGCCATAGCCTTGTAGACCTGTGCCAACAATTGGCCATAGTCCTGTGCCAATACCTTCCACCCTTCGGTGTCGACGATACTCAGACTATTCTGGTTGATAAATGCAATACATCGTGCCTTCAACTGTTCAGCACAATGTAGATCGGCGTGTACCATTACTTGGCACACGTTTGAAGTTGAAATGGCGTTACATAGTGACCATTCGCACATTTGTTTTAGTCGTTTCAGTTGGTATTTGTCGGCCGCACTCATTAGTTTGATGGCTAGATGGTCGAGTTCGGGGACGTTGTCGCCGTAGATGAAATGCAACATGCCTTTGACCGTTTCTGGGTCTAGATCATCGATTACGACCTTGTTGTTGTCTTTTTCGGTGGTTGGATAGGAGAACATGGCTCGGAAGACCTCGGATCTACTCGCTAGGATGGCTTTGTGTGCCTGAAAATGTAAGTTTTAATGGGTAGAAGTAAAATACGATTGATGAAGTTTGTGGAGAATAAAATTTTGTATATTGATCTAAGTTTTTGTAAAATTATATTGTTTTAGAGTAAAGCTATTCAAATTTTTAAAAATCGCCAGAAACCTACCTTAAAAACCTGTTCATCCACCACGATCTCACAATCAGTACAAATGCTTTCAGTGAACAGATTGGAGTAATCTTCGGACAAACTGCTGGGTGGAATGGTGATTTGTGGCAGTTGAGTGTGTTGACCCGTAATGTTAACAGCATCAGTGACAATGCTGACCTCGCAGAAGATGGAGAGACGATCTTCTGGCAGCAGGCCATTTTCTTCGTTCAGCAAATACTCACGGCGAATGAACTTTTTGAAACCCCAATCTTTGGATTGAACAAATTTGTAAGCACGTTGGGATTCTGAAAGGTAGGGTGTTAAAATAATTTTTTTTTCAAAAATAAAAAATTTTGAAATTTAAAAAAAATTTAAAAGTATAATTTTAAAAACTTTCAAAATAGAGTAAAAATGATTTTTTTAAATTTTTAAAAATTAAAATTCCCAAAAATCCTTACCCATAGCCTTGCTCTCCTCTCGGTCAGCATTTAAAATCGAAAATTTGAATTTGGCGCGAACGTCGCTTTTGTCGCTCTGAACCAATAACAAATACAGCGACAAAAAGTCTTTGGATTCCTCGTCCAGACCCTTAGGGTTTATCCTCAAACACCAGCGCATCTTGTCATTGTGGCTTGATCCGAAGGTGGAGGACTTGAGTACTTCGCCCAGCTCTTCGTGACAGTACGAGAAGTTGTTGATGGTCCACAGGTACGAGAACTTGATCACATTGACCTGAAAATGGGGTGGTTATTAGCTGAGAGGTACATTAATATTGGTCTAATTAACTAAGGATAGTGTACTATTCTCTAAATATCAAGGATAATATCCAAGCTTCCTATCAATAATACCTTTACTCCTATCAAAAGCTTCAAATTCAATTCCTACCTGAGTACAACACCAATTGTCAGCCTGACATTCGTATTGTGATGTCTCGACGACATTGTTCTGATCCGGGTCGCAGTTGTAGGATGGCGACGACGAGCGTTGACCTTCGCTGACGGCGCTCTCCTGAACCGTCCTCAGCTCGTTCGTGACTTGGTACGAGGTCGAAGGGGCTGATGTCGCGGTAGCTGATGATGGAAACCCCACATGATAAGGGAAGGGGCGTTTGGAACCGCGGGTGCGATCGCCCGCCTGGGCCGGGAATCCAATGATCTTAGCCAGCGTGGTGAGCTGAATAGCAACGGTAATTTCTACGTATTTTTTGGACGAATTAGTTCACGAAGTATTTTTAAAAATAAAAAATATATAAAACGCGATAGCTTTTGTCATTAAAACATTTCATTGTGGGGTGTTAAAAAGTCTTGTCGTCAATTTATACAGGTCTGAACGCTGAAAAACGACAAGTCTTTTTTAACGCTTCAATAATAATATAATAAAGTCACGATTACTCACCAAATGTCATGCTAATTAAAAAACTGTCAAAATTGTACACATTTCATATTACTCATAAAAAGCTACAGTATTTCTCAAAAGCACAAGCCAAACGTATTTTGACCCAATTTGTTCGATAATTATGATCAAGGCCTAACGAACTGTCAGTCAACAATAATATCACATCGTCTTGCTACAAAAAGACTAGTTTGGTCAATATTCTTATATCAAAAACAATTTTACAAAATCTTTTACTACAAATCTATTATAGTATCAAATGCTTGCCTACCTACTACAATATAAAAATCATTTTTTGCAAAATAAAATTGTAAGATAACTAAGATAATAAAAACCACAACTTCATCTTTGGCCTACAGAGAGCCTACAACAATATCATCAAACCCAGACCCACTTCCCCCCAGCCCACCCCTATTTGAATACAAATTAGTGTTCCCATAACCAAAAGATTTGGGACAAGCGACAACACCCGCCTTAAGCGTTTAATAAATTAACTCTATGAATGGAAAACAATATTCGAAAACAGACATCACACACAGAAAAAGTCCACCAAAAAATAAACGAAACTCTTGACGCGAGAGAGCGCGGGACAGCGAGAGGGCGGGGGCAGAGAATCAGCGAAACTGAAAATCAAAGAAAAAAGTTCAAATTTGGGTTGTGTCGATGGAGAATTAAAAAGGAAGAACACGAAGCGAAGCGATGAGCCTTTGTCGAAGGATTCTACGGAATCTGAAGCGTTTTTTGGGAAGGTTGTAGCAAATCTTACCTAAATTTGCGGCAGAGATCAGCAAAATTCGTCGAAAAACGCAGAATTTTTAAGAAAAACGAGGGTTTTTGAGCTGATTCTTCTGATTTTTTCATTTTAACACTAGTTTTTGATCTTAAAATAGAATGAAAAATCAGTATATTACCAAATACTACCTTTCCAATCATAATATCTATTCATTACAAGCTACGTATTACCTCAAAACAGAAAAAAATCGACCGATTTGAGGGCGAAAAAGCTTTCGGAAACGGGTCGAAAACCCAATTTTCGGGAATTTCTTGTGCACGGTGCAGTAGGATCACCTTCACGCTCCGCCCACTTCTGTCGCCTCAAAAAACCGAATCGCTGAAGCGCGCGCGACTGGGTGCAGAATCCGACGCCACAGTAAAAAAAACGTATAGATACAGAAGTGGCGGAGGAAAAACCGTTTTGCGACAAAAACAACGACGATTTGCGAAGACTGTAGACGGTTTTGCGACAAGTCTAAATAGCTTTTGCGACAACCACCTGAACCGTCATAATACTCAGAGTTTTGCGCGACAGTCATTCTTTGCGTTTGACCCCGCCATGCGCTAAAGACATGTACCCCGCCCGACTGCGACAACTAATTTGTTTGCCCCCGAAAGACGACCTTTTTTAGCTTCTACCCGCGCCCGTTACCCTTCTTCTCACTATCTCTGCGACAAACTTTTTCGTCTCCCAACAACTGCGACAACCTTTTCCCACCCCGCCGCAACAGCCCTATTTAGCCCCGCCGCGACAACCTTCCTCGCCCTTCTCTCGATTGTTGGTGTCGCTTCTTTTGGATCAAACGCGCTGTGAGCGGTCATTCGCTCCTTTCCCTTGGCAGACGAGAGAACGAAGCGAGGGTGGGGGTGAGCAGCGACATTGTCGGGGGGATTGAGCAAACAATCGAGTGACCGATCCCGCTCGAGCCGGCAGTCAGCCGGTTTCCTCTTTTTTTGTTTTTTGCAATTCTGAAGGTGACTGGGCGCACAGGCGTGGCTCGTTGCGGCTTAATTCGAAAAGTCAAAAGGTTTTTGGTTACCGTATAAAAGGCGTATAACTTTTTCAGAAATTTTACAGGAGCCAGACATAAAAATGGTTTTTTGTCCTTATATTTCAATAAAAAAATTTTTGTCGCATTAAAAATTTTTTTTATCTTTTAAAAAAAACTTTTCAAAATCCACCTTTACAAACACAATTTCATAACATTTTCTAAGCCTAAAACAACGTTAAATAACCTTAACCCGTGCAACCCAATTCATTAACACCCCCCCCCCTCCCGAACCCTTACGAAATGTAAAAAAGGTAAAAGTCGCGCAAAAGTGGCGGAGTCTTTGAAACGAAGCCTGAAAGGGTTAAGATCAAGGACAACAAGACTGTATGGTCATAATGAAACGGGAGAGGGCGCTTCCCCAAAGCTCGAAAACAGATTAGACAGGGGGGTCTTGTGATAACGACTGTGGTCTGATCTCTCAAGCTTCATTATTCTTCTGCAACACATGGTATCTCTCACCTTGTTCTTTGTTTTTGAGGCACGTATGCGGCTATATACACATATCAACTGGGTTAAATATGAAGATAATACTATAATGTACTGTGTTACAGTATGTTTTTGAATTTGAAGCTTAAAATGGCGGTCAAAAACTAAAAAAAGTTTTTTACTTCTTACCTTTCACTAGCCCTCACTGTACAAAAACCTGAAGCTACATACAATAAAAGCAGACCTTGCTCATAATCAGACCCTCATACCGTACGCTGGAGTGTTGTAAATAACAAATAAATGGCCAAAAATTGTGAAGAAAATGCCCTGTCGAGACTCAGAAAAGAGACCGGCCAGACCCTGGGGCAGAAGGAGTGCACGGTGCACTTTCAAGTTCTCAGATCTGGCTGGGCGTATCTTCGGATGGCAAAAGACAAAAGCCGTTCGAAACACATTAAGAAGTGTCAGAGATTGTGAAACACGGAACCTGTAAGTGTGTCTACCACGTGAGGGGTGAGGGTTTAGCAGACTACTACGAGCTTTGTGGAGGTTTGGCAGACTACCATAAGGCTTGTGAAAGTTTGACAGTTTACCACAACTTTTGTAAGCAGCCTACTACGATATATGTAAGTGTCTGCTGTCTACTACAAAACCCGTATATCTTTTTCCTAAAGTCACCGTACAGTCTAGACTTGTCAACAAAGAGATAGCCTCGTAAACGCGATGATGACTTATTGTGAAAAATTGAAATTGGACCAGTTCGGAAGCGACTTCTCCACCTGTCAAAATCTTGGAAGCAGAATGCGTGCGATCGCTGGTCCCTCGCCCCCGTCTCTGCCCATTATTAGCAAGGCCCGGCTGTTCCCGGACTCGATGGAACGCATGAAATGGAATGTTTTTTGTCTTTTTTATTTGTCTCCTCGGGCGGTGTGTGTTTTTTCGGCAACGGAGAGGTGCTCTTTCTTCGCCCTCCAGCAATGACTCGGCTCTTCTGCACTCGCACCGGAACACGAGGAGCGACGGAAAGGCAAGAGGCCAAGCGGGGCGAGTCATTTGTGCACCGTTTCGCGGACACCGCCTGAGGGGGTTCGGCGTTTTTTCGAAGACGGGAATCGCGGTCGGAAGAAGGTGGAAAAAGAGACCAGCCAGCCGCCGCGACACGACCCACTCAAACCGTTGTGTTTTGCACTGGGCTGGGAGCGGGGCAAGACCGGGGTGGTGTTTGTCGCGCTCCGCCACCAGCCCGCAGGCTCTTCTCGCGGTCTCTCTGCCCCCTTGTTTCGTCTTCGTTCGGCCGCCCCGGAACGGACCTGCACTCTTGTGCTCGGTCTGTTTTGTCGCTCCTTCTCATATGGGCGATCCACTCACTCGATTCCAAAACAAGAGCATTTCTGGCTTGTTGTCGCGCCAGATGGGTTATTGAGAGCGGGCGGCCAAATGGGTTAAGGAGAGGAGGAAGGAAAAGGAGGGCCGCCAAGACTTTCTGGACGTCCCGGCTTCTGGGCGCGATTCTGAAAGGGCTTCTGGCCAACCTTTCAAAGTCTTGGGGAAAAGGTTTCTGACACACGGCCCCAGGCCAGGAATTAGCAGACAAAGGGATGGCGATGGGATTGTAAGTGCATATCCAATTCACAATTTGCCCCTTTTCCAGGAAAATCGCGGAACAAGCGTTTTGGTTTTTATAGAATTAGAGTTTGGAGGAGAAACGATATTGTTACAATCACATATTACTGGTTTTAGCACAAATAATGTTTAGCGACCATCCCCCCAAAGTAATTTTGAAAAAACACGACCAAAATATATATAATACGGCAGACTACCCTACCCACCATCATTTTACAGCAATGTTTTCCACGCCAAATATAAATTACTCGAGGAAAGCGAGAAAAATGTGACAAAAGGCTTCTGTACCGTGAATCTCTCGACAGCGTTAAGATACGTTCGTTTAAACTATTTTGCAGATGGGTCGCCCCCCCCCCACCCCCCCCTTCCGCCAGCTGAGAAGCTTTGGTTTCCGCCTGTAGACAGGAGAAAAAGTGAAAACGCGACAAACACGGTGAGGCCTTAAAAGTGCGACATATCATCGGATCGACTAATCAGCAAACAGAACAGGGAGTAATGGGGAATTGTAGGGAGTAATTGGAGGTTATGAACTCAAAGACAATGGGGGTGGAGAGAGGGTAGAGGATGGAACGGGGGGGGGGAGGGAAGGGTTAAATGGGGGAAGAATTTTGAATTTTGGTCATTTGATGATTATCTACATTATGATGATAAGTACATATTATACATTAGCAGAATGCTTTGATATTTTGGAAAAGTTGACGTTACAGACCAACCAATGAATTTTGACCTTTAAATTGATTAAAATTGAATAAATTTTGATAATTTAAAAAATAGTTTTTGTCCATTAAGTGTTATCATGTTTATGTGACACATGAGGCTATCCTATTTCGAAAATTTGGTGATTGAGAGTTCAAATTGGCTTGTAACTATTCTAATTGAAGAACAATGCTAACTAGACCTATAATTTTAGATCAAAATTACCAAAAATTATCAATTTAATCACAAATTTTATAAACTAATGACTAATCTATGCACAATCATTAAAAATTCAAAAATATTCATAAAGTATATATAATATGAGGTTCTTCACAGCACAGAAACCTTTTATATTTATAGCATAAAAGAACACAAAGACGATCTAAACACCCGTAACTAATTATCATAATGTAAACTCACAATACTGATTCTAAATTACTAATTTACATACAATCAGCGATTATTTCCCCAAGAATTACCCTACTACATCAACCTAAACCCTGGCCTACTAAAACCCACTAACAAAGCGCCGGCGAAGAACATGAGCATAAATAACAAAACACGTTTCAACACTCGAAACCCCCCTTAAATAAAATCCTTCCACTTCTTGCTTCCTTGCCCCTTCGACTGGTCTTTAACGCGCGGACCGTTGGGACCAGTATGAAGAATGGCCATTCGCAGGTTGACAGCAAAAGGCGGGGACGACACTCATTATACACTTCTCCCATGAGGTTGTCGCGCGTTCGCGACCTAGGTCAGCCGGAGGTCGACAGAGGTCGCATTCTGACGCCAAATGAAGAGTAGGATTAGAGGGTTTCTTTGAAGGCTGTAAAGGGGCTGAACTGTGGTGGGTTTGGGGGTAGACCATGATATGTTGTGTTTGGTTGAACGGTATATACTTATTTATGTTTGGATAAAAAGTGATGTTTTATGAAAACACAGCTGTACACGATGACGGTGTGAGTGTAGGAGTTGCGGGGGACACCTACGCTGTTAGAAGGATTATGTAAGCAAGGGTTTGGTAAGTAGAATAACACGTTTAGTACGGTAGGTTAAGAAGAGAAAATACTACAATATGCGTTACCAAGCTCAGACTTCCATTACTGTATATATGAGAATAAGAGTATATAATGTTATTATCTTTACTACCGAACTAACTTAAGAAGCCCCAACTCCAAACACAGAAACACAAGTCCAAAAACACAAAAGCAACAAATCTTTATAAAATTGCCAAAGTCAATGCAAACAGAGCGATAAAACTCTTTCCGAATATAACCACTTTGATCCGAGAAGCACATGTCTCATATTAATCTATGACGCCGCAACTTTTCGGCACGCGACATAACCTTGACCCATTAATGGCCAAGTCTTGCCATCTGCCCTCAAAGTCATTAAGATGGGGGGGGGGGGGATTTGCGCCCAGTTATAGTCATTCAGATTAACATGTTGAAGTAACCGGCATTGAAACACAACTTGTTTACAGAAACTTTATTTAAAAAAAAATTATTTACAAAAACAGAAAAAACGTTTAAAAATGTTATACTTGTCAAAGGTATTTATTTTGCTACATAAAAGCCTAAAAACTAATTGTTAACAATATAAAGTCTGATCGGTTTTGCAAGGATAGCATCACAATATCAATAATCGTACCGCGATTGCGTCCAGCGATTGGTAAGCGATCGTTTTTGATTGAATTTTATGTTTCTTAAGAGTTCAATAATTGATCTCTCAAATGACGTGAACATACGATCGGTTTCACACCTTAATGGCTACAGAAGAGCCCTAGAGATGAAAAACTACAATGGGTTGCTTTGAAAGCCTTTATTTTTTGATTACAGTATTTATTGTAATTAACTTTTTACAAAACGGCAGCAGTTTTCATTAAAGTTTTCTTGTTATTTTAGTATATTTTTACTCCTTATTAACTTTGGGACAGTCTTTAGGCAGTAGACACTTTTCACCGTTCCAAACGTAGCCAAAAAAACATTGACACTTTGGTTCTCCGCAACGTGGTGCACAGCTGTTCTATAAAGAAATTGACATTATACAACACAGCAGTACTGTAAATATTTTGAAAATTTTTATAATTATTTTTCAAAAAATTTAAATTTGTAGTAAGAGTATTATGCAAATTTAAACATGTATAATCTTTTTTAATTTTTATTTGGTTGTAAGATTGAACACCTTGTCTTGTGCTATAAAAGGCAGTATAACACCAAGTGGTCCATAATCTTTTTAAAACCCAAAAACAATACAGGTCGATAGATGACCCTCTTGTACTTGACCTACGTTTGTATCAGGGTCAAAGCAAACGCAGGTCATGCACAAAGCGGGTCACAAAATTGCTGGGTCATATTTGCGAGAAATTGCTTTTAAGTTTCCTTCCTCAACAATTACCCTATCTCTCCTCACTCTCTTCTCAACTCCTTTCTCTTATACAAGAGCATTATACTCCGGTCTATGATCCTCTACAGTACTATAAATTTTATACAGTAACAAAAAGAAAGTAAAATATGATATGTAACACTTTCTATTCTTTCTTTTTTCTCCACGCTCTTCTTAAGTTATTCCTCTTCATTCAGAGCCTAACACTACAGTATTATACAGTACTATCAGTTTTACACAGTAACAAAAAATATTACAGTAAGACATAGTAAGTAAGTTCAATCAAATATACATGTAGTTGCAGCCGATATAAAATAACAAAAGATAATTAATTTAAAATTACAGTATGCTTACCTTTCTGTCTTTTGCTTGAATACTAGCACAAGTTGGTGGGCACAGGCTACTACACCTTTTGTAATCAGCGTGCTGTGGACACTTTGACTTTTTATCTTTTTTATCGTCTTTCTTTGATTCTTTCTTTGATGACTTTGAAGATTTATGAGGTTTGTAGCTTTCTGAATGTTAAAATATGACATTATTTGGAAGTTTAAACATATTAGCAATAAAATTAAAAAAAAAATTTTTTTTAATTTTTTTTTGAGTTTCTAATGTCACTTAAGTAAAACATTAAGTTGTTCAAGTAATAACGTGCTCTCTAATCTTAAAGATTTGCTTTGAGAGAGAGAGCAAAGAATTATTTAAACAACATACATGTTATAAATAATAAGAACTAACAACAAGTTTTTTCTAAAAATTACCTTTGCACTCCTTCTCCTTAATACAGTAGCCTCTAGAGGTAGCATAGCCTTTTTTACAAACACAGTCTGGTTTACACTTTTCTGTACATGATGGTGTGGTCTTTTCGAGCACATCAAGACAAGTCAAGGGACACGGCGAAGCACATTTGACAAACTCAGCGTTCTTATGACACTTCACTGTACTATTCTTGGCGTAGGTCAAGTAGGAAGCCAAGATAACACTAGCTAACTAAAAGTTTTTTTGGTTTTACTATGATATATATATGGGACAAATAAGAAATATTATTTTCCTAAAAGCCTACGTGATTCGATAAAACATTTAAAAGTTATACTACTATAACATAGGTTACTGTTAAAACACTTTTTTTTACTTTCTACAGTACCTCAGCAAACTTACAGTAACAAAAAACACAAATTTGTCCGCCATTTCAACAGCTTTTTGCCCAAAAGTATTGTATGTATAGTAACAAAGCTCTTTTTAAACCACGTGCAATAATGTATGATTATTATGCGTAGAGATCGATTACTGTGATAAATTCAAAGAAATGCAAATTTACTCGTAAAACACAATCGTAAAGCAATTTTTTACAAACCATGCTGGTTATGAAGGCCTATCAAATAAATAATACTGTCTGACGATGCGAAGACATATAGTTTAAAAATTTAAAAATTCTCAGGTTTCGTACTATATGTTCTTGCGTTAAATTTTAAACCGCAAAACTACAATACTAACAAATACAAAGAAAGTTTAATTTGGCAAGAAAATATGCACAAGTCAACATAAGAATTTAAGGCTTTGGTGTAGTAGTTGTGTTTGGACATTGATTAACATGAACACAATCTTTGAATTGTGGTCCTCCAAGATAGTGGTTGTCTTTGCACTGACACTTTGGTGGACCACAACGAAGTGAGAAGCACAGTGGCTGGAATACATTACAATTATTTTAACTTTTTTTTATTAATCGCGACTGTTTTTTAAAATAAAAATTTAAATTTTGACAAAAATATTGACATTAGTACTATAGTCAAAACAACCCTACTACAGCAATAGCAATAAAAATGTAAGTTGATTTTACTATAGAGTTTAACAAAAACCTACAGTTTTGTAGTTACTACAAGTCAGAGTGCAGATATTACTACAGCTGGCCATATAAGCATTCTTGGGACATTTTGGATCTTGTGGACCATTCTCTTTCCTGTACTCGTCTTCTTTGTTTTCCGCTTTGGTATCTCGTTTCTTACGGTCTTCGCTCACTAAAAAATTTGAATTTTGTAAAATACGAAGAAAATTAAATAAATGATATTCAATTTCAAAATATTTTAAATTTTAAAAAACTTTTGCTTTTTAAGATGATGTTTACCATACATTGTTTGAAGACATCATCCAGTGGGTTTGAGGGACATTGATTGACATTGATACAGCCAGCGTTAAAATCACTGTTTTTTCTGACATAGCCGTTTTTACATCGACATGATGGCGGTCCACAGCGGTTTGAGAAGCATAAGTTGTGCTGAAAGCGTTTTTAAAGTTTTTTATTTTTAAATATATTTTAAGTCTATATACTGTGATTGAGATGAAATAAATCTATTGTTGTTGTTGTTAACAGTGCTATAGACAAAATGTAAACCAAAACTGTTTGTAATTGTTACCTTATACGATTTGCAGTCTGGATCAGGACAGATACTGCCACATTGCGAGTACTCCATGTTCTTTGGACAGTCTGGTGTTGCTGGTGCGTTCTTTTCCTTATCCCAGTCTACAGAGCCAACTACAAATTTTTAAAATTCACGGTAAAAGATATAGTAATAAGTTTAAAAAATAAAAATATAATATTTTAAATTTAAAACTAAATTTTTTTAATTTGAAAATAAAAATTTGCATTTAAAATCACTTTTAAAGGTAAAATACGCCGTCAAATTAGAGGCGAGCATTATACAAGGGACGAGCTAAATAAATCGGATGGAAAGTATCAGACAAAAAATGCAATTCCTTGTCTGATATTTTTTTCAACGATCTTTTTTTTCTCTAACTGCCATCGGCAACGAGAGGAAAAAAAAGATAGCGGGAAAATGAGAGACGAAAATATCAGACAAGAAATCGCATTTTTTGTCTGATACTTTCCATCCGATGTATTTAGCTCGTCCCTTGTATCGCAAATGACTTACTTCTGCACTGTTCCTCAGGAATGCATCGTCCTCGGTGCAAAGCATGATCCTTTTTGCATACACACCCTTCTTTGCATCGTTGAACACACAACTTTGGAGCTGATCCTTCAATGACGTCAGCACACGTGTGAGGACAGTCTTTACTACAGGTTGTATATACTTCACCTGGCTTACATTTTAAAGTTGCGGCTGTGAGCACTATCTATAATCTTTGGTTTAGAGATTAAAGTGCACTCTAATAAAAAATCTATAAAAGTTTTAAAATATCATACTGAACTTTACTATGAGAGTAGGAGTTAAATATTAAAATACAATACTTTTAAAAAAAGTTATAAAAGCAAACCAAAGACTTACCATACAACATAATGTTGATAATACAGCAAAATGAGCTATCATTCTGAAAAAAATGGTATTTTAAATTTTTTTGTTTATCGAAATATATATCTTTTTGCCTAACATTCGGTGGTCATATTAAAAGGTTTCACTGTATGCAAATTTGTGGCAAAACAAAAAGTTTGCGCCAACCGGGATTCGAACTCGGGCCTCTGCCTTGGGAGGGCAGCGTCCTAACCACTGGACTACTGGCACGTTGAAACAAATAAAACCTGACAAAAATAAATGCCGGAGGGTACCCGGATTCCCATGGATATGGGAACGGCATAAAGAGTGAAAAAAACAGCAAAATTTAACAAAAAAACACAAAAATGCCGGTCAAAAAAGATGCCATTACAAAGAGGCTGTTATACTATTGAGGGTCATACTAAAAAGATTTCACTGTATGTTTTCTAATCGATAATTAAATTGAAGATAGGCATAAATCGTATTTTACAAATCTTCAAAGTTCAAAAATCAAAACTTTTGGTCTAACCCTTAGCTAATTTAATGATTAGTAGATTGGCTAAATAGTATTTGTCATCGCTTTATGTTCAGAGGATATAAACAAATCCAATTAACAAAATAAACATTTATTTATTGACAATGAGGTGAAAGAATAACAATATAATTTTAAGTTTTTTTTGATATTAGTCATTATTGCCGTGTGACGAGTGTAACAGTGACGTAAAATACGAATTAAAATATTTTACATATGATAACATATTTTTAATTATATCTATTAGTAAGTTATTCATCGTATCTGATGAGACCCAGTAGTACCATACAAACAGCTATACAGTACTATTTAAAAAATATTTGTAGGTGTTGAAATACAAATTGTCATAACTTAATAAACCTGTCTTTAAACTTTGAATTCAAGTTACAAAATGTAATAACAAGGTAGTAACATAATAATCATTACCAATTTAGACATATACACGTAAAAGTCAACATATAAACCATAATTACCAGTGGAAGTTGGTCGTATATTATCATAATTTCTTGTAACAACCAAGGAAGTTCTTACAACTCGGACAGAAGTGTAATTTGTCCTAAAACTTGTCATTACTTTCATCATCTAAACGTGTAGTTACAGGTTAGACAGCTTATATTACCGTTTCTTCATTATAATTTTAAAAATTATTTATTTTCATTTCTACAGCTTACAGTAATGTAAAGTAAAGAAATATATTTTACAAAACTGTAGAGTTACAGATGTGAAATTTGAGAGTTGCCGAGCGTGGCCTAGAATGTTTTTGATCGGGCCGGCTTGAGAGAAAATTAAAACGGGTCAGGCCTAAACTTCATGACCCGAGCCTGGGCCGGACCGCAAAAGTGGTTCCAGCCCGGACCGTTTCTCACGCCTAACTTTTATATTATAAAACAAAAAAAAATTTAAATTAAATTACCTGGCAATTTGTCATGCATAATGGTAGGCAACAGCATGGCCAACATCTGAAAAAGCAAACTTTTTATAGCACGCCTCTGTTCATCGTATTTTAGCAAACAATACAACGATATAGTTGTAGTAAGATAGCAAAGCAAATTTTAGAATTTAAAAAATTTTTTAAAATTTAAATTTAAGGTTTTTTGAACCTCCAACTCAAATTCATTACGTTTTGTCATTTTCCTACAGTAATGTATAATATGCTCCAAGTTTTTAGTCACAAACCACCTGACTATTTGGTGTTTTGCAGTTAACTTGCGTTACTTTACTTATTATAATAAAAGTAAAGTAAAGCAAAACTTTTTTCTCACATGTCTTATAGATAAATAAGGATAACATATGTATGTGAAAACCGTGTTTTTCGTGCTTACGTATGTCACAAAACCTACAAACTTTAGTTTTACGTGGAAAATCTTGAAACATACGTCAATATAAGTGTATATTACAATTATATTAGATTGTTCAAATAATCATGTGCCCACTCTCAAAGCAAATTTTAGAGGATAGGGACACAGAATTACGTGAACAACCATATCTTACAAAATAGAATCGTTTTAACGTTAATTGCCATACATACAATAACAATTGTAAAATCAACTAGAACAATGTGAATATCTTACCCAACCAAAGCCAAAGCACCACAAATCAACCATGCAAAGACTCCACTCTTGTTCTGCACATCAGTGACAATGTTATGACGACAGAATGGGCATGGCATACTCATTGGGTATGGCCCATAAGCTGTTGCCATAATCACTCGCATATCTCGTAGTTCACCGACTGATAAGCTTTGTGTCTCAATACTGTGATATGGAGGTGGAGGGGTATTTGAAGATTCCAGATAACCTGGCGGGGGTATTTGAATTGTTTGAAGGGGTTCAAGTCGGGTGGGATTCAGGTATTGAGGTTGATATGATGCTGGTGGGGCAGATGGTTGAGTGGCTTGGGATAGGACTGAAAATGGTTTTAGTTTTATTAAATATTTAACAATAAGTTTATAAAAGTCGTATTTACAAATTCAAAAAAAATTATTAGCCATTTTTTAAATAAAAAGTTTTGTCGTCAAATTGTATTGTTTTGCACGTTAAGAATCGACAAGAGTTTTTCGACACAATAAAGTATATAATTTTTAAAGCTCTTACCCTGAGGTGATATGAACACATGAGTATCTTCGAATTTACTGGCATCTTCAGCTGAAAAATATAAATTTATAACTAAATGTTCTATTTTTAAGCTATAAGTCAATGATAAATTCAATTTCAAAATTTTTTTTTATTTTTAGATACCTTTTTCAATGACGCACACATCAACAAATCTAGAAATATATGTCAACAAACCCTAACATCATGAAAGACAACTTACAGTTATAAGAAGGCGGTGGTTTCATCCTCAAAACCCTCCAGAACCTACTACAATATAACCCAGCCCTGACTGGGCTATATGAAACTGAACAATGAAATTAGGATGTAACAAAAAATAGTTTATTCGCCCATTCTATGACCAACGTTGTCCTAATCTGAGGACTCGGCGGGTTTCTTTCTTTCGTGTGTGCATATAGGTAGTGGTTTCCCGGCCGTGGGAATTCAGAAGGACGTGCCCAGTTCTGAAGAAACCCCCCTAATTCAGGTGTTATAACATAAAAAACAAAAAGTAAAGGAACAGATGTTTTACCGGGTTGGAAAGGGGTTTAAATACAACGTATTTTAGGTAACAAGAACTGAAAGTTGGTTATGAATGTTGATTGTCACAAAAGTTACATTTTTAATTGAATCAAATGTTCAGAAAAGTCTCAGAAATAGCGAAAATATTATAAATCAATTTGTAAGTTAGACTAATTAAATTAACAGTAAAAATAATGTAATAAAACGCAGTAAAGTTAATCGGAATATTCGTAAAAATGAAAATTTCAAAATTCTATTTCGAACTAATATCAAAACATTCAGAATTTAATATTTTAACTTAATTTTTAATAAAAGTTTTTTTTTATTGCTAACTTTTTACAACAAAAAAAATTTTAAATACAAACGCAGTCCCAGTTTAGGCTACAATAGAATATATGAAATAAACAATAAACATAGAGAGAGCTTGCGCAGAAAGAGAGCGAAACAAAGGAACAAGCGAGGCAGTGCGCATACACTTCAAGAAGCAAAGAGACTGGCAGAGTGCGAAAAACCCTCCAAAAAGCGGGGTTTCTTATGCGTAAAACAAGTGGCAAAGTAAAGGCAAGAAAGAGACGGAACGCATTCTTCGGTTTATTAACCCAAGTTTGAGGTTAGCTCATGTTCGGCTCGGTTAATTCTGTGGCTGGTAAGAGAAATTTTGGAAAGCTTTGCGGTTATCGTGGAGCATATAAACCTATATTGTAAACATTGTTCATTTATCATTGTTGCTTTACACAACTCGTTATACAAACTGTAAAAAAGCTGCTGTAAACTCTATGTATTACATTGAACTAATTAAAAAAAAAATTTAGTTATAAAGGACTTTTGATTATAGTTTGTTAGCCCGGCAATTATGATGTTCGTTACACAGGATTCCTGTTATAATGGAGCTATGCATGAGTTTAATTGTATATGTTATGATAAATTTACAACTAGAAATAAGCTGTGTTTTTTTTATAAAAGTAGTAACCTAGCGTCGTCGTAGAAAATGCAGATTTCAATTTTTTCAAATTCGTAAACGATTCCAGGTATAAAATGTTAAAATGATCAAAAATGCGTACGCCACTTGAGATTCCAAGGACGTCTCCGATCCAAGTACTAATCAAGCGCACCGTTGCTTAACTTGCCAGATCGGACGGGATGGCGTGCGTTCAACGGGCTATGGGCGTACACGTTGAGTTAACATTCTACAAGGAACAGGATTCAGTAGACAACTCCTCTACACGTGAAGTATGCACACACAAAAAAATAGTATTACTTTATCTGTCAGAGAATGAGAGACATATATTAGCGCGCTGCAAAGTAAAGTCTTTACGAGAGAGTGGCAGGGTGAGAAAACGCCTCCAAAAATCGGGGGTTTCTTATCCGAAAAGCAAGTGGCAGCGCAAAGACAAGGGAGAAACGGGACGTATTCTTCGGTTTATTAACCCAAGTTTGAGGTTAGCTCATGTTTCGGCTCGGTTAATTCTGTGGCTGATACGAGAAATTTTGGAAAGCTTCGCGATTGTCGTGGAGCATATATACAGGGTGTGCCAAAAGTCCGTTGACTCATTATTTTAGTCATATATTTATTAAAACAATCAATATACTTAAAACAACAACTAACAATAGTAACATATAGCACTAGTTATAACATAGTCAAGCGGTTTCGAAGTGGCCCTTCTTTGCCGCCATGCAGAGGCGTAAACGCTTCACAAGGTTTTAGGCGATGGGCCGCAGGTCCTGAGGCGTAAGTTTGTCCCATTCGGATGAGAAGATATTCACGTTGGAACAGGCCCATAACCCATCAAAATGACAGACATTACTCTACAGAGCCTCCTAGAGACTTGGCCAGCGTCGAACACCGTCAACACCCTCGGGGCATTACGGTTTGGGCAGGAGTATGCGCCTCGGGCAAAAATCCTTTCATTTTGTTGATAAAGGAGTAAAAATCAATAAAGAAGTGTACCAAAAAGACATTCTGGAAGTCGTAGTACTGCCTTGGTTCCTAAAAAACACTTCAGGAACACCAAATGGACGTTTCAACAGGACTCTGCGCCAGCCCATAAAGCCAAAACAACACAGGAGTGGTGTCGGACCCATTTTCCGGACTATCACCTCAGCTGAAAGGCCTCCGTACTCCCCCGATCTCAACTTGATGGATTAAAGTATTTGGTCGATATTGTAGGCAAGGGTGCGTTGTAGAAGACACCAAACTTTGGAGTCTTTGAAACAAGCATTGATCGAAGAGTGGGACAAACTTACGCCTCAAGAACTGCGGCCCATCGCCTAAAACTTTGTGAAGCGTTTACGCCTCTGCATGGCGGCAAAGAGGGGCCACTTCGAAACCGCTTGACGATGTTATAACTAGTGCTATATGTTACTATTGTTAGTTGTTGTTTTAAGTATATTGATTGTTTTAATATATATATGACTAAAATAATGAGTCAACGGACTTTTGGCACACCCTGTAACAAATATTAAAATAAGTTTTAGAGGACGAAAAGTATTTATTTTTAAAGCGTTAATACACTGTACACCTACTATTACAGACATTTAAAAACCCTATATCAAATGTTCCAGGTGAGAGCAATTTCATTTATTAGCATTTTAAGACAAATGGTGTTTTGTTTAATAGCCTGGAGGAGTTCGTGGGGGTGGGCAGTGTTGACAGTCTCCGCTAAGACCTCGTGAGCCAGGTAGACCTGGTTCTCCTGGCGATCCTCTTCTTCCGTCTCTTCCTGGGCGGCCGGGCTAAAAGTTATAATTGATTTTTTATATTTTATACTCTTGCTTATCTACCTTGATATTTTTGTTGGGATTACTAATTATGATTATAAAACTAATACTCCTAGTCTTTTAAGGTTTGATAATACCTATTATCATATAAAAAGCTTACCTGTCCAGATTTTCCTTTAGGTCCAACCTTAGTACCGCCAATTTCTCCTTGACATCCAGGCAATCCACGTACTCCCTTAGGTCCTTGAGCTCCAGGTGGTCCGCGTGGTCCTTCAACTCTCAGCACTCTTCCTGGAATACCTGGAGCTCCGGCAGCACCAGTTGGACCAGTAGGGCCTGGAGGACCGGGTGGGCCAACCATGCCTGGCTCTCCTCTCTTTCCGTCGATTCCATTGTTTCCGTGAGATCCACGTGGTCCCGATGGTCCCTTTGGTCCTTGTACTCCAGGTGGTCCTGGTGGTCCTACTGGGCAGATGACACATGGCTCGTTAAGTGGTTGGTCAGCAGCGAGTACGATACCATCACGGCCAGTGTTTCCAGAACGTCCTGGTGCACCATCAATACCATCTTTACCTTCGTCTCCAGGTGGTCCTGGTGGGCCAGGTGGTCCGTGTTTGCGACAAGCACATTGGGCGTTGGATAGAGCACCTGGTGGTCCTGTAGCGTAGGATTCGGATTCTTCTTCCTTCTCTGACTCTTCTGTGGATTCTTCTGGCTGCTTCTCGTCTTCTGAGTCATCGTTGTCTTCTGATTCTGTAGTCTCTGGCTTCTCTTCGAAAGTGGCAGTGCTTTCTTCTTCATCCTTTTGGTCTTTTGGATCTGTGCTTTCTTCAATGTCCTGAAATAAGTAAAGTCAGTAATTTAGGTTTCTACTTTACTGTGATGTTGTTGTAGTTCTGAATAAAACATGACCAATTTTAAATATATTATCCACAATTTCTTCACTGTTCATTCAAAAAATGTTCTTCTTACCTCTTTGCTGACCTGAACGCCCATCGTCTCGGTGTCAGGTACAAAGTTGCCAAACAACCATCCTCTCTTTTGTCTCTGTAGTCTTGCCTTAGGCAATTGTCCGTTTTTGCCCATCTGATACAACTCTCTCCACATGTCGCGGACTCTGATTTTGCAAACTTCTGATTCTAACGTCACCTCATTGCCCAATGTGTACATCCAGTTGAAAGTGGCTGGCAAAGCAATCATACATACGACAACAGCAACAGTGGAAATGGCAATGGCCCAGAAGGCTACTAGCTTTGCTTCTCTGAACAGGTCATGGTTAATTTAATGGTTTTATATTGTTTTAGACGTTAAAACAGTAGTGGCTCAAAATTTTAGGTATAAAAACAATCGTAACTCTAAGAAACTTCGTAAGTATCTTAAAACAAGTACAAAATAAAATATAAATAGCATTATACCATCAACATACCAAAATATACCACAATCTCATAAAAACCTACTTGTGAGCATAGCTCTCCTCGTCCTTGTTTAGTAGATTCTCCATGATGAGAATAACGCTGATTATCGTCGGCCTTTCACTTTTAAATCACTGAATGGCATCTTACCCCGCCCTCAGGCGACAACCAAGATAATGTAGACGGTTTGCATAAAACCGGCTCAAATGGCCTTCAAATTGGGATGCCGTACGACGACTTTCTCGACGTCGGTTTCAATGAAAAAACATTTAAAACCGTATTTTAATTTTTAAGGTTTCGAGAAAAAATGATTTGACGTTTAGGTATGAAATATTAAAGTAAATCGGTCACCTTCTAAAGCTCAATGCAGCTAAAGTATGGCGCTTTATGTCGTACAACGTCAAAACAATACATTTTAAAAAGCATTTAACTTTAAAATTTATAAAACAAGAATAAATTAACATTATGTCAAAAGCTAAAGCCAAATATGATCAAATACCAACACCCAATAGAAATACAAAACTAAAATGATAAGTTATTGTAAAGACTGCAGCTTTCTCAAGTAATCAGTCTGTTTAGTGTATATCTGCTTCAAGTTTTCCAATTGCCTCTTCGATTGTTCTAGTTCCACTGTTTTTCTTGGACTTTACCCTAAAACAACTATCAGCGTAATTACACAATAAAATTTGTAGAATACGAGACTGCTAGTTTCATGTTTTTGAAATACTAGGCTTTACTAGTGTTTGTAAAATGTAAAACTTTGACCAAAAAATTTGACATTTTTTAAAAGAACTGTTTTTATAGGTATTGTAAGAAAAAATTTGACCAAAATAAACAGCCAAACCGTAAAAAAGTCTTACCTGAACTTTCATGACATCTTTGCTGTTATTCTGATTAGTCTGGACCATCTTCAACTCGTTCTGTGCGTTCATAACCACAATCTTTTCTCTGTCGGCTAATTCTCCTATCTAAAACAAGATAAAATCAGTGTCATGCATACTAAGATCAGTGTTATGCATCAAAAAGTGTTTGAAAAAACTCCATAGAAAAATACAACTTTATATATACCAATTGACAACTTACTTGCTTAAAAATCTCTTGAATTGCAGTCAAATGTTCTGAAAGGGTCCCAACGTTCGCCGTGAATTGTTCACAGAGCTCGTTCAATGTCACCGACACTTCTGTTACATCTAAAATTAAACTTCTATAATCATTAGATTTTCCAAAACCTCTCTTCCAAACCTCAAAACCACCAATTTATATTACACTTGCCCACCTGGATCTCCGATCCTCAGCATGTTCATGTCGTCCACGGTAAACCCGTTCATTTTTGTAGAAATTAGCGAATTATTGTTCAGATTCATCTCTTCCTCAATATTCGGTCCGATTTAATTTGTCTGTTTTAGTTCTCAAGACGAAGGAACTTTATTGCCATGGCAACCCGATGTTATGACCACTTGATAGTGGTCAACAACAAGTCAAACCTTTAAAAATACAGTCGGTCTACAACAATACAGTTTACAATACAGGAAAAGAACTGTTGTAGATTAAAAAATTGTTTACAGTTTAACAATGTTGTTGTTGATAACGAAATATGTTTCATCATTAATATTGTTTACACTGGCAGCTGTAAAATGGCAAAGTATACTACTATTGCCAAACTAAAAATATGTTCAATTTGTAAGATATACAATAAAATATTCATTTATTACTTTACTTTCATTTTATCTTCACTTACCTACTAAAACTGCCAATTAATATGCTTTTCCGATAATTTTTGTGGCACTTCGTCAGAAACGGAAATAAAAACGGATTTTTATGAAAACATTTTCTACAAGATTTTGTTTTTGGGTTCTTTTGACTAATCACTTCATTTGCTATCAATAACATAGCTAGTATTCTGGTTTTTGTTATTTTTGCGAGTTTAAAATGACTTACAATGTTATCTGTCTGAAATTTTAACGTTAAAATTGTTTTATTTCTCCTAATCTACACCTTTTAGATAGTTTAGGTCCTAAAGCTCATGGTACTGATTGTGAACAACATTTCGAGTGTCAAGCAGTTACTCACAGTAAATCCACGGTACGGATTCACAGTTAATGTAAGTTTTTTTAAATATATTGAATTTTAGGTAACAATGGTTAACAAAAGGGTGTGTAACAACATAAAGCACAGTTTATACCGGAAAGATGTTACCGGAAGCTTCAAAGAACTGTTAGATGTTTTATAATGGTGTAAACTGTTAGTTTATTACTGATTTGATTAAGTTTGAACTAAAAGAAGTCTGAATTTAACTGAGAGACGTAAATTGAAGTGTATCGAACCTTTAAAAGAATGTTTTGAGCTTTTAGTGTTTAAAGTAGTGTTTGGGTGCACGTTTCTTACTTTTCCGTTTGAATTTGGGTTGTTTGTGAACAAATTTTAAGGAGGATGGGTTAGGGTTATGTTACTTATAGTTTCTTTTCTAAAACGGAGGCTTCTTGTTACCTAATTTGTAAAATTTTTTATTTTGAAGAGTATTAAATAGTGTTTTATTAGTGAAAATGTATAAAATATGTGTATATAACGTTGTTATTGGTTTTTGTTTTACTGCTGAGTTGAACTATTGCTTTGTTCTGATTTGTAGTTGTTATTGTAGTGAGTAGGTAGCTTTTTTAAAAAGTTTTCAGTTATTTTTATTACGTTTTCTGACAATTTTTATTTTCAGAGATGTTTCAGCGATTGGAGGAATGGTATTTTCCCTAAAGGTAAGTCTGTTTCTTTGTTTTTGTAGAAATAAGGTCTTATAGTTAATACGTTTTGATAACGATCTAACAAAAACAAAATTCACTTTTGTGCCTTTCTTTATCAAAAAGTGTTTTATTTTTAAGCTTTTTCTTGAATATTGAGATATTTTAAAAGAAATCAGCTAATGGCGTTTTTAAAAAATATAAATTTGTCTATTTTAGGCCAACAGCGGGTCTACTAGTAGTTAGGCGGTTTTTCTATACATGGGCATGCTCTCTGCTTTTACTTTTCAGATTACATTTTGATTAAAATGAGATATATTCAGACTAAAATGACATTTTAAAGTTTAATTTTGTCTGCTTTTCTCAAAACATAAAATATTATAGTAGTTGGTAAAAACAAAAGTTCGAAAGACCTATTCTTATGTTATGTGTAATATCTCTGAAGGATTTGTTTGCTTTTACTGTAAAAACTTTTGGAACGCGATAGCTTTGGTCCGACTTTGAGACTGGTTTTAGCCTCAAGCTTTTAGGTCAAAGAGGATTTTGGGTATAATCTTGTATTTGTTGTCTTACATTAAGATCCTTATTGTATTAATATCTGTTTAGTATGATTTTTGATTACAATATGTTTATGTTGTTAGTATAGTATTTTCTTTTAGAGAAGTTCCGTAAAACGCTGATGAGAAGTAGTGGTCCCGGAGGGCAGAATGTTAACAAAGGTAAGAGCTTTCAAGTTTTTTTTTGTTTTTATGGTCAAAAAGTTTGTAGCAAAAGTTTAAATTTTCAGTATCATAATTTAGAGAGTCAGTATTATAATTTATAATAAATATTTTAACCTGCCACTTACAGTAAACACCAAAGTGGAGATCCGTTTCGACCTGAACGAATGCGACTTTCTTCCGAGTTCAATTTGTGAGCGATTAGTAAAAAAATACCCGAATAGGTACAACAAACTAGGCGAGTTTATGATAACATCGGACGAAATGAGGACAGCTGTAGGTTGAACTATATTCGAGGGGCGATCTTTGCATTATTTCCGTTATATTGTTACGCAAAATCTGCATTAAGTCGTTATGGGTCTAAAAGTCAATGGAAAAGGCGTCAATTGGGATAGATTGATTTTTTTGAATTCTTTTAATAGTTGAATTTAAGGTTCTGTTCAAGTGGCAAAGACAATGATTTTGATCGCGATTCTATTGTTTTTTGAAGGGGGTGGGGAATGGTTTTGTAATTTCATTGCATTTAAAGGTCATTTTTACAATTTTACAGTTCAGTCAGTCTATTTTGAATTTCTGGGTTCTTTTTGGATTTAGGGTGATTTTTGGGGTGGATAATGTTTTTGGTGGTTTTTCATTTGTTCCTAGTAAAAAAGTGCATTTTAATCGTTTTTCTGTGTGATGATAAACATCTTTGAAGGAAAACAACCAAGATAAACGTTTTTCAAATACTTAAGCGTATATTTTATTATACTTGAAGTATATAGTAAAATACACGTTTTCTTTGTTTGTACTCGAAGTTTGAGTACTAAAATCGCATTCTTTCGGTAGTAAAGGAACTAATTTTTACTTTTTTTTAGGTTTTGCAGTTTATTTTTTTGAATATTTTTGAACTTCATAACCGTTTATTTTAAAAAAAAAACAAGATTTTCAAACAAAAACTTCAAAAATTAAATAAGGAGTACTAAAAGGTGCCTTTTAACTCAACTTTTCAATAAAACTCAAAGGTTTTAGGAGAAGAACGAGCAGATTTGTTATGAAAAGTTACAAAATATGTTGTTGTTGACGGAGAAAGAGCTGAAATTCGAAAATCGAGTCCCAACCGAGCAGGATAATAAGGTTTTGCAGGAAAAGTAGGTCGAATATGAGCACGATTTATGAGTTTCAGACGGGAAAGGGCGGCCAAGATTAGGCGGACGGCCAAGGAAACCCAGAAAATGAAGAGGAAATGGCGTTCCATGGAGTTTGATTAGCCGGTATTAGTTGTTGTAGAATGTTAAGGTTCAGTATTGTTATCGTTTTTGGTTTCAAAAGTTTGCGGACAGCTGTTACGGTCAATGTTGATCAAGATATTGACCTTAACGAAGTAAGGTTCATATTGTGTACAAGATTCAACTTGGGATAATGGCATCATGCAGGTTGTTCTAAAACTTTTGAAACAATATTGTTAATATTATGTTTTTGTTACCACTTCTTACGGGTATAAATTACTGGTTAGTTTATGAAGGTTCAGTTTTGAAAAAGTGTTGAAATCACTGATTATATTGTTCTTAAGGCTTATGAATCGCTCGTGTTAGATAAATGCTGTTAATTTTTATTTTTGAAGCTGTAAGTCACTCTTCGAAAAACACTTACTTTTTACAATGATGTTGATATTTTTCAAGATTTTTGGTCGTTTTTAGGCTTAAAAACATCATATTTGGTAAAAGTAAAGCATGGTTTTTTTAATATCGACACTTATATCTTAAAGAGCAAGGTGAGGTTATAATGGGTGTAGATTGAGTTAAAAGTATATCTATTTTGACCTAGAGAGGCATTTTTCTTAAAGTTCATAGTAACCTGACTTTGCACTTTTAATTTATGAATGTTAACATGTGAAAGACAGGTGGATTGAATATTAACCATACTAAATTTTACTTTTCTAACTTTTAAAATGGCTGAATTGTAACTTTCTATTTTGTGATTTTTTTAAAAGTAATGTCATTACATTTTTGAAGCTTATTGTTTAATTACTGTTTTACCTTGAAAACGCGTTTGTATATGCTGTACGTGATCATATCTGAATCTTTTAAGCAGATTATTGTATGATTTTACACTCAGCATTTTATGAAATGTTTTTACATTCAGCATGACTTGTGTTATTAAAGTAAACAAAAAATTGTAATAATTTTGGGCTTACTTTTGTAGTGACTTTTTCTATTCGTTATAGTTCACTATAGTAAATTCTACTTTTATGTTACGCTATGATTAGTGTAATAGCTACATTTTCGTCTTGGTTTACTATTTTTGGTTTATATTTTCGCTATGTTTTACCATACTAACATTTTTTTGTATTACAAGCTAGCTAATAAGACGAATGTACTTTTATGATTGATTAGTTTGCAGATTTTGAGTATTTTCCGCGATCTGATAACGATCTTTTAACTTTTTTGTCTTTTGCTTTTGATCGTTTTGACAATATTTGGAACGATAAGGGCTGGCAGTGTTATTTTAATGAGAATTCGTGATGGAATTTTTAAGATGAGAAGCTTGAATTTTGCTTTTTGAGCTTTAAAAGGACTTACTTTTGCAACTAAGACAATCAAAATTTGATAGTTATCATTTACAGACAGTAAATCACGTCGTTTTCATATTGTTTTAGGCCGTTAAATCGTATTGGGTGGTTGTAACGCGCGGAACATTGATAAGAATCGAAAGGCCTGCCTTTTGAGTGCCTTGTTAATATGTTTGGTTTGCTTAGAGGAAGTTACGATTTGCATTTTAATTAATTCTTCCGACCGCTAATTTGGTTAGCAATATATTCCGCTTTATTTGATGGCTATTGCTACGGTTTTTATGCTATATTGTAGTAGTTTTTGTATTATTTGGGCTGGTTTTTCATATTTTTGGGGTATTAATATCTTTATATTATAATTGTAGGACGGGCTTAGTTGTTCGGTATGTACGAGCCGTGTTTTGATTTTTCGTGTACTCGTGCTGATGTTCGCGAAATTTTGATTTGTCATTATGATAATGATAACATAAAACGTCATTTTTAAATAGAAGTAGCCCATTTTACAACTAAAAAATTGATTTCAGGGGTATGAAAACCAAACTGACTGAACCGAATGACGACCAGACCAGCTTGATGAATCGCCAAGACGTGGAGCAGGGCCGGCCTCTGAATCGCGATGATGTGGCGCAAGTGGAGCCACATTCACATCCACATCACAACCATGAGTTGAAGACTCAACGCATCAAGCTTGTTATCATGATCTCAATGACTTTCTTCTTTTTTGTTGTCGAACTAGTGTATGGATACATGTCCAATTCGATGGCACTGATTGCAGACTCTTTCCACATGTTATCCGATGTGCTGGCGTTGATTGTGGCGTTGGCGTGCATAATTGTAAGTTGGTTTTATTTGTTTTTGGTTTTTAGGTAATACTGAACATAAAAACGGTTTTACGTTATACTTTTTAGTTGTTTTTCATGATGAAGTTTTTAAAATTGGATTTTTTGCTACGCTGTGCAGTTTGTTACCTAAATTTTGATTTTTGTGTCATTATGTTTGGTAAAGTACAAACTAGCAACATTGTTGGTTTTTAAACTACGTTTCAAAGAAAACACTTACAGATAGCGAACAAAAAGACCAAGTCCCAGTCGAATACGTTTGGTTGGGTACGAGCTGAGCTCCTGGGAGCACTTGTTAATGGAGTATTTTTATTAGCACTTTGTTTTACAATCTTTTTGGAGTCGATTGAACGATTGGTAGAGCCACATGCTCTTAAAGAACCTATGAATGTTCTTATTGTTGGTATTCTGGGCCTGATTGTTAATATCATTGGCATGTTCTTGTTTCATGGTAAGGTTTCGTGATCGTTTTGATTTTGGGGTTGTGAAAAGATTTTTTTTGGTAGTATTGTGTTGATATTTGGACTAATTTAAAGATTTTAATAGTTAAATTTATAAAATGCTGTTGAGATTATTACTAATATGTATTACAAGGTCTCATATGTTAATATTTAAATGAATTCTTTACTTTAGGCCACTCTCACGGCCACAGTCACGGTGGACAGGTGGAAATGGAAGAGGAGAACATTGCTGGAAGCAGTGTTTATCTTGCCAACTCTCATCAAGATGGAGCTATGGCAATCGCTGATTTAAAGCGATCTGATAGTACACTGAGCAACAAGGCTAATGGCAATGGTAAAGTGGTGGTCAGTAGTCCAACAGTGGATGGTAAAAAGAAAAAGAGCAGTACGCTTTTTTTGTAGAGGTTTTTTTTAGATTTTTTTGAAAATTTTAGTTTTAAAAAGCTTTGCACGGTGCAATGATTTTTTAATGTCTGCACCGTGCAAAATTTTAAAATTTAAATTTTGGATTTAAATAATTTTAAAATTATAACTTTTAATTATAACAAATTATAAGTTGTGGTTTAATTGAAATAATATATTCTTTGTAAAATACGAGAGATATAAAAAGTATTATTTCAGAAGGTTCGGCTCAAATGAACATGAAAGGAGTATATCTTCATATTGTAACAGACTTCATTGGCTCAATTATTGTTATCTTGACAGCTTCTGTATCTTTATGGTTCCCAGATCTTGAATTTTTGAAATATTACATGGATCCAAGTTTGTCCATGATTATGGTAATTTTAATCATGACCTCTACTATCCCATTGGGTAAGATACGATGACATTACTTTGGCTTTTTAAATACATAATATTATATATTTTATGTTTTTCAAATAATAATGTGCTCCTTAGCTTTGAAAATTTGCTTTGTGAGGGGCACATAATTATTAGAACAGTCTGAATCTTGAAGTTTCAAACTTTTGTACTAATGGTACCATTTAGTAAGAGAAACGGCCCTAATTCTCCTCCAAACCACCCCAGACGATGTGGATGTAAAGACGATAGAACAAAAACTAATGGGATTGCCTGGTATCCTGGCAGTTCACGAATTCCATGTTTGGAGGTTGGTGGCAGTTCGTATCATCGCGACAGTTCACATTCATTTCGCGACATTCGAAGATTACTTGAGTAATGCGGAACAGATCAAAGAGATCTTCCACGATCATCAAGTACATTCGGTTACTGTGCAGCCCGAATTTACTGTGGTAAGTAATTTTTATTTTTTTTAGGGGAGAGGAGGGGGGGGGGGGAAAGGGTGGAAAGAAAGTTATTTCTGTTTGTAACAATTAAAAAATTTTGAATATAAAGCTTATATTAGGTGGTTCAAATAATTCTGTGCTTTCTGACTTTGAAAACTTTCTTTGAGAGGGGGCTTAGAATTTATTGAACAAGTAACTAAAAATTTGAAATTAAAAAAAATTTTTATTTTAAAAAAACGAAAAAAAATTCAGATGCGCAAAGAAAACTTTGATTGCGCGTTGAAATGTCAGCCGGAAGACTGTCAACAAGCGACATGTTGTCAAACCGACACATCAAAGTCGCCATCGCCCAAGGAGTCGGCCCGATCCACGGCGCGATAAAACCAACCCTACCGGTTAAACTATATACTGTATGTACGAATGGATCTTAATATTGCAATAATATCTTACTAATAAACAAATATAATATCTAGCTAATAAGATAAAAAATAAACCTAAATATTACTTAATATTTACTTTGTAGATATAGGTTGTAGGAAGGGTGTAGGCGATTTAAAGGGGGTAGAGATGGCTAGTGGGGCTTTGAGGTGAAAGCGTATTTTTTTGAGTTTTAGATTAGGAAAAGTACTGTAATGTAGATTTTTGGATAGTTATTGATCTAGATTTAGAAATGTAGTCATCTAATGTACTATAGTATTTGGCAGGAATTTTAAAATGATTAGTTTAAAGGGTAAATTAACATGTTTTGTTAAGCTAAGCTTAAGTAAATGATGTTTTATGACATTTGGCAACGTTAGAAGAATGGTCTTTGGCCTTTTTCAGTACTGTAATGAGCTTTGTTCCGTTATCAGTAAGTTGATTCAAAATTTTTAGCCAAAATTAAGTTTTTATAAAAGTAACAACTTTGAAGGCTACAACAATACCTTAACAAACACCAGCTCGAAATCTAGCTTTTGATACTATCCTTCGAATATCATCTTCCTCCAGATACTATATCTCTACAAATATGGCGCCCTAACAGTTTTGTTTACTCCGAAAGTAAAAGTGAATTTCCTGAATTCAGAAGGCCCGTGGCGCCGACCAAATATTGGTCACATTAAAGTTCTCATTGTATCTACTCTCTTTTTTCTTCCGCCGTCGTGAAATGCCCATCTTCTTCGACGGCTTCGAAATTTGTTTAAAGCCCTGCGGGGCTTAGGAGTTCCATCGGGAGGAGGAGAATAAATTCAAGTTGAGAGAGCTTGGGGCCGACGCTAAATGACGCGCCATTGTTTCACTTTTAATACATTTTTTACAATTTATTCATGTATTTGGGAGGGGTATTTTGGTCGTATGTTGGGGTGGTTTTGGGGGTTTTTGGGCGGGGTGGGACGGAGATAAGGGGTGTTTTTGTAATAGGATTTGGCTTAAAAAATTTTTTGTAAGAGGGTGTATAGTACATTTAGATGATTTTTTTGGTGCTTTTAGTACTACAAAGTAAAAAATTGATTTAACAGAAGTAATCACAAGGTATTGAAGTTTATGTATGACCACAAAATTGGACTAAATGCATACTGTAACTTTTAAAAATTTGATTTTTTGTAATTTTTTTTCTCGTTTTTACGTCAAATTTTTGCAAACCACGTAGATTTCGTAGCCTCCGACTAGTCCCATAGGATTCTTTTGCATAATCGTCTCTGTTGTTTTATCTTGTCAACGTTACCTTCCGCCTCTTTGTTGTATATCTGCCCGGAGGGGATTTGGGTCTAATTTCGACGGTTTAAGAAGACAAATACAACTTGCGCTCCCATGTCGCAGTAATTCAATTTTCAACTTGAAACGCGACACTTTTCAAAAGGACATGACATAAACGTTGGGTATTGATATTGAGGTACTGAGGACGATATAGGGATGGTATTGGTCTTGAATTGATAATCATGGTATATGATGATTGATGGTGGATTTGAACGACAATGTCTGTGATTAATGGTTACTGAGGTTTTATAAATAGGCTTTACTATGTAAAATACGTCTGCTTAACTGGAGAACGGTAAAGAAGTTATCTAAATCTATAATTAACATAAGTCATCTCTTCTAAAAATGACATTTTTGCCATCATTTTTGTTACCAACATCAACCAACAAGCTATATCAACTACAATGTGTTTCATTGGCTATTTTCATAATATTAACTATGACAGTTGACCAAACTAACGCGGGTATGAGCAGAAGTATGAGTTTGGAGTCTCAACTGTACGAAGATCTTCTCTTTGACTACATTAAAATACCAAGACCGGTCAAAAACTCTAGCGATGTTTTGGTGGTCGATGTTGGGGCTAGCTTGATCAGGATCATTGATGTGGTGGGTTTTGAAGGAAAATGTCTCTTTTTCAGTTGACTTTTTTTGTAAAATACGGCTTTACCAGATTTTGAAATTTAATGTTTAGTTACAATTCAGTATCTATTTCTTTTTTTCCTTTCATATGTTAATTACGACACGTAAAAATGTAAATTTCAGGACGAAAAAAATCAAATTTTGACGACCAATCTCTGGCTGGACATGGTATGTTCTTAGACAATTTTATATCAATAATGTTATTGATAAATAAAAAAGTATATTTCTGACGTTTAGAAATGGGTAGACGCCAAACTAAAATGGGATCCACAAAAGTATGGTGGTATCACTGCGCTACATATACCATCAGACATGATTTGGACTCCTGATCTTGTGTTATACAACAAGTAAGTTCTATTCTTTATTCAGGTGTTCTACTACATTTGGTAGACAGTGGTACTTTTGTATAACAAAAATTCTTTATAACAAACAACTTGTGTTAATCTCCAAGTGATTCGTTATACAGGAGTTCTATTTTTGGTAGACAGTGATAACGAACGTCTTGTATAACAAAAAATCCTGTATAACGAAAAAATTCCTAATATCTAAGGGGTTTGTTATACAGGAGTCTTACTGTATTTTAAACTTGAAAACAAAAGTTTTTACTTTCAAAATTTGTTTTCTAAATTTTCCAGTAATAAGGTCTAGAAAAGTGCAAAAATTAAATAAAAGTGCACATTTTAGTGCCGCCGGAGACCCAGACATAACAATAATAACAGACGCATTGGTATCGTATGATGGCAGGGTATTCTGGCAACCACCAGCTATTTATAAAAGCTTTTGTCCGGTAAGTGTTAGGTTGTTCAGATAATTCTGTGCTTTCTTAATCTGAAAATTTTCGTTGAGAAGAAGCTCAGAGTTATTTGAACAAGTTATTATAAATTTTTTTGGCTCATATTTATTTGGGTCACCTAATGTAATATATAAGACACTGTGAATGTGATTGAAATGACATAAAATTTTTTTTTGTAAAATACGATGCTATTACCGTGTTAATTAGTAGGTAAATCCAAAAATATAACAACTTGTAAATGTACTGTTTAGATTGACGTTACCTGGTTCCCTTATGACTTACAGAACTGTAATATGAAGTTTGGTGCTTGGTCGTATACGGGTTTTTACGTGGATTTGCGACAAGTAAATGACAATGGCAGTGCTGTTGAGATAAAGGAAAATGGCATGGATCTCAGCTTTTTTTACAAGTAAGTTTTCTCAGTTATTGTAGTTTAATGTTATTGATTTTCCTGTTATTGCCAACCTAATAAAAATTACAAAATTTTAAAAGTTAGAAAAAAGGTTAAAAAACGTGATTTAAATTACGGTTTTGTTAGATATGAATTAATATATAAACTTTATTTTTAATGTAAAATACGTGTTGAAATACTTATCTTTTTAAATAAATATTCAATTGAGTCTCACCTTCTAAAACCTGATTTCAGATCAGCAGAATGGGATCTTTTGTCGCTTCGATCCGAGCGACATTCAGTATTATATGCGAGTTGTTGTGGCCCAGAGAAGTACGTTGACATCACGTACTATTTTGTACTACGAAGAAAGACTTTATTCTTTACGTGTAATCTGATCGTGCCGTGCTTTTTGATTTCATTCTTGACAACTTTTGTATTCTTGTTGTCGCATCACAAGATCACATTCTCTATCTCCATACTGGTTACTCTTACTGTGTTCTTCTTGGTAAGTTGGTGAAGAGGGGCATCGTTGAAGAGGGAGGATCGGAAGATCGGAAGACGGTGTGTGCGGGGGGGTGATAAAATACGTCGACATATCTACACAAAATAAATTTTGTTTTAATTAAAAAAATTTGCAAAGAATTTAATAGATGATGTGCACTTACTCAGCCTTTTATATAACTTTACATTATTTTAGGTATTGATTGATATAATGCCGCCGACAAGTTTGGTAATACCAATGTTTGGTCGATATTTGATCACCACTATGATACTGGTCGCTCTATCTACTATTGTATCTGTAGTTACAGTAAACTTCAGGTTCCGAAGTGGAGCTGCTCACATTATGTCGCCATGGACGAAGACAGTGTTTTTGAAGCTTTTACCAAAGTAAATTTTAATATTACACTGTAAATGAAAATATTCAGCCTACTAACAAAAAAAGACGTATTTTACTCCGTAAAAGTAAAAAATTTTAATTTTTTCAAAATTATAAAATTTTAAATTTTAATTTTTCAAAATCTCAATAATAAACCTCCAGGCTCTTATTCATTAAACGACCAGAAAAAGTGGAACGACCAGTTCGTCGTCCGTCTGCCGTTCCTCACGTTGCGACCGAATTATTCGCTGGAGCTGCCAATCTCTTCGGCCCCTCAAGCAGTTTGCCAAAGACAAAGTTAAGTAGTAAAGAGGTACGAGATTACCTCAGTAAACGACCATCAATGGCACCACCCAGCTATCTACATTGTCGTACGCCATCAATCGGGTACTCAGCTGACAGTTTGGAAGCGATAGTACCGCTCAAAATGATGAGTACTTCTTTCAATGGTCCTATTAAGGATCAGAATTGCTTAGTTACGGTAGGTTATGAGTTCAATTTGATTTTGATTTTAAAAAGTATATTTAAAAAGCTTTTATTTAAGGCTTTAAAGTTTAAACTCAAAATTTGAAAAAATTTCGAAATTTTAAAAATTTTAAATTTAAAAAAATGAAGTTATTGCTTCAGGACGCAATGCCGACGATCCCAAAAGTAATGAATGGTACTCATTCCCTACCTCACTCTATAAATAGACATGCCAATCGACAACAAGTACAACAACAGGCAAAAGATGAAGATTATGAAAAGACGAGAAAAAAAGTGAATGACTTGATATTAGCCAAACTTCTACAACAAGTTAAACTGATCGCTGAACATTTTCGACGGAATCAAGAGGAAATGGAGGTAAGGCGGTGGTTTTATAGGGCTGTGAGTGGGGTTAAGCTGGGGAGGGGGTGGAGCCCCAAAATTTTCTGTGAATCGATTTTTCAAAATGTTTTTTACGTACCTACTGGTGCAATTCTTTTTGGATTGGCTCTGGGGAGGGGGTGGAACTAGCTCCTTTAAAAATTTGTTGATTTTTGAGAGGCTTTTTGCTGCAGAACGTCAACTTTTATAATAGATAACAGATTTTACAAATAAAAGCTAAACCATTGTACTTTAGATATCAGATGACTGGGTGTTTGTGGCCACAGTGCTTGATCGTCTATTCTTATGGATCTTCGGGCTGATGAATGTCGCCACATTGTGGATAATCTTAGAATCCCCGTCATTATACGACGACAGAGAGCCTCTGAATATCTCTGTACCTACGAAACCATTAGGACAAGCAGACGTGTACAGTATTCTCAACAACAAATTTCGTTAGTACTAGCGTTTTTAGCACTATTTATGTATCTATAGTACAATATAGTGTTGAAAACGTACTATTTGATGCTAATTTTTCAATTTGTTTAAAAATATAGTGCCATTTTCGATACATTTCTATAATGTAAAACAGAAAATACGATGTAAATAAACCAAGCCTACAATAAAAGTGCAAATCTATTGTTGTTATCACGCAAATGACCTTTTTTACACTGACAACGAACCGTTACACAAATCAGCAACAGATGACTGCCTAAGGTCAATTGGAGATGGCACTACCATCTGATGAAATGTTACAATCACTCCCATCATGATCAGCTGATAAGGTCACTTAATAATCTCACGATGGTCTTCTAATGTGATCGCTGTAAACAAAGCAATCGCTCATGTAGTGGTCTGTCAAAACAATACAACACTGCTTAAGATCCGTTGTAAACCTTTTTGATTTGCTGCAGTTTTAGCGTCATTTTTAGCTTGCTGATAGGGTAAATAAGGGTTTGGCAGTAAATCACCGTATTATTTATAGGGCTAGAATATATTTTTTATTGGTATAGGGGTTTTCATTTACAGTATTATTATAGTACTAGGACAAAACGATTAAAAGTAAGAAGGGGTCCAGAGTAAGACAAGGCAGAACAGAGTAGGGTAGTGTATGATAGGGCAAGGCCAAGTAAGGCAATGTAGAGTAGGTATGGTAAGCTAACTCCAAAATGTTTACAATACTTTGCGAATTACCGACAAACGCAGACAGTAAACAAAAGTAATCACAACTTGAATGAATCGAACAGTAACGCAAGTATAATACCATCTGTTGACCTTGAATCGTTCGTCGCTGTCCAAAAATATTGCAAAAAACAACTGTACAGTGATTCTTCTATCACAGTCAATCGTCTTTTTAAGTTTTTTAATTTTAATGCGTTGACTTATCGTTTCATTACTACGTGACTTACATTACTTTGTATTATTGAGGTTCGTCGTTTGTTATATGATGTTATTACTTACAGAGTTTACTTTGGCTTGTGTAATTAATTTCCTTGTCCTGGAAAGTCACTTCCGTATGAAAAAAGTGTGGGTAAACAAACTTGCAGTACCGTAATCATTAGTATTTTACCTTTTTTTGAAAGCTTTGTTTTTTTACAGTAAAACCTTTTTCGAATGACCCTCAATAGTGACATCATAATTTTCATCTTACCCTTGCCCGTCTTTAAACGTACTTCAACGTTGTTGCAGAAGCCTCCCCCTTTCCTTATTTAGACTTTAAAAACTAAATGCAACATTGGAAACGTTGTAAAAAGGTCTTAGTTAAAGGTCTGGACGCTCCTTAATGACAAAAGTTTTAAAGGTCGTCTGCAAAAAGTAAAATTTCGAAATTTTACCAAATTTTTTCGCAGTAAAAGGGCGACTGATTTTATACAAAAAGGACAACCGGGGTTAGGCTTCTATGCTTTGGAATATTGCTAAAGTTTTTTTGTTGTAAGATAAGAATAGTGGTTTAGGTTGGTAAAGGTTAGTGAGTTGGGTAGCATTTCAAACATTATTTTTTTTGTAGTGAAACAGGGGGGGGAGAAAAAGAAGTTTAGACGTGCTATTTTAGTTTGGCTACATTTTACGTTAGCAAAGATATTTTTGGCTTTTCTATTATATTTTTTTCGTTATATGATCAGTTACGCTTGGCTTTATGTACTATATCATTGCCTGTTTTCTAAAACTCTATAAGACTTTTTACTTTTTTACATTATATGTTATATTGTACTGCCAATATTCACCTAAAACTCAATATCCAGTAATCACTGACATCTTCATGTTTCTTTAACAGGATAAGCGGCCTTGACCCGCATTCTACCGCTATATAAAACAGTTTGCAATCGTATTAGCAAGTGACATTGACCTTGTTTCCTGGGGTTTCTTCCATTCTTCGGCTGTTTATAAACAGTAATGTAACGTCTACAGGTGACAAACCAAGTTATAATCATTTTGTTGTCTGTTCTTGACAGTTGCGGTTTGCTATGAAGAGCTGCAGCGGTAAGGTGCTGAAAGACTACTGTATTTAATGTCTTAAAGTTAGGGTTCTAAACTCTGTATATCTTATGATATTTTAGAATTTTAAATTGTCTAGTTATATACGTTTGTATACAGTCAGCCTCTTTAGTGTGACACGAAAAGAACTGCTCAAAACGTGTTCTTACAACCGTGTCATCCAAGTATATTTTTTGATAAGAGCTCTATTTCAAAGAGCTGTCACAAATCTGTCATTGTAAAGAGAGTGTCATACTGTTTAGGGTCATACTATTATGAAAGCGTTTACTGTATATATATTTTAATTACACCGTGCTTGACATTATTGTCTAAACTTTTTGCTTTAAGTTTACTATTACAGTTTATATATAATAGTATAAATGTACGGTTTTATAAAACGAAGAGCCAAGGTCACCGGCCATTACTTACCGTGAAGATCTTTTTAAGGGTAATAAGAATTCAAAAGTGTTTGTGGCTAATTTAAAAAAATTAAAAGAAACTTTACGTAAAGCTAATTTTTTTAGTTTGTTTTTATTTGAACTTACTTTATGATAACATATACAAAAGTTTTCATCAATTTATGAAGCCACGATTTTATTATGTGAAGTATGATAGTAGAAACAAATTATAACTATATTTTGCTAAGTTACCTATTTCTTTCTATATCTTATCATTTATGTACCTATCTTCTTTTACTTTCTTTGTAAGACCTCATTTGGTCTTCTTTCATCTACTGTTTTGGCCTGTATTTACAGTGCTGTACCCAAAAATCCTTTTAAGAAAACCAGGCCTTGCCAGTGAAGAACTTGCAACTTATACCTGTTTCTTTGCCCAACTGCTCTAGAATGAACAAGAAAGGTAAAAATCTTATTTTTATCACTATGTTTTGGCCATATCACTATCTTTCTGTCTTTTTCTATTTCTATGCTTTTCAAAATGTTTTTTTTCGATATATAGGTTTTTATATTACAACTTTAAATCAAATTTATAACTAAAACAAAACAATTTTGTTAAAAATTGAAATTTAAGCGCTACTTTTTATTTATCTTATCTAAACCATATCTCTACGTAGCATTTGTTAGTCATTGTGTGTTTTTTGAGTTTCGAAATACTTTTACAACGAAATTGTTATTGGGCTCGCTCTTTTTTTTTTTTTACTTTAGAGGCTACGTATTTTCATATACGAATAGACTCGAGCTTATTTTACATTATGTTTGATATAATTTTAAATTTTAAATTTATTCAATGAATTTGCAATAACATACATGTAATGTCGCGTTAAGCTACTATTTAAACATTAAGGACAAAAAAATTGTATTTTACCTTCTTTCCAGATGTCAAAACGTCGATCCAACTCTCTGACATCGCTGGTCTCAAACACATCCACATCTTCCGAATACTCTATCACCAACTACAAGTTGTTCAGCAAGAATCGTCGCATAATTCAGCGACAACACGAAGAGAATGACAAGGCTGCTATCTTCGTGAACTCGGCTACAGGATTCTTGATTTTTGTAACATTTATTCTGTTACCAATCTTCTTCACCACGACATTACATCGTCGAGTATTGGAGATGGACCAGCATCCTTGTGCTTACAACTTATGTGGTGATAGTAGAGAAGATCCTTGGGTTATGTACAGTGAACTATGATAAGATGTTATGTTGTGGTAGGTTGTGTATGTGTTACATTGGGAAAGACGTGCTACATCGCATTCAACGAGCCTAGTTTACTGTACATACGATTATATCTTTATTGAATAGAGGATTCAACACTTTTTACTTTTTTCATCTTTTTTTACCTTTTTTCTACTTTTTTTTTTATCTTTTTTCATGTTTTTCTTTTACTTTTACATTACATTTTACCGTCAACTTATAATTTGTTACCTACTTTCACATTAATAATCCAAAACTCAAACAAAACTAATACTAAAACGGTCAAAAGTATGTAATCGCATTTATAACATGTTTCCAATAATATTCACAATTTTTAAAAACATTTCTACATACTTTTTGACCAACTCATCTTACACGTTATTCTTGACCCCTATGTCACCAAAGATATCCTACTTTTACATTATTCCCGGTATTGTGATCTCAACAAATATATTTGTTATGATATTTTAAAGAAAGATTAAACCTTACGTACTTGTCGAACTTGATTTACTATTCAAAATACTATAACAGAAAAGAACTTTAGTTAAAAATGGCAAAGTCAAAGAAATAAGTTTAAAATGTCAATAAAATTATTTAGATATTATTGCAACATCTAAATTATCAAAATATTGGTTTCATCAAACAGCTTAAGCATATTCACGCTTAACCTGTTTGTTATAATATTATTTTACAGAGTAATAGTACTATATGTGATATGGCCTACACATAACCGACTAATATATTATAGAATAACCGTTTACTTTTCAAATAAAATTAAGGCCAGGAATAGTAGAGAATCGACAAGAGATCGGTCGGATATATTACAGTCCTCTATGCTACAAGTTGCTGAATCTTTTGTGGCCAGAGAAGCGTCTCCACACCATGTCAAACTTGAGTAGTGGTTGTTTGATCATGTGACCTTCCACATTCGTACGTTCTCGAGCTTTCTCAACCTTTGAGCTGCGTTTTACTGGCATTGGGGGAATGAAGGGGTACTGTAACATTTTTTGGTAACTGATCGAGTCGCTAGGCATTGGGTCTGAAAGAAATAGCGTTGTTAAAAAGATATGTCATTTTAAGTGTCAATTTCTACTACTACATGTAATTTTATTGCCGTTTTAATTATACTGTAGAGATACAGTATACTATCCTTTATACTAAGCATGCTGCAGTGCTGCATATGATACTAGTTGTTACACTATGTTATAGTACCTATTGTACGTCAAAAAAGCACAAACTATAAGTTTATATAAAGTATTTCTCAATGTTAATATTATGATATGTTCGAAACCTTTAAAACAAGTTAACAACCATCTGTTGAGCATACTTAATACCTACATAACCTATGTACATGTAAAGTACTGAACGGGAATATTAAGTCTAACAGCTGATAGTAACAGTAATGTGGTATTCGAACACTTTCTAATATAAACATACGTATGAGAAAGGTTTACTTCAGACAGTAAAAAGTATGACATGACGATTTTAGGTTTACGTAACTATTATAAAAGACTTTTTAGATAGAATGAGAAAGAAAAAAATGCCTCTATATTTGTTCTGAAAAACATTAATATAGACTTGATTCTTTCTGTTGATTTTAAAAAAAAATGAAAATAATGTAGGCCAGACTTATGCAGAGTCCGAGCCCAACTTTATGGCCTTGGGTTAGACTCCGGCCCTCGGGTCTACGTTTTCGTTTATCTAATTCTAGTAAGACCTTTTTAGAACTAATGTAAACTAAATTTTTGATACAAAAATGGCTCTGTTGACTTTTACCTTCATCGTTAAACACTTTAATTCAAAAACATTTTACCACCCTACACTACTCATAACTATAGCTCTCTTTATCAATGACGTTTGAAATTAAAGTTTAAAAAGTAATATCTAAAAAGTGAGTCAATATACAGATCTATAAGCATTATGAACCACTTAATTTTTTAAAAATAAAACTTCTAAAATGTTAATGAGTACGTGCTTTTTTACGTGTATTGTTTACATAACTATATGTGAGAATAACAGTAATTTATTCCAAGAAGCAAAAGGAAGTAAATGTAAGGTAATGTAAGTGTGCTGAACTAGGTAAACGCAGAAGACTATGGTTTGTATTTTAAGACTAGTATAAAATGACTAAAAAAGAAAAATTTTGGTAATAAATACTGAGCAATAACTATCTATTTGTACCATTTACTTTTAAGTACTATCAATGCATATACAAACTGGTGGTACTTACTTTGTAAGTGTAAAAATTAAAAAGCTAATTAAGCTTAAAAAATATTTAAAGTTTTAAAATTAACATATTTAAAAAATTAAAATATAAATAAAATAATGTAATTTATACTTACCGTAATCAACAATTTTACTGTTGTCATCGAAGGGCCGCGTAATCTGTCGGTAGGGCAATACAAACCCGTAAACAGTAATCAAATTGGCTAGCCAAAACGTTACGATGCTCTCTTTGAACATGCTTGTGGCAATGATTGTGAACAAATTCCCTGCGGCCACTTATATGCAGTTATGTTACTGGGCCGTACAAAAAGGGGGCGGGGCTAAAGTTAATTAATTATTTTTGTTAATCCGTGAGCTTACCAGCCCCAAACAAGTTCGTATGTCGTATTACCGCGAAACCGACAATGCAAACAAGAAACATACAGGTGGGACGGGGCTACTGTAACATTTTTTTAGATTTAAAGTTAATTTTTTAAAATTCTTAGTGAAGTTGGGTACACTTAAGCATAGAGTTACAAAAGTTACAGTATTACAGTTATAAAACGCTAAAAAATTAAGTAGAATTTTGGATTTTATAGAAAAGTTTGAGCCAATCTTTCGAGTGTCATACTAAAAAAGTTTGACATTATTAATATTCGAGTTATAAAGTTATTTTTGGCGCTGGAAAATGTAAATTGTCGTATCTTTTGACTAAGAAAACAAACAAAAACAAGAAAAAGTTGTCTAAAGACACCGAGGACCTGTACGTGAAAGGCATTGCCTTTATCACTAAAAGTTTTTCAAACAGTAGTTTTTTCTCTAATGAATCGTTGGATGTAGCCCAACTCAAGTAGACTACTTTGTTGAAAAAATGTAAAAATGCTAATGTAAAGCTCCAAGCCAAGTGAAAACAAGACACAACCCTTCAAGGCTTTATATAGTAACGCTAACAGCCATTTTTGGTTGTTATAAAGCAAGACTACAATGTTGAGAATGTAGCTGAAGAGGCTTTATATGTACTCCTTTGTTGAACTTTGCTTAATGAATAACAACCTTATTGTTGTAGACAGAAGTTACCCTGAATTCACTTGTTTTTCTATTTTTACATTACTCAATAATCAGTAGAAGACTAAGTGATTTAATGTGATTTGTAGTGAAGTTTTATAGGTTTTTAGTTTATGTTATAGTAGGTTTTAGACATTTTTTAATTTTTAATTTTAAATTTAAATAAAATTGTATTTTGCTATTCTTAAATTGAGTAAAACAAAACTATAGTAATGTTTAGTTCTTTTACCTCCTATTTATTTAGTTGGTCAACGTATTCCGAGTATTATATAATACTCTACTGTACCGTGCCCTCCCAACTGTTTATAATAAATTAACATACTCTAATTACCTAATTAATCGGTCGCAAAAGTCGAGAAAGTAATAGTACAACGAAATTCATGACATTTGCAAATGACACCTAAGGGCATGAAATATACAGAAACCATCTGTTGATTGCCATTAACTTTCTTGTTTTTCTAATGAATTTGGTACGTTCTTAACCTTCAGATGTGGTTACTTTTAAAATAAAGAAAAGTATAACTTTTATTTAAAAAACTTGGTATTTGATGTTAACCTTAAAGTAAAATAATTTTAATATACACGTAAGATTTAATTAAGAGAGGGGGAAGTAAAGGAATAAGGAGAGGGTAGGTAAAAAAAAGTTTTTTTCAAAATTTTTTTAATGTGAATTCAGTTTTTTGAAAAAAAAATTAAAAATAATCAAAAAAATTGACAAGAAATTCTTCTTTACCTTCCTCCTCCCAAGCTAAAATTATTCTGCTGGCACTAATAATACCTTTTCAAAATTAAAGCCTATATACAATGAAACCTCTCTAGTAGAACCCTCGGTAGTATGACCCTCGATATTATGACACTTTCCTTATAACGACAGCTTTCTGACCACTTTTTGTAATAAATCTCTTATCAAAATGTATCGACTTTTTGATAAGAGTCAATCAATTATCTGGATAATGTGACACCCTGGTTATAACAGCACTGATTGGTCTAGTTTCTTGAATATCATACTAACGATGCTTGACTGTAACCGTTTTTTTTTTCAAACCAACTTTCTTTTATCAGCATACCCAATAAATCTTGCCTTCAACTTACAAAGAATTTTATTTACAAAAAAGACAAGACTTTTTCGGTTAAGATGTCATAACTACATGTTGCAAAAACTTTTTGAGACATAAAAACATCATATGACATTACATTTTGTGTTTATTACAAGTGTATGCGTTTTGAAGGTACGGTAGTAACGGTTCAGCGTATTAATTAAATTTGTTTATTTTACACAGTAATATACTTTGCAAATGATGTGTACTATGACAATGTTTATATACATCAACTATAATTATTTGCTTTTTAAGATCAATTTATAAAAACAATTTTTAACAACCCAACAAAAAAGAATGGCATTTTACGTTGTAACAATGTTTGAACACAGAAACTTCTTTGCTGCAACTGATAGTTGCTGAAGTTGGCAACAAAAAAAATTAAAAAAAATTTTATATTTATTGAAACTTAAAATTATTTCCGTGCAAAACGAAAAAGTCATAAAAATATTAGAGTAAACATGTACATATAACATTCTTTATGCAACGTACTAAACACATTTGTTCTAAAATAAAGCTTTCATTGACATTAAAGCTCTCATGAACAACATACATACATAAGGATCTACAGGTGTAACAGTAATATCATGTTCATCTTGTGTGTTTTAAATATTTTCATCTGCGTAGCTTGAATTTTTGATTTAAAGACAGTGAGGTAGGTCAAACGGTATAATAGTTTGCTTACGTAGCATCTACGTTTCAACTACCTATCTTAAGTTTAACACAGGCTGATATGATAATTTTTTGTTTAAGTACTGTATGTAAGGGTAAAATAGAATAGGGTAGAGTATGGTAGGTTACTGTAGGGTAGGGTAAAAAAAAGTTCAGTAGAAAGCCCCCTCTTCTACCATTTTCTGTTCGTATCTTAGTGATTGGCTTTCATTGTACATGTAGCTTTTAGATACTGTAGTAGTACGCACAATAGTTGTATCATTTACTACCATACATCGTATTTCACTCAATTTTTGCAAAAATTTTAATTTCCCAGTAAATGCGTCAATTACGGAATGATAACAAATCGGATGTATATCTTCCAACATACGATGGCTTCTGTTTCGTGGATTTCACTGCAACAAAACAGTAACATATGTCATAAACAATGTCAAAAATAGTATTTTGAAAGCAGTATGATTATTGACAAAGTAAAGGTTTCTTCTTAATGTCATGACTTTGTTTTTGTAAACAAAAGTTACAGTAATCTTTCGAATCTTGTGAACTCTTTTATAATTTAGCAAATCGTATTTTACAAAAGATGTGTTCACAGTAAAACAATTTTTAAAAAAATTACGTTAATTAGCAGAAAAAAATTATTTTGAAATATTGTATGTTACAGTAATATTTTTAATGCAAAAACAATATAAGCCAGCTATCTCATGTACTTATTGTCTATTATGCCATGTTTGTATGTGTCGTTTACTCCGTAGCCATGAAAAGAAACATTAATCTTGTTAATCGCTATCCCCTCTCCTAACGTTCTCAGCGTTCCGTGGGGTTAACGACCGTTCCCTCTGTGTCTATTCAAATTCGAAAAACTTTTTTAAATTATCTGATTATTTGGGGACAAAACAATGGCCCAACTCAATCAGTCTGTCGCTTTTGTCGCTGCGATGAGTAAGTTTGGTGAGAAAGACAAAACTAATTTGATCGATTTTGGAGAAAACAGCTTGAAGGGTGGATACAAAGTGGAGCTGGATGAAGGTGATGTTAAGGTAAGTCGAATATCTAGTGATTTTATAGTAGGTCTTCTTTGAAATTTGAATTTTTTATCACCAAAGAAAGTACCCGACCTGCCCCGCTCTGATTGACTTCAAACTTTTTATCTATAAAGATCATGTAAATATAAGCCCTTCAGCAAACTACTGACTCTCTCTTTCCAGTCAATCTCGAGAAAATCGAAATCAAAATTAAGTTTTGAATTTCCCGTCAAATTGGCATTGTGTTTCAAGCTTATAACCTTGTCATTTTTTGACTTTTAATCATTTTTCTTTGATATTCTAGTAGAAAACATTTGCATGAACCTAAATTTTGTAATTTGTAAAAATAATTTGTTTAGAAAGTAGAAAAAAGTGCTTGAAGCACAATGCCAAATTAGCCATATCAGCGGAAAATTCAAATATTTAAATATTAAAACTCAAAAGCGCAAGCTAAAATTTTTTATGGACACTATTATACAAATGATTAATATAAAATTTTAAGCAGGTTGTCAGTGAAGCAGGCTGTTTACTTCCCTAGTTAATTTAAAAAAAAATAATTTTTAACCAAGTCTTAGACGTATTTTACTATACTTAAGCCCAAATTAAACTTTTTTTAATTTAAGACCCCCTCCACAACAGTATGTATTGATGACATTTCTTTTTCGACTGGTAAATACGAAGTTAGGTTGTTCGACAAAATAAGATACGACGCTGCTCACAAACTTCTAAAACATGTTCGTATCCTTTTGGTCGTACTGTACTTGACGTTTATGGTATACTTGTTGTTATTTGGAGAGATGGCATTCTTTCTTTTTTCATTTTTTATTGCTGCTATTGTTGTCGCCGGTTATTTGTCTGTTCATTGAGTTATATTTTACTTATACACCTTTAAAAAATTGGTCGTATTTTACATTACAAACTTCCAGTATGTATCATCCCACACCTTTTGCACTACCGTGACGTCGCAGTAACTTATGTTTACACAGTTATAATTGTAGTATTCTTTGAATTCGAGAAATTTGTATTGATGACATACATAAATAAACACAATGTAAATAAACTCTGTAAACCGGTTTTTTTGCACTAATTATTATGATTTAAGACAGGAAGTTTTTCACACTAGGATAACATCTATGTTATTATAAACGATAAGGTTATATGTGTATTATTATAGACAGCAAAGTATTAGCTATACTATTATAGGCTGTAATACACATATAGAAAGTCGTCATATTGTAGTGATTATGTCACAGATTTGTTTAATTATAAGTTAATTTTAAACGCAAAAACCTCTAAAAATTGTAAAAATAAAATTCATATTATGTTTTTCACATAATTCTGTGCCCCCTCTCAAAGCAACGTTGCGGAGATAGAAAGACACAGAATTATTTGACCAACCCAGTATTACCTTTTTTAATAAAAAACTCAGTATAAAATAAAACTCTTGTATAAAGGTTGCTTAAAGGCCTTATGATTGTTCGTTATACAAAGGTTTTGTTATAGAAGAGTTTGTTATGCAGAAATTTTACTGTATTACTGTTTTTTAACAGTACAACAACATCATATACATTGCCGCAAAAAGTAAGTTTAGAACTTCCATTAAGTTCTATAAAAATCCTTATCGTACTTAGTAACAACTGTTACTTGAATCATTAAGCTCTCAATCACATTATTTCTTCTTCCACGTGGTAGCCACGCTGGCAAAAGCAACTGTTTTGTATTCATATATCTTTTCATAACAATAATATTAATTTGTTCAAATAATTCTGTGCTCGTTAATCGTGAAAATTTAATTCGAAAGGGAGCGCAGAATTATTTGAGCAAGCTAATAAATACAATTTTTTTAAACTTTCAAAATGGAAAATAAGTTTTTGGAGTTAGAAGACACAGGCATATATGAACACCATATTAATAGAACCCTTATTAAAAAGTACCCGAGTAGTGTGACATCCTGGTTATAAAAACACTTTCGCGCCAGAATTTTGAGTGTCATACTCAAAAGTTTTGAATGTACTCCTGATTTACATTTCCTAGACAAATATTATAATACTGTGATAAAGTTTACTAGCTCAATATTTTTTATACAACCTATTATATTTAATTTGAATTGCTTCTGTCGTAATTAACAAGTAAGGTTTGTCAAAACAACAAGCTGATCAGAGAATAGCAAAGCAGTGTTCTGATCTCTCTCTCAGCTTGAGTGGGCCGAAATTCGGCCGAATTTCAAAGAGAATGGTCAAGATATCCGAACTCTCGGCTCGGGAAGACTTTACTTTGCTTTTTCACATCTTTTTAATTTTGGTTGTTTCTTATACCTAAACGTAATTTTTTGTACTTTAAACGTGATTATGGTTAATATAAAACTCATTTTATATAAAAATGGAAATCTTTTTAAAACGTCTGTTACCTAAATTATATTTTTTGCAGTTTTACTTATTTTACAATTTATAAAACCTGTAGTATCATGGCAGCCCCAACAGTAGAAACCCCATCCACAGAAGAGAATCCAGATGACGAACCCTGGCCACTTTTGAACGCTAAAGATCATGCTGAACAGGTACTACAATATACCTCTATGTCTTAATTTTAAAATTTAGTTTGACCCAACAAAGTACCTCGAAGGATTCTACAAAACGGCCAAAGAAGACTTGGCCATGCAAATCGTACTGTTCTTCCTACCCGGCATACTGTATCGACTACCGAATGAAGTAGAAGATGTACTTGATCTAGGAGCTGGGCCTACTGTTTACATTCCGATTGCTATGAGACATAAAGCCAAGAATATTTACAGTAGTGATTTTGCTGAGGTAAGCGCAGTTTCTAAAGAGCAGAGATCTCTTGCTCGCTCTACAAAATTTTTTAAAATCACCAGCTAGTTTTGTTCGCCATACCCTTACCTTATCAAATCCTACCCTTACACGGCACCCTAAGCCGTACAGACCTTATACCAAAAAATCTATCTAAAAACTTTAATAAAAGCCAAAGTAACACCCACCATATCTGCAGATAAACCGTGCCGCCGTAACCGCCTGGCTAAAAAACCAGTCCGACTTCGACTGGACTAACGTCTGTGAATGGATAAAGTCAATTGAAGCTTCGAAAGATACTCCAGAAGCCATGCAAGACAATGCGAGAGATATAATGAAAGGTGTCCTCGCAGTAAATGTACATAACCCATCCCCAATCACTGGAGTTCATTACCAAAAAGACCAGACAGTACCAGTACCAAAACAGTTCGATGCTGTTTGTACTGTTTTTTGTTTGGAGTACGCTTCGGAGACGTTAGAAGAGTACGAACAAGCAGTTTACAATGCTGGAAGTTTGGTGAAGACAGGGGGATATATTGTACAAGGTGGAGTACTGGAAGCTCATGAGTATGGGTTTGGAGGAAGAAGATTTAAATGCCACTTTTTGACCAAAGATCAGTTGGTTACTGCTTTGAAGGTAGGTTTAGGTTTAGAGATTTTAATATTGATCAAGAAACGTCACATTTTAGAAGGATCATAGACGTATATAACAATATATGTTCAAAATATTATACTAAAATTAATCTTTAATTTTCAGAAAAGTGGCTTCGAAACAAACGACAAAAACGGTTTCAAACTGATCGTATCAGACGAGATTTTCTTATTAGTAGCTAAAAAATTGTAAAATAGGTATTCTTTTCAGTTTTATACCTACTATAATATAAATAAACATATAAACCATAGTATATTAACATTATATTAACCTCGCACATGAAAAGCATTAGCCACTGGTTTACATACATCAATGTTTACAATCACACTCTTCACAAGTTGTCCCTCTATTCTTGTACTTGAGATAGATCCATCGCAAAAGGTCTCGCATCTTCTCTATGTAGTAGATCTCTACATAATGGGTGAGAATGACCAATATACCACTCCAAATAGCTATACCGACTAGGAAATACAACATGAGTACAATCAGTTCACCATGAGTTTGTGGATCGGGATGAACGTCGCCAAAGGCCGCTGCCATCATTGTCATCACACTGTAAGGTTGATAAGGTAACTAATGAGTTTGATGAGGTGACTACTAAGTTAAGAAAACCTTTTTTTATAGTAATTGTATGCTATATCATTCAAAATATCAAAACGTACGAAAAATAAGTAGTGTTAACCAAGCTAATCTTTTCAAATTGATAACTCCACAAATACCATCCAAAAAGTATCATGATCACATTGAAGTACAACAACACTTTTATCGACATCACGTAGCCAATATCATGAACCTTCGGGTCCTATAACAACATTAGTTCAATATTCTAAACGCTTCTTTCCATTCTTAGACCAATATTCACGTTAACCATCTTATAAACAAAAACCTACCTTTCCCTGCAGCCTCGCCACTAAAACCGGCCAATGAATACAGTAAATGTTGGTTATAGCACTTCCAATAGTCGCAATAAGAGCATTAACAAGACTGGCGATATAAATATTGTAAAATGTCATGAATATTCTTCCTTGAGTTGATATTGGAGGCATCGCACCCCATCCAATTCGAGCACCAGCATCGAAACAATTTAAAATAACTTTGATCAACGGAATCTTCTTAGCTTCTGGCTCCATTGCTTGGAGTAGAATAGCACCACCGTACACAGATCCGGCTGCTGTGAGAAAGAACAATATATGAGTTATGGCTCTAATAAACCACTAAAATATTTAAAATCAATTGATTGGCCGGCCACAAATTTTAAAATTTAATTAATAAAAAGAAAACAACCTACTATAATATAAAGAAGCCTTTGTTTACTAGAGCTAAAGTAGCCATTCTAAGTAATTGTCCCAAATAATAAATAAAAATATAAAACATACCGGTGCTTTGGCCCTGTAGATCTCCTCAACCTTGACAGTTTCGTCAGAATCATTTAATCCATAAAATGTGTCATCGTATTCATTCTCAGACTCCGAAAGAGAATTTTGACTTGGATACGTACTGAAGATTTGAGAACCCATTGCACTCCTTCTCATCGTATTTGAATTCAATCGACGTCGAAGTTCTGTAGCTGAACCGTCTCTTTCCCTCATTTCTTTGGCATTCTCTAGATAATCTAAAATAAGGTCGTCAGCGATTAATTGTGAGGCTGGAAGTTGTTTTCATAAGCTTGAAGATAATTTAGAATCAATTTAGCATTTTAAAATGATTTAAAACCTCTTGAATCTTAACCAATGCCCATTATTCATATAAAACAATATAAACTGATATAAACCTTACCGTCATTCTCATCATTGTTTTTGTTACTCTTCTCCAACTCGTTACAAAGGTTTGTAATAACCTTACTCATCTTTCTCGTCTTTTCATCCTCCTCCTCATCAACCTTTCCCATGTTAACATTCCTCTCCAGTTTAGCCAAGAACTCCTTAGCCGTTTCCAATGTCTTTTCGGCCGTCATCGCTGCTTTGGCTTCTCTAACTAGACTAGCGGCATTATGTGATCGATGCCATGTATGGGCAGACTTCATTTCCAATAAATTAGGTAATACCAGCAGTTTAAATCCTTCTGGTATTAAAAATAACCAATTCTAACAAAAATAGCAGTGTAAGACACACAAAAAACAATTCAAACCAGTATTTTATGCCAGAATATAGGAGCTTTAGGTACAAAAACAAAGTAATAGTAACACAAACGTATTTTATGTTGGTTCGGTTGATAAAATATTGTCGCACAATGAAGAAATTTGATGGTTTTCAACCAATGTAATAAAACCTTTTCAGGTGAGCGGTTTTATTAACCTTACAAATGTTGTTAAAACACACGTCACGAGAACATCTTAACGTTGGAAAGTTCATCGACAAAATTTAATGACATTAATTGCAAAGATCAACAGTTTATACAGTCGTTTTATAGTGTTTTTCATACCTAAAATATCGGTAAAATGTGAAAACCCAATAAAAACATACCTTAAATACTGTGCAATAGCTCGGCCGTAAGCAGAAACGTCTATAGAACATCAAAATAAAGGTAGTAACCGCCATCACTTCAAGTATGTTACAAAAACTGCCAATGTTAACATCGGCTAAAAAACAAATTTAAACCTGAAAAGGCCAGTCGCATTTTACATCATAATGCCTCCCACTCAAATCCGAAACTCTCACATGTTTCCTAAATCGTATTATTGTACATTTGAGTTTCTTATCAGCTTAAATTTACTCCTCTTCACTTACTTTGAACGTCATGTTTACTCAACGTGAAAAACAACAATGTTTTCAACTTTAATCGCCATATTTTGAACCTTTCAATCCTATTTTCAAGTCCACAAGACAGCTAATAAAAACATCCATAATAAGGTTGCCGCTTTACTGATCTAACATGTTATCCATGGCTATGGCGACACTAAATCTGTCATAAATAAAACTAAGTAAAACAATGTAATTTACAAGCAATGGATAAAATAAAAAAATAAAAGAATGAGGATAGAAGGGAAAGCTTCATATTGATGAGCAGCGTACACATGTTGATAGATTTTCTTGATCAATTTTATTTGATTTTATAAAAAGTAAATTTACGCGTAATTACAGAAAATTGCGAAAATCAATTAAAGAGAATCTTGACTCAAATATAAAATTGTGTCAAGTTTTACGTTGCTTGTAAGAAATAGACATGAGAAACGGACCGGGCCCAATTTTGACTTTTTCAGGGCTGGCCTGCTTTACATTTTGCTCAAGCCTAGACGTTTTATGTTTGTAAAAGTTTTAAGGCATTTAAAATATTATAGTAAGGCTTGAGAGTGTCAGGTGTGGTTAAATAAATATTATTCTCTATTTTTTGTTACCTAAAAACTTTTTTATATTTCAAAATTCTTTGGCCTTTTTTTTCGTAATTTCAGTCAGCCAATTAGCGGAAAGTTGATTGCAGGTGTTATGAATGAAAGGTTCGAGTTTGACGAATTACAATCTTGTCCAACTTGGAGCGACCAAACATTAGACCTTAATGTATTTATGATTGTTTTGTCCATCACAAATGGCAGGCATTCATCACGGTTTTTGTGATAAGAGGCTTAGAGGTTCTTAATGGACCGTGCCAACTTATTAGTCGCACAGTTCTTTTGTTGTTGGTGGAGATCAATCACGGACGAGTTTTTCTTGCTGTATTGATTTAAGGCTGTGATTCTTAAAGTTTTTTGGGTGACATTTTAGTGTTTGAAGGTTGGGGACCTCGTTTTAGGGTTCAAGGTAAGGAAACTTTATATTATAGTAATCTACTGTCTACTTGGACACATAATAGATTGGTCTATGCTTCATATTTGTTATATGTTTTGAAATTGTATGACGTCGAGTATTTTCATGCCACTTTTTAGGTATTAGTACATTCCTCTGAGCATCAAGTGATTTGTTTTTTCAAATTTTTTAAAAACATTTTGCGTTCTGACAGTTCAAACGTTTCTCGCCGCCGTTTTAACCCTGAGGGCTTAAATTTTTTGAATTTTTGTTTTAGGTTTTTTAAAGTTATTGTTTTGCGATCCTTAAAGGTGTGCTTTGATAGGATACGTAAAACAGGGCTTAGATTGTGATATTGTAGTAGGCTTCACCCTTTGTTTCTTGGATTATAAGGTTGTTGCTGTTCTCTGATTTTATTTTAATACGTGTCTTGTTGATACTACAACCTTGTACAATGCATTGTCGCACTTTTCTGTCAAAACACCCCCGCGAGTACTACTTTTCGCATTGTTTATCTTTAAAGATTGCTAAAAACCAGGGAAAGGTGATTCCCTGACTTGAAAACAAATTAATAACCTTGTAGCTCGTGACACTCACAACTGTTTGCCTCCCGAATAACTACCCAAGACTGACTTCGAACCTTGTTTCAATCACTTTTTTTTAGGAATGCTCGTCGCACCTCGAGGCGTCATTTCCGTTGTTTTTCGGCATTTTTGAGTGATTAAGAAATTAGAGGATAAGAATCAGTTCGAGGCTACTGTGTATCATGGTTTTTATGTTTTGCGTACTGTGTTTGTTACTGTTAGTCCGACGGGAGATTTTTTTGGTTTTTTGGATAATTTAGGTATTTAGGGTATTTCAAGGTTGCTTTTGTACACTTTTCAAATTATTTTCTTGAAAGTTGTTTGCGGGACCGATTCACAATTTTTTTTTTTCTAAACGTTATTTTTTGGGTTTTTCTGCAACAACAGGCTTTAGTTTACCTATTTTGTCACCCGCCGTCTTATCACGTTTTAAAGCCACGTGGTACTCATTAAAACAGATCTATGACAACAACAACTCTATCGACAACTTTTGCCATAAAACCGTATTGTAGCAGTCTATCCATGCTGTGACGTAGAGTAGGGTAGAATAGAGTAGGATAAGGTAGGTAGGGAAGGATTGGGTAGAGTACGGTAGGGTGAGGTAGGGTAGCGTAGTATCTTGTATTTTGAATTCGAACAAATATTGACGTGTTGTGCTTTCGAATAGATTACGTAGCTGTGCTTTCAGAATCCAAAAATAGCGTTTCGCAATTCTGTACGAAATGCACTTGATAACATTGTTTTTGAGGCGGATTGATAAGGGAAGAAAAAACGATTGAAAAAGGCTTCAATCGTCCTGTGTTTACAGGACATTGATTTAAAATCTTTTCTTAAGGTTTTCCTTTACTCAAGACTTTTTCGATGCCGAATTATGAATTTTTGGCAGTTTTTAAACTGTTTTTGATTTTTACATTTAGCTAACTAAATTAGTTTTACAGCCGCAGGATTGAAGGATAACATTATTCTTGCAATAAAAAGTTACCTTTTGGGTAATCAAGAGATTATTTTTGGCTAGGTAGCTTAAAAAAGGTAATTTTAGGTAACATTTATTTTTTTTCAAAACTTGAATTAAATTTGAATTTTAACCTTGGCTATAAAAGGATCAAGTTCGATCAAAGGATTTCAAATTTTAGACATTACATTATCTTTCTTTCAAAATAAAATTCAAATTATCTATATTTAGCTAAAATTTTAAATCTGAAATTAGATTTCGATTTAATTTCGATCTCAATTTGATTACAAAACTTCTATTTTTGGGCTGATTTGTTATGAAAGAGCTAAATTGACCTAGTCACGTGAAAACTCACGTAATTCAACTTTTGATTTTTGTAGATTTTGATAACAAATCATTGAAAAATGCAAAATGAATGTGTTTATGGGTTCAGACCAAAGATAAATCAAACTTTTATTGGTTTTTGTGTTTAACATTACATTTGTGACGACTGGAGGGCGGTGTAATGTAAACAACCTTTGATTTTGAATGTTGTGGTTGATAATTCTTCGGACGGTAAAACAGGGCCTACTTGGTTTACTGTGGGTTAAATAGCTTTTTATTGTACTATAGAGTAGAGGATAACATGGTATTTTACTCGGACTTGATATTAGGTTGTTTGAATAATTCTGTGCCTTTCTCGAAGCAAATTGTCGGGGTTAGGAGCACAGAATTATCTGAACAACCTAACATACTATTATAGTGTTAGTTCATAGTACTGATGGTATGAGTACTACTTCTATAGGTTTATGGTGCTTCCGGTCAAATATTAGTTTGCCAGTACGCAGGGACGTCGCTACGGATTTTCTCTGTGGACCGATTTTTCAAAAATTTTTTTTTCGTTTTTTCGCGTGCAGGATCGGCTCTGGGGAGGGGGTACCCTGCCAGTACGACACCATTTACAGTGGTGACTTCGCCTTTCATAAACTACAAAATGACATAAAGTATAGTTTTTCCAATTAAATAAGCTCAAAAAACACCCATATGGTTTGATCATGTGTAATATCACATGTTTTTTGCAACAAGTGCATGACTTTCTCGACGACAAAAGAAATGACTGTCCGCGATATGGGGCGGTTATGACGAGATTGATCATTGAAATAGCTAGCACAAAACATTTTAAATTGGTTTCGTTAACTTTTTCACTCACTTACCTTAACCTTTGTAAGTGATATTGCAATCAATTTGGGGGTTTTGTTTCAAATTGAGCTTTGGTTGGATGTTATAATTGGTTTAGGGTAGTAGGGTTGGGTAATGTACAGCAAAGTAAAACGCAGTAATATAGAGTACTGTAAGATAGATTACAGTAAGCTAGGGAAGGGTAGAGTAGGGTAGGACAAAGTAGGTTAGGGTAATGAAGAATAGAATACAGTAGCTCAGAGTACGGTAGGGTAAGCTATTGTAAGTCAGGGTAAGGTAGACTAACATAGAGTACTGTAACTCCCACAATATACAAGCTACCCATATAGTTTGTACATTGACACATCACATAACCAGTAACATGTTATGCATGGGAATGTCGATTTACTCTGCAATTTTACTGTGTGTTTTTCCGGGAAATAATTTTTCGGGAACGGCTTCCGGTTATGTTTTTTTGTTTTACACTTTGACCGAGAACGGCCGAGTAATATATTACAATTCAGGAAGTTGGCGATAATATATTTTCTGAATATATAGTTATGTGAGTGTTTTGGGTGTGGTTCATCATTTTTTATATATTGTTATTGCG